CCTGCATTGGGAGACATTTTCATTTGGCATGTAGGAAGTAGGGCTAGGTTTCTGAGTTTCGGAATTGACAGAATGATAGAATTGTAGCACTGCAAGGCACCCCCATGGGTCATCTAGTCCAAAACCCTGCAATGCAGGAATCACAGGTAATCAATCCATGAGAGATGGCCACCCAACCTCCATTTATAAAGCTCCATTGAAGGAAAGTCCACCATATTCCAAGGTAGTCAAGTTCCATTGTTGAACAGCACTTACCGCCAGAAAGTTCTTCCTAATATTAGTCGGAATCTCTTTTCTTGTAATTTGAATACATTGGTTCAAGTCCTACCGTCTGGAGCAAAAGAAAACAAGCTTGCTCCATTTTTCATGTGACAGCCCTTTAGCTATCATATCACCTCTCAATCTTATCCTCTCCAGGCTAAACATACCGAGCTCCTTCAACTGTTCCTCATAAGGCTTGGTTTCCAGATCCTTTATCATCTTGGTCACTCTCCTCTGCACATGTTCCAGCTTGTACCCTTCTTTAATTGAGGTGCCCAGAACTGGACATAATACTCTAGGCAGGGGCAGACTTCAGTCTTTCAAATTTCAGTGGCACCCTGCGTGAGGCCAAAATCCCCGTCGCCACTCGCCTTCTGTTCTGCTCAGTTCACTACATCATAGTTGCAACACCCTAGGCTCAGCACCAAGTGTGATGGAACCAGTCGCACTGCCCTAAATCCAGCTCTGCTCCAGGTGATGGACAGGTGAGTGCAATTCAGGAGAAATGACCTAAGAAGCCTACTTGGACTGCCTGGTGCGCCAAGATAGACCTGTGAGATAGAAGTCCCCCCCTCCCCCGATATTAATAAAACTGCACCACAACAAAACTCACAACGGCACCACAGTCTCCAGTGACTTCCATTCCATGGAAACCCAATCTGAGGTGTGCACTGACACCCCTGAAATCTCTCACAGCTCAGAGGCTGGGGAGCATATAACAATACAGAATATATTCTTACGAACTGCAGTGAAACAAAACCAAAAAGCAGTCTCTTGGAGGTGGAAAAATTATGGGGGAAGACAAGCTCTTGCCCTGAAAATGAAATGCCAACCTCGCCAAGCAGGAGGTTCTCTGTCCTGCTCAGGAATCTATAGACTGTGGATGGTTAATCGTTAAGCTCATAACAAATTGATTTGGGCTTCCTGAACCTTAGCATATTGAATGACTACTTGAAACAGAGTCATGCTGGTTTCCTGGAAAGAAATGCTACCATGGTGACAAATAACCTGCTCAGTCTTAGCTACAAATATATCTGTTTTCTGCTTAGCAGTAACTGGAGCTACATGGCCTCTGGGCAGCAGGAAGTTTTAGAGGAGTGATGGGCCCGGCCTCCTGCTGTCTGGCCTCTGCTGCTGTTCAGAACAGACGGGGAACATGTGGCCCTCCATAAGCTGCTGGGCTACAACTCCCATCATCTTTCTCTAGCACTGAGGGAGCTCAACAGCATCTGTGTCTTTCCAAGGGGGGGGGATGGTAGTGGTTATGTGAAGGTGCATTTAGTGGGATTGGGGGTGTATACGAACCATATACGAACCAGGCAGAGGGCCTTCTCGGTAGTGGCCTGTGGAATGCCCTCCCATCAGATATCAAGGAAATAAACAACTATCTGACTTTTACAAGACATCTTAAGGCAGCCGTGTTTAGCGAAGTTTTTAATGTTTGATGTTTTATTGTGTTTTTAATATTTAGGGAAGCTTTTAATGTTTGATGTATTACAGTATTTTAATATTTTTTTGGAAGCCGCCCAGAGTGGCTGGTGAAGCCCAGCCAGATGGGCGGGGTATAAATAAATTATTATTATTATTATTATTATTATTATTATTATTATTATTATTATTATTATTTTGGGAGCCACCCAGAGTGGCTGGGGAAACACAGCCAGATGGGTGGGGTATTAATAATAATAATAATAATAATAATAATAATAATAATAATTAGAGCTGACTTTTTATTATCTTGCCACCCTTGGAAGCTATATACTGAGAACATTGTCACTGTCACTGGCAAATGGCTCTTTGAGGCCTGAGCAGAGAAAGCTATTTCTTTGCTCTGCAACTTGAGATCTTTGCCAGGGATTAGATTTCAGCATACCAAGCTCTACCACTGAACTTTGGCCCCCATTATAAGATCTGTTCAAATATTAACAATAGCCTCTCACTGGCATCTTTTTTTATAGATGAGGTCATGATTTGGCAGTGAGTATTTCTAAATATTTCAGAATTATTATTATTTTTAATTTGTGGAGGCACGAGTGAGATTCTGGAAATGATTTTTGGTCTTCCCGGGATAGGTTTCTAATATTTTCTCTTCAGTCTCTCTTACAGCCACGCATCACAACCAAAATGCTGTCAGAAAAATAAATGAAATAGTTTATTGCTTTTGGGCTAATGCATGCATGCACATCCCAAAGCAAAAATAAGCATTAAAGTAAGTACACACAGAATGTGTTATCATGAAAAACTGTTTATGAATCTTCCCTCACAAAAGCAGGGCAATGGATTTATTTTAACCCATACAGTGGTGCCTCGCAAGACGAAATTAATTCGTTCCGCGAGTTTTTTTGTCTAGCGAATTTTTCGTCTTGCGAAGCACGAAATCCCATAGGAATGCATTGAAATTCAATTAATGCGTTCCTATGGTCAAAAAAAGTCCAAACAAAGCCAAATTTGGTACAACAAGAGTTTATTAAGTGCTCTTTAAAGTCACACATACTGTAAAGAGCATTTCAAAAATTGAAGGAACAATAAATTAAGTTTCTAAACATGACAGAAAAACATTTAAAAATCAACAAAGTGTACAGTACATTTTCTAAGACTCTGGGGGACAACTCGAAGAAGGTTCCTCTTCCACTCTTTGCTTCTTGCTGAAGAACCCCCTCCTCAACTGTTCCTCCAGCCACCCACCACACAGAAATTCAAATCCAGAAATTTTTTTAAAAAACAGCAGAGTGGCCCAATGGTCACAGAAAATCATAAAAATGCAGGGGAAAAAAAACACACACAAGCTTTCAGATTCTTGCAAACCCCTCCCCAACACCAAGTCCTTGAATTCCAAACACCCCAACCCAAAATCCAAAACCCCCCCAAAAAGTTTTAAAAGTTTAACTTACCAAATGGCTGCAAAAGAAGTTTTGGAAAAGCTTCAAAAATCACCAAAGTCTTCAAAAACCTCAAAAAAGGCTACCACACCGCGTTCTATGAGTTGCTCCTCGAAGTCAAGTCGCAACTGTATTAACGGTGTTAAGAAAAAGGAAACAAACTTGCAAGACATTTTCGTTTTTCGTCTTGCGAAGCAAGCCCATAGGGAAATTTGTCTTGCGAAGCAGCTCAAAAAACGCAAAACCCTTTCGTCTAGCGAGTTTTTCGTCTTGCGAGGCATTCGTCTTGTGGGGCACCACTGTATGATCTTCCAATGCAGTCAATAGCTTTCATTCTTCCAGTGCCTATTTAACAAATCTGTCGATTCTATATGATTCTATATTCAACAATAGAATAGAGTTTTCCTGGAGTCCTGTTTTAGGGGCTCCAGAAAATGCATCTTCAAATAGCATGTTGTTCTTCTTAGGGAAGCTGGCTGGGCAATATCTGCCCACTCAGTTCAGAACCTTATAATATCCCTTCACTTTCAGCAGCTGCAGAGAATTTAACCTACATTTCGTCAAAAGCCATATCAATTCATGTAAATGGATAAAGGACAAAGAAGGGTGATGAACAAATCCCCACCCCATGATTAATTTTCCTTCTTAGTTTAAAATTGGCTCTCTGTGAATAATCAACTAAAGCTCTAACAAATTATTTTGCCAATTAAAGCTTGCAACCCCAGTTAAAGGAGCTGGAGAGGCCTTTCAACTTTTGCTCATTGTCTTACCCTAGAGAAGAGGATGCAGTCGGAAAGCAGGTGTAGATAACAGGGTTTGGGCACTTTTTAATTTTTACTTTAAATCAGAGTTGTTTTAATGAGGCAGCTGCTGCCAACAGGCATAATACAGAGAAGCAAGCCAAGGCATGAAGGCCCTGTCCCAACAGCAGAAGCGAAGCAGATTTGCTTGTTTACACTCAGATTAGTTCTGTTTCTGTAATTTCCCTTCCTTCTCTAAAATGAGAAAATGGCACAGCTCTCAACAAGACAATAGTCTGCTGCCAATCACTGTGACTGCAAAGACACGATGTGCAATTTAAAGAGAGCCTCTTTGCCACTTGGTAGGATGAGGGAGATGACCAAAGTCCCCTGGAGTGGACACTGGACTTAGTCCCTCTGTTCTCCCTTTCCCACTGAACAGGTGCAGGACTGATGAGAGGGGGAGGAAAGCTGGTATTTCAGGGGCCAAGGGACTGAATATCTTGCATATGGTCTTATGCAATTCTTAACCAGCGTGGTGTAGTGGTTAAGAGCAGTGGACTTGTAATCTGGTGAACCGGGTTCGCGTCTCCGCTCCTCCACATGCAGCTGCTGGGTGACCTTGGGCTAGTCACACTTCTCTGAAGTCTCTCAGCCCCACTCACCTCACAGAGTGTTTGTTGTGGGGGAGGAAGGGAAAAAAGATTGTTAGCTGCTTTGAGACTCCTTCGGGTAGTGATAAAGCGGGATGTCAAATCCAAACTCTTTTTAACAACTTATGTATTTTATGTTCAACGCATGCACAGCTCCGAACAACGGTTTGCGAACGTGTGCCGTGAACGTTTCCCCCCTATACAAACATTCATCCCTGCGCTTTGACAGTATGACAGTGCAGTCACAACTTTTTATGCACAGTTGCATTTGTATGTTTTTGCTAGTGAACACCGCGTGAATGCAACAAGGTTGCGTGGTACACATTGTGTTGTGTCGCACATGCAAGTTTCACGCTTAAAGTGATTGTGCAGGTGCTTCTACTATTGATATTAGAACCAAAGAATTGTAGAGTTCGAAGAGACCACAAGGCTCATCTGGCCCAACCCTCTACAATGCAGGAATCTTTTGCCCAACATGGGTCTCGAACCCACAACCCTGAGATTAGAGTCTCATGCTTTACTTGCTGAGCTATCCCAGGTCCCTAGTCATTGGAATCTTAATATTTTCAACAGGTATGACTAATCACATTTATTACTTACATAAATACGAGTTCACACATTTATTTTATATCCCATGCAACATTTTTAAGGTGGTCTGCCCTTGCTGGTGGACCTGGCATTTTTTCCACCAGGGCCCAAACCAGTTGTTAGTGGCCCTGAGCAGGTGACTGGTGATGTTGTGTGTACATAACTGGAGTTACATGCACACAGTTGGATTTGGCCCATGGTGGTTGGTTAGCCACTGACCTTGCCTTAAATCAGGGGACTTCTATATGCTGTTGGACTACAAATATCATAATCTTTGCCTACTAGTCATGGTGGCTGTGGCTGATGGGAATTGCAGTCAGACAACCTCTGGAAGGCACCTTGGCGACTGTTGGCATCCGTCTTTCTCAGGAGACAAAGGAGGACTGTGCCTTTGTGCATGAAGTCAAACCACTGGAGAGGTTCAGCTCCTGCTGTGGCTGGCTGTAAAGACCAATATGGGAGAGACATGTTTTGTTGCAGCTGGGGCAGATGAAGGTGTCCGGTTGCGCTGCTGCAGATGCACCACAGCGTTTCTTCTCTTTGTGCTCCTCCCAGTGGTCACTCCTCCTCTGGTCATTGCTCTGGAGACACAATTTGACTGCCTGTCTCTAGGCATTGAGCTCATCTGCAAGGGCTTCCCTCAGGGCAAGGTTGATGTTGCCGGCCTTCATGTAACATTTGCAGACATCTTCGTAATGCAGAGTTGGTCTGCCAGTGGGTCTGGTGCCTGAAACCAGCTCCCCACAGAGATCTTGCCATCTTCCATCTTCTGTTGACATCACCAAGCTAGCCTAGATATCGCTGAGGCAGGAGTGTAAACACACTGGGAATGTGGGCGTGGGAGAGCACATCTTTGCTTCCAACTCTGTCCTGCCTTGTGATGCTCCAAATCTTCTTGACTCAGTGCATGTGGAAGGCGTTGAGGTGTCACTCCTGTCAGTTAATGCTGGATTAAATAATAGCAGTCAAATATGTGGAGGTGTTGTCTCAGCATTATGAAACAGCAATATGTATCAAATGTCTCATTCACTCTCCTGCCAGCTGTACCTCACCATGCTCAAACCCATTATAATCTGAACTGCATGTCCTCTCCTTCACCCCCCTGGCACAATTCCGGTCCAGCATCTGCTATTTTCTCCTGGGTGGGGAGTGGGAGGAAGGCAAATGGGAAACTGGAGAAGAATATCTGATATTCCAGTAAGAGATTGCAAGAGGAGGGCAAATCTTGAGCTGCAAAGATGTTGGATTCCCCTGCCTCTCTTGGGGGAGTTCTCTGCTCCTCCCAGCTTGTAGCCCTCCTATTCACAAATGGTTTACTGTTGCCCCTTAACCTTAGGCCCATGACATTTGCCTCCCAAGCCCTTTCTGATCTGTATTGTTTTGCACTTCACCATTGCTGAAACAGTGAGTTGGGCATTTCCCCCACTTGGTTGCAATTTAGATCCTGCCAAGAACTTTTACAAAAATCTTTACAATTGAAAACTCTGTCAATTCTTTTTTTTAAAAAAAAGCTCTTGAAAGAAGCAGAATGATGGCGCTCTTGTTTCCCTGTGTTAAAATTACCCCTAACTACTGCATTATATTGTTCACCAAAAGCAATTTTCTTGGACAGAAGTGCTCCATTTACTCCCCTTTAGCTGAAAAATAAGGCATTACCAAACTGCAGCAGTGGAAGAATTCTGACAACCATTAAAAGCAACTAATAAGGAACCCAAATCAGAGTGTGTTAGTCTTGCACCGAAAACGTGGCCTGAAGACAAGAACCTAGCAAAACATAATGCACACAACAAAAAATTGACACAGGAGCAATTTAGCCCTAACAATATGCATAAGCTTTTACCCCTTCCCTTTCTATTAGTCATGATTAAACCATTTCACATCCACACCATGCAGTTAAAGCACATTTAAATCACATGGCTTCCCCCACAGTGGTTTAATTAGGGTGCTGGGAATTGTAGCAATGTGTGTGTGGGGGGGAGTTAAACTACAGTTCCCAGGATTCTTTGGGGGAAGCTATGTGCTTGTGGCTGTGGCCATAGTTGCCTGCTTCTTGTGAAATAGGAAACCATGGTCCTCACCTTCAGAACAAGGTAGGCTATTAAGCCAAACTGCATTTTAATAGCCTGGCTCATTCCGATGGTGAGAATCATAGTTTGTGGGTTCAGACAAAACTGGAACAATGGCTAAGAAGAGGCCTGCTGGTTTCATTGTGGCTCACAGTAAGGGAGTAGGAAAAAAGCTGCATACATGGCCGAAGGGACCATGCATATCTTGACTTAATAAGCTATGTTCATCCATCAGAATGTGACCAGTAAATATAGAAAATGGTAAGACAAAATCACATGTTTTAATAGTATTTGAAAATATGAGGAGAAAATAGCTATACTTACTTAATTGTTACCGTTCTGTATCAGTTATGATACTGTTTTACATGTGAACCTTAAATGTAGCAGCAGCAAAGAATGATCTATTTTTCAGTAAAAAGCCCTTGTGCATCTTCAACAATTCTCTAGCTCCCCACCCCCATTTCCCTTCTCCGTTTCGTCCGCCTTCCTTCACAACAGCATTTCCCCTCCTCATTTCGCAACGTCTCCCTTTCCATAGCTCTATCAAACCACTAGCCCACAAAGTCCCACTCAAGTATTACGCTGTGTGCCCAGTTGCGTCCTGACAGGCAGGCTACCAGCCTTGGCAAGAGAGAAGCTTGGCAAGAGAGAAGCTTCAGCCTCCAGATAGGAAGCCATGGCGCAAAGGCAAGAGAGAGCTGGCTCAGTGGTAAGGAAAGAAAGAGGAAGCGTGTATTTTGGGGGGGGGGGAAGCGAGGGGAAATGAGTTCTTGCCTGAATGGAGGGTAGAAAGAGATGTGTATGAAGAAACTGCCCCAGGGAGGAGGAGGCGGCAACTGACACTACAAACAAGCAGGGAGGCAGGTGCAGCAGTCAGATCTAAATCTGCTGCCAGTCCCCCCCCCCCCACCAGAAGTGCTGCTTGAGGCAACTGCCTCAGAAAGGGTCATGGTAGCACTGGCTCTGACACAGGGAGGTGAATGCAAGTCTCATTGCACAGGTGAAGGTTGTTGCAAACATGCAAGGAGTTAGTCAAATACTGTCCTTTCCATTTACACAAAGAGATTTTTTTTTTTTTTTAAGTGTTCATTTTAGTAGTAAAACACTAACTTATGAATCCTCGAAATAAATTTTAGACAAAAGGATAGAATGGCTTCATGGGTCAAATAATCAAACAAGATTATTTTTACTTCAATAGCATAAAGGCATTGGAAGGTAGAGGGGGTGGCCTGTTTTACTTTAATGCTACTCACTTCCTCCTAGGTGAATTTGAAGAGAAGATAACGGATTAATATTAAGGGTGTTTTTTTGGCGAATGTCAGCTCAGCAGGAGGTGCCTGACTCAAAGGGTCCCATGTGAATACAAAATGAATAGAACACCAAAGATGATGTCGAGTAAAATGTTCCAAAAATAAGGGTTGGGATAAGCTTCCTGTCTAAAATCCAGATACGCTAAAACATAATCAAGCAATAATTTGCTAGCTTCCAATTTAAGCAGGAGTGAAGCTTTCTGATGGCATGGCAAATTCTGACATTCAAAATTTAGATTCATAACATGGATGACATAATTCATCTTAATTTCCTGAGTGCGTACTTTATCCGATAGAACCACAAGTATGTGATAGAGCAAATCAAACAATATAGCCCACCAGTGCCCTCTGGTGGTGTGAAGAGAGGATGAAAAGATGCTACAGCAACAGATCTACTTCTATGAAAAAGCTATTTAACTGAAATAGAAGAAAACTAGAGGTTACTCTCGGAAAGTCCCCCAATTTCTCCTGGGCATCTGTTAGTGTATAATGATCTGTAAGTAAAAGATTTAACTTATCTACTATGTATTTTGGAAAATGGTTTGTCCATTTTTCTTCTGTGGGTATGGCCACCTCTTGAGATATCATTGTCAAACTCGTCATGAGCGTTCTTGAGGTGTTTTTTTTGGGGGGGGCAGTCTACACTGATGCTTGGGAGCAATATGCCACTTTGATTAAAATGGTGGACCAAAGCATGACTTTGGTGTGACACTGTCCATTTTGGGGTGGTTTCCAATGACAGGTTGTGTAGATTTGGACTCACACAATGGGACCTGCTCTCCCCCCCCCCATTGCAGCTAGCTTGTACCCCCCCCCCAATCTGGATGGTCTGTTCTGCTGATGGGCTGACCACTGTTGCATGGCAGACCCCATTGATCAACATGCTACAAACACCTTTGGAGGGTTACTATGATACTAGCTCATCCTGCTTTTAGTAGCAAATCGGGATCTTGTTTTTCAGTAAAGCTGGCCCAAGACGCCGGCATGCAGCCAGAGAAGGGAAAACACAAACCGCACACAGAGCTGCTGATCACAAATCTCTTCATCAATTAGTCTTTCTGTTTGGATTTCATGCCAATTGCCAGCAAAGGAGGTTACAAAGACATACTTATGTCTAGCTTAAAATGGTATCTGAGCTTAGAGTTTAGAGCTCAGATTAGGGTAGAAGAAATGGTATCTGAGTTTAGAGCTTAGAGCTCAGATTAGGGTAGAAGTTCTCAGATTGCTGGAAAAAGATGAGTGTGCCCTGGCAAGGTAGGAGAATATATAGCTGTGCCCTCCCTGTCAGTGCACAGTGGGAGTGTCTCTCACAGAGTTCTCTCTAGCAAGCTGACAGGAAAACTTTGTGAGCTTCAGCTCCTATCATGTGTCTATCTAGCAAAACATGAATTGTTAGGTTTGACTGCAATTTAAATATCCCCCACAGAACTCAGTGGGCCTCACTTCCAACTAAGCATAGATAACAATGGATTGTTTTAACAACGACATAGCATTTTATAAGCTTGAAACAAAGCAAATGTGGGCTTTAATCTATGACAACACTCATCCCTTCAGGAACCAGTTTCCAAATCACTGACTTTCCTAGTTTGCCATAGAAAACCTCCCTACCTGCTTTTAAATACATGTGTGAAGGGGCTCGTGATGTCCCGGCTCAGAGAACAGCTCCAGAATGGCAAACTGCACTGACGTTTTTCTTAAATTCCTCCTTGCCAGCCAAAGTATTCTGCTGAGCAGCATTACTGGGAGTTGTGACAGGGCTATTACTACCACCTAGTGAACATGGAAAGATGCTGGAGGCGATTATGCCCAAAGCACCATATTTTCCTTCCCAGTCACTGCACTTGTCACAGTTTGTAAAATTGCCAAATATCAGTAGGCCGGGGGAAGAAAAAGATTAATCTTCACTTCATCTTTAATACTGTTGGAGAACAATCAGCAGCACAAAGGGCCATCAATTGTTTCCTTTCACTTGCAAAGTTATATATAATTTTAACATCATTTTTAATAATAATAATAATAATAATAATGATTGTATGAAGTTGAAAGTATGGCTAATAGTCAGGGATGAAGATTGAAGCTGGACTCAAGCAACATGTGGAAGGGCACAGGACCCCCCCCCATCCCAGACCCAAATGCTACTCAGAGAAATGATATTTTACAAATAGATTAATAAAACAGAGGCAAAGTGGTGCATGACCTGAGTACGGCTGCAAGTTAAAGCAGAGATGGGGAACCAATTTTACCTCGAGAAGGCCATTGACTATGGGGCTGATGGGAGTTGGAGCCCAACCACAGCTGAAGTGCCTAAGTGAACAGGTTTGTGAGCAACTCTGGATGCATACAAAATTCACGTTTTACAGGTGACTGTATCATAAAGCCTTCACCCAGGTCCTAAGCTGCATAGGGCTTTAAATGGTGAAAAATCAACAAAATTGAATATTGTGGAACCGTGTAGGACAAAGGCCAATCTCTGTACAAATGATGAAAGTTGACTAAATTGTGCTTCTCAAACCCATCCTCACAAGGTGAGCCTGGGAGGTTACTGCAGCTGGTCTCAAACACCTCTGAGCAGTCCAGAAGAATGGCCATGGGAACATGTCTACGCCAGTGAATATGCCTATGGAATATGACCTGCTAGGATTATTAAATGTATAGGCCACTTCAAAGCATAAAGTGGTGTGCAAGATAAAAACAGAATAACAGACAAAAACGCAAGCCCTGGAAATAATAAAATCAATTTGACGTTTCTAAAAGCAATTCAACCAATAAACAATGAAGTTATTCTCATGGAATCCAAAACAACAGAACATTTTCTTTAGCTATAAAATTTCTATTCTGTAAATGATCAGGTCACACTTCGGGGAAAGTCTTCTCAAACATCCCAGCATGAGGTGGCTGTCATGATTTTGGCATGTAATTCATTCCAGGGAGCTGGAACTGCAACACTAAAAGCCTGTTTCGACAACAGCCTGTGGCATTGAAGTGCTGTCTGCAGTGGCCTAGTTGAGGAGCACGGTTACCAGGGATATATTGAGTGAGGTGGCTCCTTAGATATCCTTAGACCACCCTGTGATCTTCAGATGAAGGGCGCTATAGAAATTAATTAATTACTTATGTCCTTTAGATATTGTTAGGGATAAAGGAAGAATGTTTGGAATGCTTTTGGGTGTAGACCAATTGGATTTGAGGCTTCCAATTTGCTTGCAAATTGGAATGAAATTAGAATGCAACTCCCAGATTATTCACTAGGCCCAGATTTCACTACACCGTTTCAGCGCACAAAAACATGAATATTACTTTTAAAAATGCACATTTTTGAGACAATTTTATGAATGCATTAAAAATGCAGATTTTATGCAAAAAAAAATTTTTTTATGTGCAATTTAAACGGGGTATTTTTGTGCATCCTTTGAAAAAAATCTACAAAAAAGAAAAGAAGAAAATATTGATCAAAACTGAAATGGGATGGAATCTAACCCTATTAATTAACTCAATTAACTTTACTGGTAATATTTGCCTTTTATATTAGGAGGAAGTGGTTCTAATGCAGTTCAAAGGGACAGGAGACAATTGGATAGGAAAACATTATGCAATTGACATGAGGATTTAAACATGAGGATTTAAACTTTTCAAACGAAAGAAATCTTTTTATTGTGGACAGTTCATTTTTGTGGCAGTTTATTCAATGCAAAGCACTCCCTAACATTTACCTGAAAGTATTGCTCTACATTTTACCACTGATGTTTAGCATAACTTCTAGACAGGTACTTGGGCAGGCAGGCACACATCTTTTTGGCAATACTGTTTTATGAAGAAATACCCACAATCCAGCCAAAATAGAATGTACCTCAAATACAGCGGCTCTGGCAGACGATTTGTATGAGTGGGCGAAAAACAACACTCCTGCAATCAGAAGGCAGTTCCTTCCAATTCCTCCACATACTCCATCCTGCTCTAGACTTCCAGGAACCGTCCCAGAAGTGGGTTTTTGTTTTTGTTTTGCCGAGGGGGGGGGAGGTGTGCAGGCTTTTTGTGGAGGCTGTACTAGGTGTGTATCATTGTTGCATGAGCAGAGGTCAGAACAATCTTCTCTGGATGCAATGCAATGATTTTAAATGAGTGTGCTAAGCAGGCACTTATCTTCCTCTCACCAAAATAAATGGGACTTCACAGAGCATCCATTTAACTTTAATTGCGAAAACGAATTTTTTAAAAATGGATTTAAACAAACATTTACAAGGCATTTGATTGTGAAACCTGAGATAGCCATGAAGAAGGCAAAGAGAAACAAACTCCATGGCGTATTACTGCACAATCCAAAACTAGTCTCTCATTCCAGAAAAAAGTGTCTCCGGATCTCTAGGGGTTTATCATAAACTTCAAATATACACACCAACTACATGCAAGGCTTTCCCAGATTTTCTTATACACCTGAGTTCTTTTATATGAAAGAACAAAATCAGTGTAAGTTTTAAATGATAAAGCACAAAATCTCAACTGAACTGTACACCAGATGTAGTGAACCTCCAGCCCTTAGGCCTAATTAGGTACACCAGGCCTTCCCATTTGGCTTTCCAGGCCATTTGGCTAAGCCATGCCCACCTGCTAATCACATAACACTGGGTAATTCAGTTTGTTAGAATGTGGTGCTGAGAAAATCACAGGTTACAGGTTCTATCCCTGTATGGGACACCTGCATATTCCTACACGGCAGGGGTTCAGGCTAGAGGATCCTCAAGGTCCTTTCCGACTCTACAATTCCGTGATTCTATGAAAAAGGTTCATATATGATGTCAGGTATGGACAGGTAAAAGGCAGCTGGTCTGATCCAAAAGGGGCTTATGGGGTGCCACCAGTCAGCTGATTGTCAGAAGCCCCATGCACAGCGCTTCAGAACTGTACTGAGCTTGTGAAGTGGTGATGATCAACAGTACCTCAAAGCATAGTGCAGGGTTCTTTGCAAGCACTTTGAAGCCTGACAAGCAGCTGATTGTTGGGATTTCAAAGTACCCCCCTCCTCCGACTCGCAAAGTCCTGCTCTATGCTTTGAAGTCCCACTGATCAGCTGATTGTCAGGCTTCAAAATGTAGCAGAGGGCTCCGAGTGTCAGTAGATTGTTGGGACTTCAAACCACGATCTCACTGACATCACTGTGACACCAGGTGCTTGGCAGGTGAGTGGCCCTACCCATCTGTCAAATTTGGCTGGCAAGGTGGGATGAGTAGAATCTGGACCACTGGCCAGATTGTTCTCTTCCCCTGCTCTACCCAATACAAAGGGGCAACATTTTAAAAGTACTATGCAGCACCTAAGGTTTTTTTCAAAAGAAGAAACTGACAGAAATATAAAATGCTTTGAAGAGAAACAATAATCAATAAACAAATAAAATAACTTAATTACTATCTAGTAGACAAAGACCACACAACTTACAACTAGCAGGCAATGTGTCTTAAAATTTTTGAGCAGACATAATATTTTAAGTCCAAAGAAACATTTGTGATTTCTTCTTTTTAGTCTCTCCCTGCCCCAAGGAGATTGTTCACCACTCTGAACAAATTAAAACGGAAAACCTTTAACATGTCAGCAAAATACAACGTACAATTGCAGCTCATGTCCTTCAGAATTAACAAGTCCTTTTGCTACGGAACCTTAGCTGAATATGGAATGCCATCTATGGCTTTGGATTAGAGGGCTGTGGTTTCAGTGGTGGGTTCCATTGTCTCAAAATTCACAATGCACAGTCAAACCTTACGCTTAATTATTGAAATAAAGGGTAGAATCCAAAGGGTTGTGTATTGTGTTCCCCATGTACACTGGCACTCCCCAACCCACGATGCTCTTGAATGTCAGAAGACCTTCTGGAGTGGGACTCAAAGTGGTGCGAAAGCTACAGAAAGAAAGCAAAGACTAGCACATGCGCACACAGGTGAGAAAAAGGGCTTCCTACTCATGCACTGGGGTCCTTGGCATTGCAGGCAAAGTCCTTAAGACAGGAAGACACACAGGTAAAAACACTAACGATGCTCCATTAAAAGGCAATTTCATTTCTGCTTCATATGCAAATCTACCAAAAGGGCACCACTTCTGAACAACTTCTAATTTAGAAGAATCAATTTCAGAAAACCTATCCATTTTACATTTTAATAATGCCTCAATATCTTAAAATACCTTCAAGAATTTATTTCACATGAATACTATAATGTTATAACTGGCCAAAACAGGATTTCATTTAAATTGCTCACACAGTTTGAAATGCATCTTTCTCAACAGGTAATTGTTACTGTAAAATTCTTACTGTATTCTGTTTCACCTACTGTAGTGTATGCTGAATAGGAATACAGATCTATAAGACATTAGACTTTAAAAGACCATAAAGGAATTTAAGAAAATTATGATTGGCACAGTAAAGCAAAACGTGTGTTTCACTGGAACTTTTTCAGTAATTAAGATTCTCTAACAGCATTTTCAGTTCTACAAGAGATTAAGCACAGTGAACAACAGGGAAAAAATCAGTTTGAAAGTGCCTGTCTTTTCCATTTGTTTCCCATAACCTTACTCAGAAGTACCACTGATTTTGGAAATTGTGATCAAGTTAAGATTAATATTTACCTTATTTATTTTAAAAAAGGAAACCATACACATGTATATCTACACTGCAGTGTATCATTACCATTATATGATGGGTTTCCTTGCGAAAGTTCTTAAAAGTTCTTATTTTTAACAGTTACTGCCTTTGGGGGATTGCCTAATTAAACTACGTTTTAATTGGGAATTGAAAAGCTGCATACTTCTGAACAATTCCATGTTTGATTACAAGTAATTCATTGAGTAAAATCCTACTTTTCTTTTGCCTGCAGACAAAACTTCCATTGGCTGCAACTGGACTTTAGGATATAGCAGATCAAGTTGTTAATGAGAAAAAGCCAAAGGTAAAAAGGGCCTGCTGTTCTGCAACTAGGTAAAGGTAAATTAAAATTGTGAGGAATTAAATGAATTTCACACGCATATTCATTCAGAATACTGTTATTAAACACTCACATCACGTACGGGTGTTGCAGAGCAACCCTTCCACTGTATATTCTTTCTATATTTAATGTTTTTTCTGCCTGGTGTAATACCAGCACTATTGGTCAAAAAGATTAGGGGGAAAGCAGCATAAAGTTGTCATGCACAGAAAATGTTTCTTTAGAAAGGGCACAGGAAAAAAATCAAGGCACTTAAGACAAGAATTCTCTCTCCAGTTCATATATTGATGGCCGGCATGCTTTACTCTTCAGCCTACACAGAGGCACTGTAGAGTCACTGTTTTGACCTTCTACATCAATATCCAGCAAAGATGGCATATGGGATTTAGTTCTCTCATCAGTGTCTGTCAGTGAGTTAACCGTTGAACCTCTATCACGCTCTGAACCGTCAGATTCAAAAGGGCTTGACTTCCGACGTTGTGGAATAGCCTGCCAAGGATCTAGCCGACTTCTTAAAGAAGAGGGTCGAGGTCTTGGTATAATGTTGACAATTCCTTGCTTTACAGGTGAAGGATTGCTTCTTTGCTGGAGAGACGGGCAGTGCACACTCTCCGGAGCCCCATTAGCAATTCCATTACCTAGAACGGAGGGAAAAGGCAACAAGGACAAATTTAAAACAACCCTAGGACAATGCATATACAGTGTATATGCTAAGGGGAACTTAAGATGAGCAGTTAATGTGCACAATAACCGCCCATTGTACACATTCACCAGGCCCAATGAAGAATGGAGAATCCTTCCATGATGACATTGACATGTATTTTGATCAGGCAACCTTCAAAGACAGGGAATGTGCTCATCTCTGCTGAATTTTGCACATTCTCCAGCCACCATGCATAATCTCCAGCAGGCACTGTGGAATATTTATACCTTCACTCAGCCATATGCACACTCTCTAGTCACTTTGCATAATATCCAAAAACCGTGTCTATTATTATTATTTCTTGTTCAGAAGTGTGCAGTCTGTGCTCTCTGGGCTGCTTTTGGCCAGCTGCCTCAAAATATATACATTCCCCAAAGCCTGGTAGAAATTGTGCATAATGGCTAGAGAATGTATAAAAGTCAGTCACTGCATATACATTTTCCAAGGCCTGTTGGGGATTATATATATTGACTGGAAAATATGCACAATTCCTTCTTCGTGGAAGGATTATATGCACATTCTCCATGAAGCCTAGTGAATGCACATAACAGCCAGTTATTCTGCACAGTTATTATTAGCTTCCTCTTAATATAGATATTAGAAATTAGCTAATGTTTTTAGCAAATTGAAAAGTAAGGCAGCTGTATAATAGGTTACATCAAATCTATTTAATGTTCTACCCAGGGAGGCTAACTAGGTGCGTGTGTTACATATCTTTAGATGCCAAGCAAAAACGTTCCTCTTCTCCCAGGCTTTTTGCTAATTAAACAATCTATGGCCTTTTAAATTGTGTGGGGTAAGGTTATTGCTTTTGTTTGTTACTATGGCATACATTTTTGTGTTTTTATATTGTAAAGTGTCTTGTGATCCTTGGATGAAGGGCAATATAGAAATTATAAATAACGATAATAATAGTCATAATCATGTCAGAGTACTTTCTTCGTCCCAGTAAAGAAAACAAAACAAATTACAGATTGATTGATTGATTTTGCTACTCACTTATGGAATGGCATGGGTTTCCATCTGACACGGTTCGTCTGTGACCCAAAACTCTTGCTTTTGAGGAAGAGGCATTGGATATGAATTGAGATTCTTCCCTCAAAGGAAGACTGGGAGATGGCACATTAGAATCAGCAGCAGGATCAGCTTTGGCCATTTGTTCTCTTTTACTCGCAGGACTTTCAGACAAAAAGTGTCTAATGGGTGCATCTCTGTTAAAGGACAGCGTGCTCGTAATTGTATCTTCACTGTCAGACTGAAGGAGGCATTTAGTGGAAGCAGAAGAAAGAGAGAAAAGGTTCACAGTACTTGCAGGTGGACATAGTGAAGGGATGTGTGTTTCCTCCTTCTTGGGCTGCAGCCTTACAGGGCTTGCACTTCTGTGAAACTTGGAAGCTCGCTGAAATATTCCATCACGCCTTTTCTTTTCCTCCTTGGGCAGTACTTCTTCAGGAGCCTGAAATCTGTTCAGCTCCCTAATATCCACACCCAGTGCTACTGATGCAAGGAGGACCCCGCATCCATAAAGCACTGTGTCAGTTTTCTTTTTCTGAAATGTTCTGCTGAGGCTGTTTGTAGGGGTCATTTGTGGAGTGCTATTTGCAGAACTTGCTGAATTTCTTTCTTCGGAGCTCTCCTGTTCTGCAGAATTAAATCCTTGGTCATCCTTCCAAAGAGGTAGATCGATGTAGGCCTGATTTGGCAATTTTAATTGCTTTGGTCGCTTGGTATCCAGACCTTCAGAGGAAAGCCTCTGCTCTGTATAGAGACATTAAGTTGTTCACATTCAAGTATAACGTTCTTTTCTTCACTACCAGTATGTACTTATAAAAAAGCTTAGCAGCTGTAATATCTCTGCAGAGTTGTGAAGTGCATTCGAACACCAAAAAGAATAAGAGGAGAAGCTATCATGTATCACATGGCTTGCTTAAGTAGAAACCTTAATCACACACATGTAAACAATAAAGCAATTGCTTTTCAACTTGACCACCCAGATAAACTGCCCTTCTGAAGAGCTAGATGGCAAATATCTTTGGTTTTAGTGGTTTTTAAGAATGTAGTTGCTGGCTGTATGGTCATACCATCTATTTTGCTATTTCCCCTGTGTTCATGAATGTCTCTGGGGTAGCAAATAAGACAAATAAAGTTGAAATTCTGCTCAGTGGTGGAGCTCATGTTCTGCATGTGAAACCCCATGTGAAACCCCAAGCTTCTCCATTTAAAGACTTTCAGGTTCATGACAAGACTACCTAGATCATGATTTGCTGCTGGCTACATCACATGGCAATGACTGGACATTGGTCACATTTGCACATCATGGCAAGCTAGGCTTTCTGACTTAGTATGGCTTACTGAAAATGAGCAGATTATTGATGCACACTGTCCAATTGCTCCATCATTACTTCTCCCCTGTGCTTTAAATCCAAATCAGAAGCTGTGGCTTGCTTCTCTCTAACAAGCCACAGTTGCAAGCCACCTTAAAGCCGTGGTTTGTTGTCTGTTCTCAGCAAGCCACAAGAAGCCAGAAAGTCTGGCTTATCATGATGTGTGAACATGGTTTTGTCTCTGAACATGGTTCCACCTTAAATCTCATTTAGAATATTTATATTTTAGGGTTTTAAACTACTCTTATGAACTCCATGTTTAATTCTGAGTGCTGATGCCCACAAGATCCTGAAAAACAAAAGCAGTATTTCCATATATAGTTATAATATATCACTATATATAGCATGCACACTCACCTTGGTCTATGAACAAAGACGCTAAAGGAACACCTTTCTGATTCTTCATCAAAAGTGTTGGCCAAGGACTACTGCCATCTGAGAGGGGTCTTATTCTGAAAGAAGAGAAAATCTTTAGTATGAAGAAAACCACTCTTGATAAACAGATAGCTAAGTAGAATCATAGAATCATAGAGTTGGAAGAGACCACAAGGGCCATCGAGTCCAACCCCCTGCCAAGCAGGAAACACCATCAGAGCACTCCTGACATATGGTTGTCAAGCCTCTGCTTAAAGACCTCCAAAGAAGGAGACTCCACCACACTCCTTGGCAGCAAATTCCACTGTCGAACAGCTCTTACTGTCAGGAAGTTCTTCCTAATGTTTAGGTGGAATCGTCTTTCTTGTAGTTTGGATCCATTGCTCCGTGTCCGCTTCTCTGGAGCAGCAGAAAACAACCTTTCTCCCTCCTCTATGTGACATCCTTTTATATATTTGAACATGGCTATCATATCACCCCTTAACCTCCTCTTCTCCAGGCTAAACATGCCCAGCTCTCTTAGCCGTTCCTCATAAGGCATCGTTTCCAGGCCTTTGACCATTTTGGTTGCCTCTCCTCTGGACACGTTCCAGTTTGTCAGTGTCCTTCTTGAACTGTGGTGCCCAGAACTGGACACAGTACTCCAGGTGAGGTCTGACCAGAGCAGAATACAGTGGCACTATTACTTCCCTTGATCTAGATGCTATACTCCTATTGATGCAGCCCAGAATTGCATTGGCTTTTTTAGCTGCCGCGTCACACTGTTGGCTCATGTCAAGTTTGTGGTCAACCAAGACTCCTAGATCCTTTTCACATGTACTGCTCTCAAGCCAGGTGTCCCCCATCTTGTATTTGTGCCTCTCATTTTTTTTGCCCAAGTGCAAAATAAAAAGCCTTAACGGGACAGGTTTTCTGCTAAACAACAGAACATGATCTGGCTATTGTTGCAGTTCTTATACAGCAGTTAAAAGTTGGCTTGCTTGAAACAAATGATTTGGACTTTATTTAATCCCACCCACCCTTTTCCTGCATTGGAACATTTCAGTTCAACTACTTTTGGCGACTGAAAACAAAATTTCAGGACATTCCTACAGTATACAAATGAAGCATGACTTTTTTTTTAATAAAGTCCTATAAACTCGTTGAATCAAATCTTCAGTGATTTAGGACACTGGAAAATCTTCCAATTCAAGGTTTTCCGGAAAACCCACATCTCTGATACAAATGTTACAATGTTAATCAGGAGTTTGAAACTATTCATTTTCCTGCACTGCATTAAGAGATAAAACCTATTCATTTTCGAGATCCAGAGTCAGTAGTTTGTAGCTAAGCCACAGGACTTTTGTATAATTGATGGTTCTCAACATTTTCTTCAAGCAACGAAGTGAGTGCACTTTTTTTCAGAATAAATCTGAACAAGGCATCTCCAAATGTTTAACCCCTGGCATGCCTCAAATTGTGTGCCTTAAAACTCCAGTAATTCATGTTTGCATTAAGTTGAAAACCTAGGATGTTTTCAAGTAAGAGATTGTCTCTGCCCTTTGCCCTCCTCACAGTGTTTGAATTTTGCTGCCAGAATTTCTCACTCTTATTCATTACAGCCAGTGCTTTTTTTCTTTAAAAAATATTTGGGGGTACTCTCATTTTCCTACTCATATTGAAATACTGCCCATCAATGAGGCCAAACTTAGATTCTCAAAATGTTTAGGGGTATGTGTACCCCTGCGTCCCCCCCAGAAAAAAGCACTGATTACAGCTGTTCAATTAGGCATAGACAGATGCATCCTAACTCGACCTGCATCAGGAATAAGCCCACACAGGTTTAGCCACTATAAGATGGAAAATAAGTATGGTTTTGCAAGCCTCATTCAATTCAGTTGCACTTGTTGACTCTGATTTCCCACTCTGATTTCCCACCAACCCATGGTTTTGTGTGCTGTGCACAAGAAGGAACGAGCCAGAACAAGCTTCAGGCCTGAGTGCTCTCTCTGCCCTCCCTTTTGTTCAGAAGATTTCACTCCTGTTTTAATCAACCACAGCTTCCTGTGTTGTCCAATCTGGAACCAGAGTCAGCATTAAGTATGCATAATTTAAACAAAACAGCTTCAGTACTCCCAGATTACTCTGTGTACAGTACACAGAAGGAGTGTGTGTGTGTGTGTGTGTTTTGAACACTTCAGTGTCCAGAGTGGGCTTCTTCAAGAATCATTATACCACTACTTCCTTCAAGGCCCCTAATACAGTTCCCTCCCCAGGCAATCCCCAACTAGCCATGATGGGCAAAAGTCAAGACTACAGATCAAACAGATTCAAATGTATATATAATTTTACATATGCATACGGTTTTTATTCAGGTGCTGTTGCATTCATTTTATTCTAAACAGCCCTGAGCCTTCCAGGTAAAGGACAGGATATAAGCTTCTCAAAACAAAAACAACCACAGAAACACCACCTTTGTATTGCATTCCTCATGCCACATAGCAGCCATACCTCTCTTTACAATCCGTACGCTCTTTTGTTTGAACTGAGCTTGGCCCCCATGTGCACCCTTTCTTTTTGAAGCCTCGCTTGACATCTTCAAATTCTTCCTGATGACAAACTGTGCTCCTTCCCCACGTTTTGTTGCTCTCATCCGAGGTCACTGCAGAAAGAGGAAAGATCTCAAGAGCAATTCCAAGCAGTATGGCTTTATGGCAGTGCATATCCGAAAATACCCGATGCTTTAGCATTCACATTATGCTACTGTAAAAGAGATTACACCCCCTCCCCAATTAAAGGACAGCTAAGAGAAAATCAAATCCAAGCAGGCAAAGAGTTGTTTCATCTATGAAGGTAGGAGGTAAGAAAAGAAACTAAGCCAATCAACAGAAAATATCTGATTTCTTTTCATGCTTTTGATTTTTCTTTATACATCTTGGCAAGCTATAGTTACTGAGCACTTGTATCAGATATACATGTAGAATAATGCCTTTTGTGATATAACTTAATAGGGCAAAGTCATAATATACAGTTAATGCATTTGCATTCATTTGAAACACAATCTCTGGAATGGATATCCAAGTAAGTGCTCAGGCTATCAGTGCATACAAATTTAGCTTAGAAATTAATTTAACCAACACCTTTTATGATTTAATGTGGTCTTGCCTTTTTTCTTAACCCCACTGGGAAGTTCATATTCGCTTGTGATATCTACATCTTGATGGTACACATATATACTGTTTCTTTGCCCATTAGCTGTATTTGGGTCTGTTTTGGAAATCACTGAAGAAACAATTAAGAGAATAGAGATGAAAATACCAAGTTGCACTTCAGCTTGGTATTAAGCAAATACCATAATCTTAACCAGGCATCCCAAAGTACAGAGGCCTTCCATTCATCCTAGAAATAGCTTTTCCAGCTCATGGAGAGGAGAGGTAAGTGCTCACAGCTGATTACTTTGTGATCCATTTTTAAGCAGTCAAATCCTATGGCTGACAGCACCACCACCATCATCAGCAGCAAATCTTTAGGACTGGATATAACAGCTGCTGAAATAGTGCAATATGTATTGTGTTGTGGCAGCTTTCCAGTTCAGACACGACACCACACTATAGTCATCATGTTTCATCTAATCCAGTGTAACAACCTGGCCACGATGTTGCACTGATACAGCAAAGAGGATTGGGCAGCCACACTGACAAGAGCTATTTTGTACATTGCCCAGATAACTAACAGGGAAAATAATAATTATTTACTAAATGAAGTGTTGCTGTGCCACACAATACTATTATACAACACAGAAACAGGAATGGATGTGAATGAAGCATGTTTAGATGGAATGTAGCTAGTAGCTTGGCCGTATACAGTTGAGAGAATTTTAACCCCCCCCCCCCAATATTCTCATTATACCTTCCCTAATTTTTCCTAAACATATTGGGCTGGACTCTGAGTGGAAGAAACCTTGCAGAACGATACTTCTGCACCCCTTTCTATCCACAGTCGGTCCTCTGCCTGACTAAAAGTCACTCTGAGAGGGTGAGAGATCTTCTGGAATGGGCTGTCACCCCAAATTGGATAACAGTACCTATCCAATCCTATGAATGCCCCATCACAACGCACTGTTCTGAATTTCAAGAAGTTGCAGTGCAAAGGAAGGACAAGGCAAATCCTCTTCTGCAAGCTTTCTCTTACTTGTCATTCCAAAATCCAGCCCATTGGATGATGTACAATATATTTAGGTGGCATACATGTATGAGGAAAACAAAATTGGTAAAGTTACACTGGAACTTTTTGTGGGTTTTTAACACTCTTTCTTCAGATTAAAATCACAGGGATCCAATTACTGGGATACAAAGATCCATTTCTACAGGAGGTGACTGCATTAGAAAAATTAAAAAATATCTCCTGTATACATATCCCAAGACTCCTTGGAACAACCTCTATGCAGGATTTGGCCTAATGTGCATGTGGCCCCTTCAAGGGCTTGCACACTACAGACTCCATAACTGTACAGCCAGCATATGTTCTTTTCTTCTCAGTTCCATAGATCCCAGGCAATTCTAATATTCTAACATTTTATGTTCTTGAGAAGTATTATGGTGGTGGTGGGAAGCTTGCAGGCTTACTTGTTCAGTTAAAGAACTACAAACTTGTTTACAAAATCTGCCCAATTCAAGGAGTCTCTCAAAAATATTCAAGACTGGGTTCACAGTCTAATGAATATTCAACATATAGTTCCAATGCATAATTGTCTAAAGAAACCAAATTTAGAGATATAGCCTCTCCTACTTCAGAAAACTTCCAAGTTGGTAATGACCTTTACAAAATCAAATCAATAAAGCCTGATTACAAGCATTACCAACAGTTAAAAATAAATCCTGCATGAGGAAGAATTTGCGTTTTATAGCCCTTTTGATTATTTTCATTAAAAACCTGATGTGATTTCCAGACAAAGGTGACTAGACCTCTGTTTCTAAACTGTATTGAAGGGGCTCCCATTCCTTCCATTATGCCACTGCAGTGCAGCCCAAAATTAGGTGAAGGGAGAAAATGTACCACAGAATAAGAAAACAGTTTCAGCTTCAACCAAATAAGTACACAAGTTAAATGTCTGTAAGAACTCCCCTTCAGCTTTATCTATCAAGTCTGAAAGAACAGAAGATAATGGGAACAAAGGATTAAGAAAATGCTGTTCAAAGAGAAGAAAATAATCTTTTGTTTACAAGACATCCAGGTTGAACGACAGACAGACAATAGCCCCTTTCATTTCTGGGAAACAGGAGTGATAATTTATTACCCTCAAACAGAAGACACTGAATAATTAACCAGTGTTAGGCTGTGTGAAAGGGGAAAACGCTTGGAACTAAGCTGAATGTAAAAGTCCCTTCATGCGTGCACAGAGGCAGGCAGACACACACAACATACAGTAACTCTACTAAAAATCTCAAGATGCATTCCAGCAAACTGCCCACCTATATTCATATTTCTTTTCATATATATATATATATATATATATATATATGAGAGAATAACATTATTTAAAATTCTACAAGTCCAGTCTTGGGCACAATTCAAACACCAAGCAACAACCAGAAGCTATTTGTGTTTAATTGCAGAGCCCAAATTGACAAACCATGATTTGTAAGATGCTAGGAAACCAGAATCAGAAGCGGATGGCTAGTTTGCAATCCAAGGTGCTGAAGTCTTCAGGTTTTCTGAACTGACCAGCCATAATTGTGGGCATCACACTACCCCCAAATGCCACAGCACCTTGAGAAAGGAATGCTGAGCAGGTGGGAAAGGGAAGCAAAAAAGCAGTTCTAAACCAGTTTGGATCAGAAGCTCAAATCATGGTTTGTGGCTGTAAACTATTGTTACCAGAAACCATAGTTTGGTGGAATGCCCAAATTAAGCCTCCGACATAGTTAAAGTTTAAGTCACTATCTCATTACCATTGTTAATGCTAACCACAGTGTGCAATAACTCTGAAACTAATAACAAAATCTTTTTTGAATTTGAGAATTTTCTGTCCATTGTTTTAAACTATCATATCTTCACCTTCACCTTGTACTGGCTAACAATACTTTACAGTATACTCCTATACATGTTTGATTGGAAGTAAATCCCACTGAATTCAATAGGGCTTACTGCCGGCTAAGTGTGTATAGGATTTCAGACTTAGGCTGTATTAAAATGTACTGCAAGATCAAGAGAGTTAGAGTTCAGGCATTCCAGATTAAGAAACTCAAGATTAGAGGGAGGGGGGCAATACCTGATTTAGACTTACATTGTATAGCTCGAAGACGGGGAATTATTAGGGGGCTACTTGGTGGACTGGAGCTGTTACTGTTTAAACTTCTTCGCTTATCCAGGTTCGGGGAGGCTTGCACTGTTATCTTGTGTTGAAAATCTATTATAAATAGGAGAAGAATGTATTTGTATGAGAAAATAAAAACCCAAATTCAAATTAACATGCTGCTTCTTTACATATAACAATAGTTACAGGCATTTTTTTTTAAAAAAACAAACCCTTGGTATAAACACAAAATTGATTATTCGTTGTACCTGCAATTTTGCCTACCTCTAAAGAACCTGGTGCAGTGCTTTTACAGCATAATCACAACCTAGCTTCAACACAGCAGTGGTGCACTGCTTTCATGTTGGCTCATATTTAATTGTCACTAAGTGCCAGAGAGACAACTCTGAAGGTAACATGCAACACAATCCTAGTAAGACTCTTTGAATCCAGTGGTTCTTACTCCCTGGTAAACAGGTACAGGAAGAACAGCAGCCGCAGCTACTGAGCAGAGGAAGGAATCCATGTTTGCTGCTCTTTCACAAACCCTTGACACACCAGTAATAAATACTCTGGCGTGAACAAAGATATAATATGTTATCAACAGGGGAATTCCCTACCAGAATTCTACTTCAAAGCAACATTCCCCAGTATATTTTGTTTCCCAATTCAGGAAGTTTAATTGGCTGGTAGAACAAAATTCTAAATCAAACACAAGGGAGGTCTGTGCTAACGCCTCAATATCTTAAAAATGTTGCACATTTGTCACACTGAAATGCATAATATGATATCAGTATTGTATCTAACCTTTCAATAGCAACCTCTGAAACTTTCAGCCCAGTATTTGAAATCTGCAAATGCAGTAGCCATCCTAAATAAATGCATAGATGAGGAAAATCGAACCTGAAGGCAGACTGATTCTGTGACCATCTTTAAGCTTTAATCTGCTTTTTTTGAACTTTCCCTTTCTCTTCTTCACATTGGGCTTGTCTTGGTTTAACTGGAATATCAAAATATTGAGTTCTCGCTCCAGTACATCGATTTCCCGTTCTGCTAACTGCTGCTCACGCCGCTTCAACAACTCTTCTTGTGATTTCTGATGGAGAGCAGCTCTTGTCAATTCTTCTTCTCGTGACCTCAGCTCCTAACAAGAGTTATAGAAATACTAGTTAGGACACAAGTCTTCTGCCATGTGATGGAAAAAAATTCCGTAAGTATTTTACCTGACAACTTTTCAAACAAGAGGGAGATAGGGTGAAATCTCCCTCTTTCCACACCAAGGCTATTTTTAAAAGAGGTGGTCAACCAAACTCTAGCCAGGCTTTGTTGGATTAAGGACAAATGGGAATTTGGGACATTGTTTCCCTCATCAGTTTGGTTTGTTTTTAGTTAACCTCCACAATGTGTTCTGAAATGTGACTCTAAATTATTATTTTAGCAAGTAGACTGCAGAAGAGGAAAAGTATTCTGGGCTCGGCCTAGGATACCTAAAGGAGCGTCTCCACCTCCATCATTCAGCCCGGACACTGAGGTCCAGATCCAAGGGCCTTCTGGTGGTTCCCTCAATGTGAGAAGTGAGGTTACAGGGAACCAGGCAGAGGGCCTTCTTGGAAGTGATGCTCTCCCTGTGGAACATCCTCCCTTCAGATGTCAAGGAAATAAACAACTATTTGACTTTTAGAAGACATCTGAAGGCAGCCCTGTATAAAGAGGTTTTTAATGGTTGATGTTTTACAATTTTTATATATATGTTGTAAGCCATCCAGAGTGGCTGGGGAAACCCTGTCACTCTGGGTGGGGTATAAATAATAAAATTATTATTATTATTATTAAATACAATGCCAGATAACTAAGATCTAGTAGGCATGCCAGTGCCCCAAGGGCTCCCCTACTTTTTATGCATAAAAACTTTTAATATATACTATGAAAGTCAACTTGGATGGCAGCTTAGGAAGTTTCCCATTAATATTTGTAACAAAAGAATAGTTAGCCCAGTGTAGTGTGTGTGTGTGTGTGTGTGTGTGTGTGTGTTTGCGCGTGTGTGTGTGTGTGTATATACATATAGGAAAAGGCAAGATTTCAAATTATACAGAAGCTTCTTTTCTTCACAATTAGTTGCTCACCCAATGAAGGCTTTGTTTTTTATATATGATTAGTCACCCAACTTTTAAACAATTACATATACATTTGTATATAGTAAGCCTGCAACTTGTGTGTGTTCAGCTTTACGCACATGGCAAAAAAATAAAAATAAAAAGTGGGGTGACTTTGGCAATCCCACCTGCCATTAAGCCCAATGTGTTCTGACTATACACCACCCCGCAAGGATAAAAGAGCAATTTAAAAGAGTTAAAGAGTACCAAGAATTAAGAGGGGAAAAGATCCAATTCACTCACTTTTTCCTTGGTCCTCAGTTCATCAAATATCTGTTGAATTTCCAGTTTCCAGTCATCTTGCATGGAATGGAAAGATTCCTGAGGCATCTCAGTCAAAACAGCCTCCTCAATGGCAGTAAGCTGCTCAAGAATCAAGGTAAAGGGCGGTCGGATATGGGGATCCTGAGCCCAGCACACTAAAATTCATCAATTGCATCAGTTAGAAGAACAGGGAACAAAATCTGACACTATAATAATAATAATAATAATAATAATAATAATAATAATAATTTATTTATACCCCGCCCATCTGGCTGGGTTTCCCCAGCCACTCCGGGCGGCTTCCAACAGAATAGTAAAATACAATAGTCTATTAAATATTAAAAGCTTCCCTAAACAGGGCTGCCTTCAGATGTCTTCTAAAAGTCTGCTAGTTGTTTTTCTCTTTGACATTTGGTGGGAGGGCGTTCCACAGGGCAGGTGCCACTACCGAGACGGCCCTCTGTCCGGTTCCCTGTAGCTTGGCAGCTTTTAAGAATTCAATTTTTTTTTTTAGCATTTCTTTTGAAACATTTATATACTGTTCCTAAACAAAACTCAAAACAATTAATAGAGCACTTTCTTGGTAGAGTAGGGTTTGCTTGAGATTGCATTAAATGAGGCAATTTCCTCAGACTGTCCAGAGCTATGTATAAAAGGTAGCATGTGACTTGGATGCATGCACAGATTATTTTAGGCATGACCTGTTAAATAAATTACGGTCCTTTCACTTTCAAAAAGTGAGACCACAAATTCACCATGTGCATTTTTGCTTGGGTCTCACACAATCTTCTTTTTGCAATGGTGACCTGAAGGCACAGACCCATGTCCTATAGATTCATCTAGGCTCAAAATATGGAAGGATGGCACACAAGAGCTTTTAAAAATAAGGATTCCTTCACTTCCCCCATATGAATTATTCAATCTGTAGATCCGCAAACATCCTGCATCGAGAAAATCATGCTACACCAACAAAATAAACTGCTTCCGATGTAACTTTTCATTAACTTTGAGCATTAACTGCACTGACTTGCAGACTTTAGGCAAGTAGCTCAGTTGGTTGGAGCTCAGTGCTGAGAACACCAATGCTGAAGGTTTGATCTCCGTACGGGAGAGCTGAATATTCCTGCATCGCAGGGGTTTGGACTACTAGATGATCCTCACGGCTCCTTCCAACTCTACAGTTCTATGATTCTAAGCCACAATGTCTCAACCTGAGCTACGTCACAGACTGTGGTGAGGCTACGCTGCTATTCTGAGCTTCTTTGGAGGAAGGGAAGAATATAACTTAATGAATAAATGAGCAAGAAAGCACTTTCAAAGATGAATGCCGCCTTTAAAATGAAATTACGTTCCACTGCTGAACGCATTAAAAAACACACGTTTTTAGTACTGGACTAAAATGAAATGGGAAGCTGGTGTTTTCTATACCTTAATGTAAGTGATGACATTTCTAAATGAAATGCTAAAACTAAAAAAAATGTACACATATTATAGACAACATGCGAGTTATCTCATAGCAACTCCCCCCCCCCTTTTTAATAAGCAGCACAAGTACCTTTCATTAGTTTAGCAAATGGTTCGGGACATGTAGATGGAATGGGCAAAGTAAGCTTATTGACAGCAACACCGTAAGCCACAGCAAGACCATCAATGCCTCGGTATGGAACTTCTCCCGTAAGGAGTTCCCACAGCAATACGCCATAACTATAAATAAATGTTTATTTGACAGTTAAATACATGGCTTAATGAAGGGCAAAACAAAAACTTAAAAGGTCATCAACCCGTCTAGAAAGAAGGAAAGCATCCAAACACACCGCAACAAAGGATATGCCATCACCATGCTCTACATCCTTCCAACACTTGGTTGCAGCTAAATGAAATGCCTTATGGCCACAGGCATGTTACTTGGAAGCAAATGAAAATCCAGCTACATAAATAAGTATTCTGCATATCTGAAAGTGGTTTCATCATACTTGTTTCTATAAAGCCTTCACCTTGCGGTCCACAAAAAAAGGAAGAATGAACCGAATAATTCCTTGAAGTGTTTAAGATGGATGCCTGATCTCGTTGCTACTGCTATTTTATTGTTGCTCTGGTGGTTGTGGGTTTTCACCTGCCTTGTTTTAATTATACTGTAAATGAAACCTGGATAGCTCAGTTGGTTAAGAGTGTGGAGCTCATAACATCCAGGTTGCAGGTTCGATCCAAGCTGCATATTCCTGCATTGCAGGGGGCTGGAGTAGGTGATCCTCAGAGTCCCTTCCAACACTACGATTCTATGAAACTGTTTTACGCATGAAGGGATGAGTGGGGTGGTGGTGGTTCTGCCTGGCAAGCAAAAATGCTTTGCCAAACAGAACAATTGCCTTAGTGCAAAGTTGAATTCCTCTCCTTGTATATCTGACCTCATCTTTCAGGTGTTAAAAAATGCACATAGGAGTATAAAGAGATTCCTCCTGCTCTCTAGAATGCATTATAGTGAGAACCAATATATCGAGAAGTATAGTGAGAACCATTAAGGGAAGCCTAGAATCAGCAGAGTGCCAGAGTGACTGGGTGAGGTTTAGGAGCCAGGACCTTGCAAGTTTTGTACGCCTCGGTGGTGCTCCTCACTTACAGCATTTACCCAGGCACCACACCAGGAACAACCACACAACTTTAGGTTGCTTCAAATTTCATCCAGCTGTACAAAAGTTATTTAAAGAAACAAATAAAGAGAATATTGAAAACATAATTACCTCCAGATATCACTTCCTTTAGAAAACATGGATGATTTGATAACTTCAGGTGCCATCCATGCATAGGTTCCCGCAGCACTCATTTTAGTTGTTCTATGCCACTCTCTAGCCAAGCCAAAGTCTGTAATCTTCAGTGTTTTGTTATGAATATCATCATTCTCTATCTTCTCAAGCAACAGAACTGAAAAAGGGGGGAGGGGAATGTATAGATCATCATTAATATGAACTTGACCCATCCGGAAATGCAAGCATAATCTGTCTGCAGCCAATATGGAGCCAAGTGTTTCCCTTTTTAAAAATTAATGTTAAAATTTTTATTTAATAAATAAAACTAGGACAACGTGGATTTAGCTCATAGTAGGAGGTTTAGAGTGCAATTCATCAAGGATTAAAGCTGTGTCTGTCCCACCCCCAACTGATGGTTTGAGTAGATGCATATGCTTTGAACAATGATTTACTAACATAAGGTGTGGAATGTTGAAGAACCTACAATTAAGAGAGTTCAGACGTCACATCAAACCATAGTTTAGCATAATGTGAATAAGCAGCCCGGAATCTTAGACTTGTGTGCTTCTTCCCTTCTCCTGAGTAACTAGTTTCAATGGCTAATTAACAGTAACTACAGTTTGTCAGTTCAGATGATATGACAAGCTGAGGTTAATGGAAGCCAGAAGCAAAAGCTGGCAAACTCATCCTGCAGCATGCTGGAGGATTGGGAAGGAGGCAGAGGGCCACATGAGTCAGAAGCTCACTGTATATCCTACTAAACTGCAGTTTAGTGTAGTGTCCAAATACACTAAATAGTGCAGATTCAATTTCCAATTTTGGAGCTAATTCTCCTCACAGTTTAACCTAGTGATTGATGGATTGCAGCAGGAGAAGATTTATGTCAGAACCCTCACACATACAAAACTAGTGAATCACAGAGGCAGCTAAACTAGAACTACGACACTGAAATTTCTCATATCCAGTTCACACTATCGTTGCCAACAGCAGGAACTATGTTTAAGCACTTGAGACAGACATGGTTCAAAGTCCAGTGTACAGATAATGAATTGCGATTAAGTTCTTTTCCTGGCCATATAAATTGCAAAGCACCATTAACAGCTAACCAGTTAAAACTATCTAGGGCTGTGGAATGCGTTCAAGCAAAAGGCGAGGTGACCTCTAACCCTTGCAACTGTGGAGAATGTTTAATATTTTACTATTCATGTATGCATTTATTTAAAAGAAGAAGACTCTGTCACTGATCCATAACAGTGTGCCTTGAGGCACAAGTGAAGTACTGAATAAAATTATATTGAAACCGAGTGCCCATGACAGAAATAATTAGAAGCAGGAAAATGTGGTAAACGTAGTGATATGAACTTGCTGCCCTTTGTACTTTAATGAAAGGCCTATTGTTTTGCATTCTACACAGGCAAAGCAAAATTCCACAAATTCCATGTCAGTCAATCTGACCGAAACCAAACACAAACTGACTTGGAAAGGTAATAACTGGCATATGGCCAGGTTTCATTTTAATGGGAAAATAGGGGGCAGCAGGGAAGAACTATTTCCCATAAGCAGGATGAAGAATTGCAGTCACTACATATACTTTGTATAATTTTCCCCCTCCCTCCCGTTTGTCAAATTGGGCGGCAGAGCACTTGACATAAACAAACTAAATAGGCGCCAGTGCCTCGTGACTGAACAAATTCTTGTGGTCTGTTGCTTAGCAACCTGCGCTAGGCCATCCCTTTTGGACTTCTACAGATATTTGCCCCTCATTAGCTTCATATCAAAACAAGTGACCTTTGCAACCTTGGGCTTATTCTGTGCACTCAACCATACATGACTGAAGTTCACAAATAGCAGATGCAGAATCTGGAAGTTACTTTAATACACATGCTATATGATTCAGGTGAGGGACTCTGCATGCAAAATGCTCCACCAAAACGAAAACAATTTGTAGAACTTGATCACTAAAATCACAATGTCAATATTTGCCATTCCGACTTCAGATTGAGCCCAATCCTAAAGGCTACACTTTGCAAACATTTACTTTGACGCTAAGAGAACTCAGGAGGAAAGTGTGCTTTCAGGACTAGCACTATGTCCATAACATTAACATATTTTAGAATGCACCTCTATAGCATCAAGCCCAATTACTAAAGTGGATTTTGTGTATGCGTGCCACTTATTTACCAATTCCTAATTAAAATTTGGGTGCACAGAGCCATTTAAAAACCTACTCCTTTGGATTAATAGCCATAACATTTTAAAACATAGACCAATCCAATATACACACAATAAGTTATAATATTATCTGTAACAAACCAAGGATGATTGTAGTAGAGGAGCTACATGTAAGTCGCTTTTTTCCATTTAAATCTCTCCCATTCCTTGGTGGAGCGTGCTACCACTCCATGGGTCCTTTGAGTGCAAACATCACTTCCCTTAGGGAAGAAACCACAGCAGAGGCTATAAAACTACATGAATTTGGGGAAGAAACAAGACACCACTCAGCAAGCACATCAATCCATCAATATGCTACAGTCAATAAACCAAAAATAAAAAGTATACAGCACACAAGAATCTCAGAGCAAAACAGATTGTTCTTCTGTGTCACTTTATAGGCATATAAAACTACTATAATATCAAGTGAGTCCTTGCTAAGACGGCCTGTCCAGTCTCAGGTGGTGAATTCTTCTCACTGATAGAAATTTAGTCACTGCAAGTGATACCTTTGGATTTGTAACTTCCATTGGATATTTAACATAAAACTGAACTGATCTGCCGGGCAGTTTGGTCAACAAAGGGCCAATCAACCATATGTTGCAAAACTCCAGCATAGAAATTACATGTTCTATAAATTCTACCTCTTGATTATTACAGGGGCTTATGCTTAAGGAAAGAGCAGCAGCAGCATACATGCCTTAAAACACTTGGGATGAAAGAACATGAAATCTGGCTGTAAGAAAAACTCTACAATGCGTAACACCACCACAGCCAAGCACATAGTAAAAGTGTGATCACCTGAAGTTTGAGAGTACAGAAAGTTTTGTGATGAGTCGCAGGGAGGACATAATGAACCCAAAGCCCTTTGAAATCGGGCTGTAATGTTGGGTTGAAAGTGTGACAATAAACTGGGGGGAAAGGCGTTCAGATTTCTCCTAGCGAGCCACCCATTATTGGCAAGTCAGCAAAGTGTTTCATGGTAATTATGCAATAGCACAATTACTGATTGGCAAAAGAAAGCTAATTCTGTAAATGCAGTATGCAAGTACAAAATGCAAGGTTACATACTACCCCAGGCTTCCCCAGCCTCAGCCCTCCAGATGCTTTTGGCCTACAACTCCCATGATCCCTAGCTAGCAGGACCAGTGGTCAGGGATGTTGGGAATTGTAGTCTCAAAACATCTGGAGGGCCAAGGCTGAGGAAGCCTGTGCTACCCTGTAGCAACATATGCCTTGATCATCTGCACTAATTTGGCTCAAGGTGGTCCGTTTATTGCGCAGGGAGCAAGGAACAAAATGATACCATTGGTAAATTTAGGGCATTGCTTTATCAAATCACAAATCTCTGCCCTTCCATGTTCCCTTCAGCTTGGCAGACAAGTTACAATGGGCCACACCAATCCAAAGAAGTGTCAGATTTCACTACGCTTTGCAGGATAACCCACCATCAAGTTTGATAGCTGCTTGTGGGATATTAACATGGCCATACCTGTATCTATCAAGCCTACTGGATCTTGATGCAGCTTTAAACCAACAAATCATAATCAGCAATGGAGGTACAGCTGTTGAACTTGGTGGATGATCACAGGATTTCATGGGTCACACTGTTCCTCGACTCTCTCACACATTCTGTCTCTCTCTGCCTTGCTTGTGTTCATTTCAGTTTGCTAAGTGCCAACACTCACAGATTAAAGAGCACCCCATCTCAATATCCATTTCTTATTGCTTGGGTTGTTCTTGTTTTAAATGCAATTCCCCCTCCATCTCCCTTCCCCCTCCAATTCTCCCCCCTGCCCATAACATACAATGGGAAAACTGGTGGTGGAATGTACTGGGATGGGGAAGGGGGAGGCATTAGTGAGTGTGGACATTCACCATATCACAAAGATGTATTCCAGCCCATGTCTCTTTTTGTAGATTTTATTATGGCAGCCCTCATGACCAACAACACAAGCTATTGCTTAAATAATAATAATAATAATAATAATATCTTATTTTTTCTAGCCCGCCCATCTGGCTGGGTTTCCCCAGCCACTCCGAGCCGCTTACAACACATAAAAAAACATAGGAAAATGTTAAACATTTAAAACTTCTTGACACAGGGCTGCCTTCAGATGTCTTCTAAAAGTTGTGTAGTTCTTTATTTCCTTGACATCTGATGGAAGGGTTTTCCACAGGTGTTCCTATCACTTTAAGAAGCCACTTGCTCAATGTTCATGACCTTTTGTATCTTATCTAGAAGAACTGCCCATGATTAAACTTTGTGCTCTATAGGAAAGGCGTGGATCCAGACCAAGTTAGTGATGCTTAGAACACACTGAAATCTACATGGAAAGCTCAAGTCCCATTAAGTCCACAAAACCCAATAGAGATTTAATTTGCTCTGAATCTAACCCCCAAAATTCTGTGTTTTCAATCACTTTAGATGAAACACATCATTGTTATTCTTGCCTTTGTAGATAATAATTGTTGAAAATATGAGTTAAAGAACAGCATTATGCAGCTAGGAGCATTAACATTCTGACAATAACTTTACACAAAATACAGGTTTCAAAATTGTTTCATTTCTTGAGTAACAACCTACAGGACACAAGAGACTGCTGCTGCTGCAGTGCTTTGGAGGAAGCAAGGAGAAAGCTGGCTGGCTTATCAGGCTTGAGTTAAAAGCACACCTGCAAAAGTAAACATTTCATTAGCACTGAAAAGAACAAAGCAGAGTTGTTCTGCCAACACTGGCATGTCTGGGTCTGAAGCTGCAGCATTAGGTAGAGAAAGAGCCCCTTGGCAATAAACTTTGAAGTGAGTAACTGATTTGGGGTTTTCATTTTAGAATTCTAAGCTAGTTTCTCAATGGACATCTGAGTCATTTATGAAACAGGGGGAGGAAAAGCTCCTTGCTAAAATGAAGTACATATTTTATTTCAAAGATCAGCAAGTGAAGTTGTGCTCCTGTGAAAAACTTGAGCCTCACAATGGTGGGAGAAACTTTCTCAACTTGCAGAATAATTTCACACTACCAAAGATGCAGTCCTTTTGTACTTGCACATCCATCAAATTCCTGCAATGAACTGAAAATCTTGTGTCCTCCCCGTCCCTCCTGGCTGATACATGCATATTTTGGCCTCCTCTGCCAAACTCATCTGCATTTACTTAAGTCTCCCATGTCCTTCAGCCCACTCTTTCTGCCTGGCTTCTTCGAGCTATTAAAGGTTTCAAGGCTTTTCTCTATTCAGCCACCTTCCAGACCATCCCGTCAAATGAGCATCTTTGGCAGAAATATGTGAGATGGTACAGTATGAATTAAAATTCAGATATAGCACAACCCTACCACTCATCAGGAAGTAGCTGGATAGGTTATTGCAGGAGTAAGCAATGTGGTGCCTCCAGATATTGTTGGAATACAATTCTCATTATCTGACCATTAACCATGGTCAGGGAGACTGATGGGAGTTGGAGTTCAACAACATCTGGAAAGCACCACATTGGCTGCCCCTGGGTTACAAGTTTTTAATATTAGTTTTTTTTAATGCATGGGGCCTTTGATATGGCTCCAAATATAGTCCCCACACTTTTATTCACCAAACCAGGTATAACCAGCAGAGGTCTGGCATCTTATATTAGAACTTTGTTACCTTACAAGCAACTTTGAATTCAAGATTAGTAACAGAAGAACTTTAATTTTCTACAGAAAGATTAAGTGGACAGATGATAAACAAAGAAGTTATTGGTTGAGCCATATTAAAATAATTAGCTCATTGGCACAAAAATGCCCCCCATTAGTGGGGGAAACAGAATTCTGTATACATGCTCATTTCCTTAATCACGTGTTATAGATAACGTCTCCACAAAAGGGCAAAAAAAAGGTACTGCATTTTGTTTAAAAGGTGTATTTTCTTACTCTCGAAGCTGAGAGCAACAGTTCTTTCCATGCGTGTTTCAAACAGTAAGATTATTTTAATTTTACAGTAATACAGTCATTCAAAAGCTGACGAACTTATTAAGATACTAATAACGTGAAACAGAACTGTAACATCAGCTCTATGCACCTCCTGCATATGAAAAATTCTACATGCCAGAAATAATTCATAGGGCCTTGCATCCTGCTCCAAGAGACACACTCAACAGCAAGGTATGCTTTGGCAAGTTGAATCTTTTCTACCCTCCAGGCCACTGCCTCTGTGGCCCCATATTATCACTGCAGCACCATTCTGCGTTTGCATATGCGTATTTGTTTTATGTGCATAAACAAAGTAACAAAGAGTCTTGTGACACTTTAAAGACTAACAAATTTGTTATGGCATAAGCTTTTGTAGACAAGATCTAGTCCACAAAAGCTTATGTCATAACAGATTTGTTACTCTTTCAAGGTTCCACAAGGCTCGCAGTAGTTTTTGCTGCAAAAGACTAATATGGCTACGCCTCTTAAAAAATCAACTTTTGCCCTGAAAGGCAAAAGTTTGAGGGCCTCGTTAAGATGTTACTTGCCCACAAATAAGCACTGAAAAGAGCCAGTCCCTATGGCAACACTCCATGTGAAGGTGGTACCATCTAAAAGCCCTTGCATGCAGTCATACTCACATATTCTCCACATGACAGGAACAATGCACAGAAAGCAAAATGCTACATAGGGATGCTAATGTTGTTTAGGCAGCAGTATATGACAGGGAAGATTTTAGACATGGAAGTTTCCATGCAGAGCACAAATGGAGATACTGTAGTCCTCCAGAGGTTGTTGGGACTTTTAAATCCCACAAGACTCAGTCAAAATAAGACTGCATGCTGATTCACAAGTTCAAAATCTCCATAATGCTACTACAAAGTGGCACACTACCAACTCTGTGTCCAGTTCCGGGAGTCATATGCTAAACAAACTGGAACATGTTCTGAGGAGAAAAACATATGAGAATACTGCAAGGCTACCAACACAGAATTGCCTGAAGGTTTGTATTGATACAGGTATGTATACCATACACAAAAGTTTTCTTACTTCTATTTCTTATAAGCAACCTACCTATCTGATCATAATGTTAATACCCCCAATAACTTCAATTTAGAACTCTGACCAAAAAAAATTCTGGGGGGGTCAGGTGATCATACAACAGATTTTATTTAGCTTTAGTTTTCCAAGTTTAATTTCCCATTAGAATGTGAGTTATTTTCCTTTGTTTACTCCTTCTGATGTGTCAATAATTGTCACAAGAGATGGGTTTTTGGACACAGAGAATCGCAAAAGATTATACTGGAGAAACTCTGTGGAAGGGTATTATTCCCCAATCCTTCTCTCTAAACTACTTAGATTTTATTTACAATAAAATTGTATACAAATTGTATACAACTTAGTATACAAATTCTGTTAATAAATAAAGTGGCAAGGAGAAAAAATAATAATCGTCGGGATCTATGCACCAAATGGAAACAAAACAGACTTTTATAAAAACTTAGAAGAAAGATTGTTTGAATATATGGATCAGAAAATTATAATAATGGGAGACCTGAATGGAGTGGTGTCAATGGAAATGGACAGACTGAGAACAACAGGGGTGAGTAAAGATGGGAAACTATCTAAGACTTTCTCTTCAATGATTAAGAATTGTAATTTGATTGATATTTGGAGACTCAGACACCCACTGGAGAATCAATTTACGTTCTATTCAGAACCGAATCAATCCATGTCAAGAATAGATCAGGTATGGGTCTCAAACGAATTAACCCCAAGAATCTCGGAAATTGAAATTCAACCAAGAGTGATTTCGGATCACAGTGCAATAAAATTTGAATTAAAAGATTTTGAAGAAAGAATGTTTAGATGGAGAATGAACAACTATCTTCTAGATGATCAGAAAGTAGTAGAAAATGCTCAAAAGAATTTGTCAGAATATTTTGTAAACAACTGCAATAAGGGAACAAAAATGAGTATGGTTTGGGACGCCAGCAAAGCTGTGATGAGAGGTTTTTTTATCCAACAGAATGCCCTGAAAAATAAGAATAGAGAAAAGAATAAGAAGGAAATACGGAGACAAATAACGGAAAATGAACAAAAATTGATAAAAAACCAAATAATGAAAAGATAAGACAGAATATAAAGACTCTACAAACACAATTTGCAATGATAATAAATAAAGAAGTAGAAGGGAATATAAAAAGAATGAGACAAAGAAATTTTGAATTTGCGAACAAATCAGGAAAATGGCTGGCGTGGCAGATAAAGAAAAGAAAGGAGCAGAATACAGTAAATAAAATCATCATTGAAGGTACGGAAATAGAAAACCCGAAAGAGATCAGAAAAGGATTCTTGGACTTTTATAGACAATTGTACAAAAATAAACAAAAGAATAATATGAGAAAGATAGAAAGATGAAAGATTTCTAAGGGAAAAAGAAGTGCAGAAGATCCCGACAGGAAAAAAAGATAACTTGAACGCCCCAATTGAAATTGAAGAAATTAAAGAGGCGATAAGCGAATTGAAAAAAGGGAAAGCTTCAGGACCAGATGGATTCACAGCTAGATATTATAAGGAAATGAGAAGCACCCTACTTGTACCATTGAAAGAAGTTATAAACAACATTTTGAAGAATAGAGAAATTCCAGAAACATGGAAAGAGGCCTTTATCACTTTTATCCCAAAACAAGGATCGGATTTAACGCAAGTAAAAAATTATAGGCCTATTTCATTATTGAACACCGATTATAAAATCTTCGCGAGTATATTAGCAAGGAGACTGAAAAAAGTATTGCAAGATTTTATACATAAGGATCAAGCGGGTTTTTTTCCTGGCAGACAGATGAAAGATAACATAAGGAATATAATAAATATAATAGAATATCTGAATGCCAGGAATGAGAAACAAGCTATGTTAATCTTTGTGGATGCGGAAAAGGCCTTTGATAATATATCATGGAATTTTATGTTAAAAAATTTGGAACACATGGATGTAGGCATGGAATTTTTTAATGGAATAAAGGCAATATATACAGAACAAAAAGCGAAGCTGATAGTAAACAATTATACAACGGAAGATATTAAAATAACTAAAGGTACAAGACAAGGATGCCCACTATCACCATTACTATTCATCTTGGTGCTGGAGGTTCTGTTAAAATCAATAAGGAAAAATGAAGAAATAAAAGGGGTGTCTGTAGGGAAAAATGAGTATAAAGTCAAAGCATTTGCGGACGATTTGGTAATGACAGTAGAAGAGCCAGAGGGAAGTGTGAAAAAAATCCTAGAAGAAATAGAACAATTCGGTCAGGTTGCAGGATTTTATTTAAATAAAAAAAAGACGAAAATCATTGCTAAAAATATGGATCAAGAATTAATAGAAGAAATGCAACAAAGGACAGGGTTGGAAGTGGTGAACAAAGTGAAATATTTAGGAATATGGTTAACCCCCAAGAATATTGATTTGTTTCAAAATAACTACATACCTGTTTGGAATGGAATAAAAAGGGATTTGGAGGTGTGGGGAAGATTGAAATTATCCTTTTGGGGGAGGATATCTACGATAAAGATGAGTGTGCTGCCAAAGATGTTATTTCTATTCCAATCACTGCCGATAATCAAAGGGGCATCAACTTTTAAAGAATGGCAAAAAACAATTTCAAGATATATCTGGCAGGGTAAGAAGCCAAGGATTCAGTTTAAGCTATTGACAGATGCGAGAGAAAGAGGTGGCTTCGCCCTGCCAGATTTGAAACTGTACTATGAAGCGTCATGCCTCGTTTGGTTAAAGGAATGGATTAGATTAGAGAATGGAGAGTTGTTGGATTTAGAAGGATTTGACAATAGATTTGGGTGGCATGCATATCTATGGTATGAAAAGAGAAAAATTCATAAAGGTTTTGAAAAGCACATTTTCTGTAGATCTTTGATAGAGGTGTGGGAGAGGTATAAAAATCTGTTGGAACCAAGACTCCCCCATTGGATTTCACCATTGGAAATGATGAGTGTGAAAAAGATAAATATGAGGGGGAGGTAGATAACCTATGGAGAATTGATAGTAAGAGAGGGGGGGTAAATGGAAAATGAAAACTTATGAAGAGGTGAAAGAATTTGTTTATGATTGGTTGCACTATTATCAGATTAGTGAAATGTTTAAAAAAGACTGTAAAATATGTGGATATGAAGGAAAAGAATCAAAATTTCAAACAGAGGTATTGAATAATGAGTATAAAAATTTGTCTAAAATGTATAAAATGTTGCTGGAATGGCATACAAAAGATGAAGAGGTAAAATCGGTAATGATACATTGGGCCAGAGATTTTGGTTATAATATACAATATGATGACTGGATGAAATTATGGAATGAAAGATTAAAATTTACGGCGTGTACCGCATTGAAGGAAAATGTAATGAAAATGGTATATAGATGGTACATAACGCCAGTTAAATTGGCTAAAATGTATAAAACATGTAACAAGTGTTGGAAATGTAAAGAAAAAGAAGGAACTTTCTATCATATGTGGTGGGAGTGCAAAAGGGTGAAAGGCTTCTGGGAAATGATATATAATGAATTGAAAAAGATGTTGAGATATACATTTGTTAAAAAACCAGAGGCCTTCCTACTAGGATTGGTAGGTAACAAAATTAATAGAAAAGACTGTCAACTTTTCCAATACGCGGTTACAGCAGCAAGAATACTTCTGGCGCAAAGATGGAAGCAGGAAGAAATTCCAACAGTGGAAGAATGGAGAATGAAATTGACTGAATATGCAGAATTGGATAAACTAACTGGGAAGATTCGATATCAGAAAGACCAAAAGTTTATTGAGGACTGGGGGAGATTTACAGAATATCTGAAAAGCATATGTGATGTACAGACAACGCTTGTTGGTTTTGAAGAGTCTCTGTGAAAAATTAAGAAATATTGTAAAAAAGAAAGTAGGAGAAAGGAAGAGGAATGGTTAAAGGCAATAATAAGGTTAGAAATGCGTTAACAATAGAAATTTTAATGAAAGATTGGCAGAGAAACTGAGGGAAGTCAAAAATTGATGATTGTGTGATTAAATACGAGCTGATTGTATAAAAATATTTGGAAAATGAATAAAAATCAATTTTAAAAAATCTGTTAAATAAATAAAAATAAACATATTTTTACAACACATGTATAGTTTTGTACAGGATGCTGTGATGGACCTAGAACCAATTGCATTTTAAAAACACGCATATGAATGGAGGTCAATTCTATCATCAGTGACTGCTAAAATGGAATTTCCATGCTCTGTCAATATGCCTCTAATGTCCATATGTTCGGGCAAAAAAAAAAAAAGGAAGAGTAATCTCCATCATATTTTGAGTTTCCTGAGACATCTGGCTGGCAGCTGCTGAAGATATAATGATAGACCAGGTAATCTTTTAATTTGATCTATGACAACACTTCTAATGTGCTTATACATGTGCAGAACAGCTATAGAAAGTTTACTAAACCAAATACAAGTGCTGGTTATTCAGCAAGGAAAGCGAAAATAATCCATTTCAAAAATCTATAGGTCAGGGAACGATACAAATATTGTTTAGACTAGAACAAAGGTATTCTATGATCGAAACTTTTACAGTGGTACCTCGGTTTAAGAACAGTCCAGTTTAAGGACGAACTGGTTTACAAACTCCGCAAAACCGGAAATAGTGTCTTGGTTTGAGAACTTTACCTCGGTCTAAGAACAGAATCCGAATGGTGGAAGGGCACTAGCGGCGGGAGGCCTCATTAGGGAAAGCACGCCTTGGTTTAAGAATGGTTTTGGTTTAAGAACAGACTTCTGGAACGGATTAAGTTTGTAAACTGAGGTACCACTGTACTATGGTCTAGTTTGTCAGAAATAATGTCACCCCAAAACATCAAAACAAAGAAATGCTTGACTTTGCTTGTCATTAACGCATAGAGGTTCTGCCAGATCTAGCAGAAAGGGATGTGATTAACCTTTGACATCAATACAATCCCCAAGGGATTGCTTCATTATTATTTTCTCATGCATCCTCTATTGCATCACCGACTATCCCCACGCAGAGCAAAAGAAGCACTAGTATAATGCCTAGCAATCAATAAGCCTTTGGGTGCATAAGGCAGGGTGTGGGTGGAGAGAAATTACCGTATTTTTCGCCCTATAGGACGCACTTTTTCCCCTCCAAAAATGAAGGGGAAATGTGTGTGCGTCCTATGGGGTGAATGCAGGCTTTCACTGAAGCCTGGAGAGCCCGAGGGGTCGGTGCGCACCGACCCCTCTCGCTCTCCAGGCTTCAGGAGAGCCCCAGCGCCAGCCCCACAAGGTCGGGGGACAGAGGGAGGCGGAACGTCGCCATCCCGCTGTCTCCCGAAGTGGTTTGAGACCCCGCCACCAGCCCCGCAAGCTCCGGGGACAGCTGGGAGACGCAGCGCGTCTTCCCGCTGTCCCCAGACCTGATCTGAAGGCGGGTGGCGGGGAGAAGAGCGCTTCTCCCCGCTGCCTGCCCCGCAAGCTCCGGGGACAGCTGGGAGCCGCAGCGCGTCTTCCTGCTGTCCCTGGACCTGGTCTGAAGGCGGACTGCGGGGAGAAGAGCACTTCTCCCCGCTGCCGGCCCCACAAGCGCCTGGGGGGGGAAATAAAATTTTTTTTCTTTATTTCCCCCCCAAAAAACTTGATGCGTCCTATGGGCCGGTGCGTCCTATGGTGCGAAAAATACGGTATTACATTTGTCATAATTTCTAATCAAACCTCAAGGGAAAGGCTATCTAATCGCAGCATATGTACTTGGCTTTAAGATGAGACAATAATGGAATGCTCAGTTTCACGAGACATAAAGGAAGCTGACTAAAAGGAAGTTCAGGATAGCCTGGGCATTTCCTGTGCTTTGCTGGCTCAAACTGAAGCAGCTTGTTCCTATAAATGACCTGCACCTTACCTTCATTACTGTAGGCAGAACAACTCTGCTGCAGAACCTCATGACTCAACATATGTAGCCACCTCTAACCATTACACAGTTTTACGATTCCCCTCCCAAGAAAATCCCACCATATAGTACAATATTATTTAATGCAAAACAGCTAATAATTAAAGTAGTAGCAGGAATGGCTAATGGGTTTGCTCTGCTGAGCAGCTGCAGGTGGGCCAAGTATGCATGGCAAGTCTCTGGCAACCTCCTAAATATGCCACTAGCCGCCTTATTTAGTTGCTTTCTTTTCCTGTCATAGTCACTATATCTTTCTTCTCATCTATGCTGCACAACACTGTGCTGTATCATGGGGTCACTCGCTCATTCCCTTACACACTTTGCCTCTCTGAAAGGCCACCAGCCTGCTTGTTAGGCTGGGGAGAGAACTTGGCAGCTATTCCTTATGCATCCCCATTCCTTCTTGACACCAAGTGGAAACACTCCTGACACAGACTCTGGGTTCCTATCTTTTTGGTACCTTCAATGCTGACTGTATTTTAATCTAATGAACTTGTCTCTGTTGTTGTCCAGCTTCTTTTATGACATTATGTTACTTTGTCTTAAATTATGTAGGCCAGCCGATCATAGCTGTTATTGTGGAAGCTGGAATATAAATTCCTTAAAATATATAAAGGAATTAAAATGAGTTTTTTGAAATTAAGGCTTAGTGGTACAGAAGGTGAAGGTACCCATTTCTCCAGATGTCAATTCTTTTCAGTTTGGTGTTTGTGTTTTACCATTGGAGCTTGCTGGCTGGACGTACTCCAAGGATGATATCCAAATTTGCCTCCAACATCTGCAAATGGGATATATGCTTATTCTCCACCCTGCAGCTTCCACCCCCCCTCAGATATGCTCCAAGTCTGGAGGATTCTTTGGAGGAATCCATGACTGTTTAAAACCACAAGATACTGAAATGTATGGCACGGATCGGGCCACTGTTTCAAAATCCATATAAGGGCAATATATGTATCAGGCCAAAGAGTATGTCAGAAAATTGTATTCAACCTTTCAGGTTCCCCAAAACTTCTCATCAGGCTGAACAAAGTGAGGCAGACAGGAGAGAGAGGGAGAGAATTTTTTAAAAGTTAGCTGGTGAAAAGCTATGAGTCTGCATCCTGTAATCTTCCGAAGATGGAACATGGGAGGAGGTAGCAGACATGCAAATAAGGCTCCGTAGGTGCCATGCAGGTTTCAGGTTGCATTCGGCAAGGCCTTTGGGAAGGGAGAAACTCATGATGGCCAATTCCCCATTTCTAGAAGTATAAAAACCAGCACTTCTCCTACCCTGAAGGGAACTAGCCAGATTTTGTTTACATCTCTAAAGAATTTAATTGCATCACAACCAAGCTGCCTTGCATGTAGCAAGGCTATTCTAACCCATTTGTGTGTGGATCATGTTATTATTGCTGAAAAGCAATTGTGAGACCATTGTGCTAAGGCTAGAATGCAACTGGGATATATACCGTATTTTTCACTCCACAAGACGCACCTGACCATAAGACGCACCTAGTTTTTAGAGGAGGAAAGGGGGAAAGCCCCATTTTTTGAGGATCAACTCAAAATTGTTGAGCTTACTTTGCAAAGGGAAAAAATCCTGTTTTTAGGGGGTTCAACTCACAGTTCTGCAGCTTCTTTAGGAAAGGAAGGGGAGCTGTTTCTACAGTTTCCAGACAGATAATCTAATCATCCAGTCACATGTCGCTGGGAAAACAAACAGCCTCCATCTGCAGAACATTCAACAATGGAGGCCGGGGCAAGGGGGCGGGGCCAGAAAGGGAGCCAGCGATCAACCACACATTCGCTCCATAAGACGCACAGACACTTCCCCTTACTTTTTAGGAGGAAAAAAGTGTGTCTTAATATGGTATTTGGTTATTCTGAAGAAAGCCCAGATGGAAGGGTATTTATGACTCAGGGGTTAAGCGTGTAGCTTGGGAGCAACCCTGCACTCTAGAGATAACTACAGAATGTAGCACATCAGCATCTGCACTATCTAATCCAACCCTAAGCATGTTTATCCAGAACTTAAGTCCCACTAGGATCTATAGGACATACTTCATGGTAATATATTTAAAACTGCAACTTTGGGGCATTTTCATTTCTTCCCCAGAAATAAGGCAGTATTTAAAGATAAAACCAGTTTTGCAAGAAAATAAATATCTAGCTTTTTCCTTGGGTGCTTGGAGGAGTCAAATGAGGCCTTTCCACCTCTCCTGCTACCTTATTGGAACTTTCCCATAATCTCATTACGTTTAGTCATATTTCACATTTGAATGATTTTCAGCCTCATATTTATGGACCATGGCAGAGGGATGTCCATTCATGCTTAAGCTGCACACATAGAATTTGGTTTAAGAGGACTTCTTTCCATTCCATTTCTGGTAGCAATTTCCAGACTGCAGCTGGTGCACAGATCCCAAACAAGTGACAGAACACTTATATGCAGTGTGTGTACATGCATAAACATCTGCACACAAATGCAAGAAGGCACAAGCGTCTGACCTGCACACATAATGTCAAATAAGAAATAAACAACCCTTATATGCTACACAAGTGAAACAGTGGTTGTGTTCACATGTCACAGTAAACCATAGTTAACCATGATGTGCGGATAGTTCTCTCCCAGCATATGTGGGAAGTTCAAGCCACGATGCCTGGCTTCATTTTACATCCAAATTGGGTCACCCTCCCACCACCAGTTAATTCCTAGAATGACCCTGTGAAGTAGGTTAAGAGGCTGTGATTGGCCCAAGGTCACCCAGTGAGCTTCATGACTGAGTGGGTATTTGAATCCTGATCTCCCATGTCCTAGTCTGATGCTCTAACCACTACACCACACTGACTTCCTAGAGTACTTCTGCTATGGGGCATCTATATAAATTAAGTAGGTAAATAAATATGGGGGAAATGTCACTTAGAGAAGGATCTGAAATATTTTATTTGAAGCTTGAATTTGTTTTATTCTGGATTGTTTTATTTGAAGTTTTAATATGTTGTAAACCACTCTGAGATTTTTTTCTTTAAAATACAAAGTGGTATAGAAATGAAATTAATAACGATAAATTTATTCTATTGTGGCAACTATAACGTAGGTTTAAGGTGCCATTTGGAGATTAGCTTATATATCCAACACGGGTGGGTGCCTTAAGAAGCAGCAGCTTTATATTAAGTCAATAGGGTGGCATTGCAGAAGCTTAAGGGGACTAGCGTAACTACTGTAGTGTGAGTACGGGGCTGGGGGGGACCTCCTTTAATGCCAACGACTAGAAAATACTGGTCCAACAAAGTAAACTGGCCATGTCGTAGCAGGAAAACATGGAAGCTTTCTTCACTCATTTTGAATTTTCAAACTATTCCACCATTGCTTATTCTACGTGTTGCAACAGGATATTTTGAGAATAAGAAATTCCCCCTCTGTTTTCCACTTGAAAAGCAATGGGATCCTTCATTATGAGCTTTCAGGATGTGGCACGAACCCCACACCCCAAGCAACACTGATCCTCACAATCCACATTAATAATAATAATTGGTAGCAGCAGCAGTTTATTATTTGTACCCCACCCATCTGACGTGGTACACAAGGACAGGTAAAGACAGTGAAACACTTTTTTACGGCAGTTCTGCACACTTACCGCCCTTCAAATTATGACATTAAACACCTCAGGCACCTGGAAACAATAATAAGCTATTGGTGAAGATTGCTTCCTCCCAGATTTAACAAAATGGCACCAAACAACAACAGTCCACAGATTTGAGCAGCATTACTATTTTAGATTTTCAATATTTACAAGCCAGGTAGTGTATATAAGCAATAGCCCTAGTCTAAATATAACTCCTAAAACAAGCAAACAAATGCTTTTGTTGTTTTTATAATCAACAATGCTGAAACCAAAATATCAGAAGAAAAATGTCACCCAAACCCTTTTTCTTTAAGAGGCTGCTCAGGTTTTCTAAGAATGCAAACACAGCTAAAAACTGAACAGCTTGTGCATCTACAATGGTGTTGCGACAACAGAAAAGGAACAGAACTGGATTATCTTGTAACATAGAATAATTGAAAGGCAGATTCTGAATAGGAAAAGAAAAAGTACTGATTTCAAATCCCAGTACAAATGCCTCGAGTCTAACTTTTGATTTTGAGACTTGACTCTTTTATCCAACTTGACTCAAGAGGTTAGAGCTTCATTGTGACATTGCCAAATCCAGGTCTTACAGAAAAAATATTTCATTGCCTTCACTTAGAACACCACATTGTTTAAAAACAATGTTTCTCACAGTGCTGTTCGGGATTGCAACATTTAAAAATGGAAAGGAATTTGTAACTTGTCTCACTCAGTTTTTAAACTATTTGAACACTGTACTTACTGTTGCTTGACTTGAGGTCTCTGTGAAGGATGGATACTAAGGCTTCTTCATGCAAGTAAAGCATCCCGCGAGCTATCTGCACGGCCCAGTTGACCAGTATATGAGGAGGTATCCGACGGCCCCAATGACTCCCACTGGTGGAGGGAGAGGCCCCTGACAGAGCTCTGTTGAGGGGTCCTCCCCTAGCATATTCCATGACCAGGCAGAGGTTGGGCTCCTGCAAACTTACACCATGAAGCTCAATAATGTTGGGATGTTTCAGCATGGAGAACAACTTTGCCTCCTGCCTCACACTCTCTGCCGTGGCCTTGATGTCCTCATCTGGGTCCTGCCGCGCTGCTTTCACTGCCACTTCTTGGCCCTTCCATTTTGCTTTATAAACTTTGCCAAAGCCCCCAACTCCAATGATCTCCTGCAGTTCCAGATGCTGGAAGTTAATCTCTGCTAGAGAACCCAAATGGTCTTCACCACTGACAGGATGCCCATCGCCCATAGCTTGGGCTTGGGCTTCATGCCCAGACTTTTCCAGCAATCCCAGCGGGGGATGTTGGTAGCGTCCCGGCTGGTAGGTCACATAGTTGGCTGGGAAGATACCGAGGCGGTGACGGATTTTGCCAGCCCACCAGCCGTCATCTCCGGAGACCGCCGCATCTTTGGAGAGAACTTCCACCACTTCCCCTCGCCGCAGGCTCAGCTCATCTTCCCCGGAGGCCTCGTAGTCATAGAGCACGGTCCAGAGCGGGCAGGAGGTACGGCCGGTGGTCCCCGAGGTCCCTTCAGCCGCTCCCTCGGAGCTCACCAAGGCCATGGTCAAGGCGGGGGCCCAGATCTCATCCACTTTGGCCTCAGCATTGGGAACAGTCAGGGAAGCCTCTGGAAGAAGACCATCCCCCTCAACGCTTCAACTGGGCAGGAATGTGATGGCAGAGGAAGTAGAGCAAGCTAGAAGGGAGCAGCAGAGGCATTGGAAGAGCAAGGGCAGGAAGTTGGAGTGTGGAGGTGGGCAGAGGATTGGGGGGGGGGAGTCAGAGAAAGGGTCATAAGGAGGAGAAAATGAATGAAAGAACTAGGTGGGGAGTGGGAGGTTTTCACAGTCCAGGAAGCCTAAGCTAGGAGGCTGTGGGGGCTCAGCGGAAGGCGCCCAAGCAAGGGAGGAAGTGGAAAGGTCTCTGGTCCACAGACTGGGGACGGGAAGCAGAGAGGTTCGGGGACAAGGCAGGCCGGAAGAAGGGAAGAGAAAGAGCGAAAAGGCTTGACCGGAAGGGCAAAAGGCGAGCGCGCTCCGGGGTCTCCCAGGGAAGGCAGGAGGGGCCAGGTGAGGAGAAGGAAGGCAAAGGGGCGCGCGGGGCGGCGGCTGAAGCAACAGGTAAAGCGGCCCGCCTCCGGCAGCGAAGGCGGGAAACGGAGGTCCGGGGGGGGGGCGAGCGGCGTGGCCCCCTCAAAGCAGCAACGCCGAGAGAGGCGGGCGAGGGCGCGCGACACGGAGCGGCGAAAGAGCAACTTTCCCAGCCAACCTCCTTCTCCGACAGCGGCTGCTCCCGAAAAAAAGAAAAGAAACCTCCTGGCTGGCCCCCGATTGGCTGGCCCCAGCCACGTGACGCAGGGGCCAGGTTCTGGGCGCAGGTCGGAGAGCCAAGCCGGGCAGGTGTCTGGGGCTGCTCTTGCCCTTCGCCCGGCGCAGGAGCGGCGGGAGCGAGCGGCGCGCGCGCGCGACAGAGACCAAGCAGCCTCTTCGGGAGAGGAAGGGGCGCCAGGAGGGCCGGGGGGCGGGCGGGCGGGCGCTGGAAGCAGAGCGCCGGCATCAAGGCTCGCTCTTCGCCTGAAACCCGGAAGGCTGGACCTCCAGTGGATGGGGGCTGCTGAGCAGGGGCTCCCCTCGGGTGCGCGCGCGCAGGAGACGGAGAAATGGGATGGAATGGGATGGGGGGGCGCAGCAGCAGGAAACTCCTGTAAACCTATTTCATAGACTCATAGAATTGTAGAGTTGGAAGGGACCCCGAGGGTCATCTAGTCCAACCCCGTGTAATACAGGAATCCTTTGCCCAGCGTGGGGCTTGACCCACCCACGACACTGAGATAAAGGAGTTGCACGCTCTACCGACTAAGCTATCCTGCTCTGAGGAACTTCAGGGTGAAATGGACGCTCACGTTCACCCCCAAAGCCCCACTTTGCCTCCTGCCTCGACTGGAATCCTGTACTTCCTACCTCTGCAGACTAGGGCGAGGCATCATAATACGTGGTAGCTTGTTTTCAACAGCCTTGGACATGACAGGGGTCAGGATCTCCTATGTTGTTCTGCTGTACAGAGAGAGATGGGGAGGGGGTGTGTTTGTATATACTTTTAAAGCACGTTCAAAGCACATTCCTTCCCTCAAACGAATTCTGGGCACTGTAGTTTATCTCCCACTAAGTTACAATCCCCAGCAATCCTGAGCAAACTACAGTGCGCAGAGAGAGAAAGAATATGCTAGAGCACTTCGTAAGCGATAGTATCCCAGGGGCATGGGCACTTTAATCGCTTTGGCCCAATTCCTGTAAGCTGCCCGTGTTTTGAGACCACTTTATACCCAGACACAATTCTAGGCAGAGCATGTTAGGCAGCACAGTCTTTGGGTGGCATGAATGCCTGATTTGAAACAGAGCAAAGCTTACTAGCAAACCTAGTAAAATCACTGCCCCATATTGAGGTTGTGCCTACACCTCTGACCTGAGTACACAGAAATCTGCCTTATATTGAGTTAGAAACAAACCCCCGGGTATGCAATAAGAACTAATCACAACAATACAAACACAACACATAGGGTAATAGTTCGTAGAAAATATATAATAGAATAATGATGTCATTCAAATTATAGGAGTAAGCCAATCAAAGTTCTTATATACAATATAACAGAGCGAGGACTGTCAAGCCGTGTGTTCAAAACAGATGTCTAAGGACAGTCTCACAATAATCTTTCAAAAGTATCAACAGAAGACGTCTCAAAAGTTTCAAAAGTAAAGTTTCTCAATAGTTTTTCAAAAGTTTCAGCGAAAGACGTCTCAAAAACCTCAAAAGGACAGTGTCTCCGGAATGATGCTACTGTTTCGTAATACCTCGGGTTACAGACACTTCAGGTTACAGACTCCGCTAACCCAGAAATAGTACCTCGGGTTAAGAACTTTGCTTCAGGATAAGAACAGAAATCGCACTGTGGCAGAGGGAGGCCCCATTAGCTAAAGTGGTACCCTCAGGTTAAGAACAGTTTCAGGTTAAGAACAGACCTCCAGAACAAATTAAGTTCTTAACCCAAGGTACCACTGTAGTCTTCATCAGCTGGAAATAAGATACAAGGCATACAACCAATGAATGATAACAGAACTGAGCTACCTGCGTACACATTGTAAAATAAAGCAGAATGTACAAAACAGAATAAAAAAAGGTACATACCCAATATTTTACAACAGAATATATAAGTAAGATTCATGATAAGGATCTGTGCTCACTAGATAGTGTAGTTGCTGATACTTGCCACACAGTTGCATAGGATATATGAAGTAGGCCTGGAGATGCTGGGAATTGAGCCACTGACCTTTTTCATGCAAAGCAGGTGCTACAGCTTCCCCACTAATGAACCTGGAATGAAGATCAGGAAGTGGAACTGTCTATCTCATCTGATACTTTCTTTACCTCCTTCCCAACAATCCCTGTTTATAGCCTGAGAATTGTTGCGTTCAGTGGGGCTTGTTGGCAGCAATCTGTCTTGAGAGACAATGGAGTATGCCTCTGGGGGTGAACTGCTGCAATAACAGCACCAAAGTGACCTCCCTGGGACGCAAGCCTGCAGGAGTTGCTGTAAGGATGCATACAAGGTGCCACTGAATCGCCTTAGGGACTCCACTCTGGATCTGTGTATTGTGTACTCCTAGGAAAATGTGTGTAAGACACTTATTAGATCACTTATTGAGGTTACATTCTTCCTTGCCCAGGCCTTCATCCATTAAACAATCTATGGCCTTTTTAAAGTAGAGGGGACTTCTATTATGATGGTTTTCTGTGGTTGTTTTATTGCTTTTTATTATTATGCTATGTAAATTAATGTTTTTAATGTACATCTCCCTGCGATCTTGGCATAAATTATTGATTAAATAATAATAATAATAATAATAATATCAGATATTTCAAATATATGTCTAGTCAGAAGTAAGTCCTATTGACTTTTTATTGCCAAGTAAGTGAGCATAAGATTGCAGCCTTAATGACGCTTCCAGGCCACTGTTGTATGTGCAAGATTTGGGGGTGCTTTGAAAAAAATATTGAATAGTAATGCCACTTTTAGGGGTGATATCTAGAAGGAACTATAGAACCCATAGCATTGTTTTCAAGGAAAAAGGAAGATGTTAGGAACCTCCAGGGAAACTTCCTTGGCTTGGCAGCGTTTATTTATTATTTGCATTTGCCAGTCACATAACAATAAAAAGATTTACTAAGCAACATACAATGATAGTGTAAAACAAGTTTAAAAACACAACAAATATAATAAAGCCAACCCAGCAACCATTCAGCAATAAAACCCAAGTCAGCATAAAATAAACATATGTCAGCCACTGACAGCCAGTTCAATTAACCCATCAAGAGAGCAAACGCTAAAAATGAACCACTTGCCATCAGTCTGCAGAGACTAAAATAAATTATGTATTCTCTGGAGTCCAATTCATGTAGGAGGAGCATGTTGGCAGGAAATTCTGCCAGCCACAGAGAAAATGTTAAATGCTGCCAGGTACAATTATCTTTTGAGTTCATTGAGACATTATTATCTTGAGGTTTCTTGTTAAGCTGCTTAGTACAGAGGAGCCTTGTCCTGGCCTCCAGAGTAATGCTAATAGGGAGCTGGTTGAAAATGAATGGATGCTTGAGGAGGGTGAATTAAAGCCAAAGAAGCTGCAATTCTGCTTGAACAGCAGTTCTGCTTTCAAAATGAAACCATCTAGAATTATGACGTTCCTGCCGTCATGAATTTGGGCTTATATATATTGCATGTCTAGAGCTGTGTTCAAATCAGTCCAGTGACAGCCCACTTGTAAGCAAAATGTGCAGGGCTCATTGTCCCTCAGCCACCAAATTATCTAGTATATTTTACTCCTTCACTCTTTCAATTGTCAGGTTGCAACAGGGAAGGAGAGAGGTGCCATTCCATCTGCTGGGCTGGGAGATAAACTCCATTTGTCCCCTTCCTTGAACTGTTTTTTTGTTTAGGATTGTAAGAGGTGGGTTTTAGCACCTCTTGAGAATTTATCCGAGGTGAATTTGACTTGTGTGCATGATCGTTTGGTCAGAAGTGGCTGTGTGAAATTTCAGACTTGCTGTCACACACTGTAAATGGGCTGGGAGTTTACATGGACTGCCATTCCTCCCCTCTTTTTATTTCTTTACTCTGATGTAGTGAAATACAAAACTATTCTATTTGTGATCTCTGGTAATGTAAAAAATCCATCCAAGTCAGCCCACACAATGGGCAGATCCCTTTTATTTCAGCAGATGAAGATAAGCTGAAGTGATGAAAAGTGATCAAACGTTCACTATTAAATAATATTTTAGATGACTTGCTTGAAAATGTCTAGGCTGAATCTTGCAAAGTCTATGGACATTGAAAGACCTTATTTCCATATATACTCTCGTGTAGTATATTATATTACACATTGTAACATGCATTCACTACATCTGGGGAAACCAGAGGAGCAGAGGCTTGGGCAGGGGAGAGGAGAGGAGGGCATAAGTGTGTGTCTGTGGTGGTGGCGGGTGGCAAGGGGCAGAGAGAGGCCATTCCAAGACCTAGGAGAGAGGTAGGATAAGGGACCATGGAGAAAGTGGGAAGGTGAAGCAGTCACACTGATGATGGGACGAAGGGAAAGAATTATTGTGAAGATGAAAAGCTAACAAGGGAAAATGTCTTAACAATAAAACTGAGCGTTCCCCAAAAGTCAACACAGCAGTAAAGAAAATAGTTAAATGACTTACATATTCTGAGTTATTTTGAAAGCAGTGGTGGTAAAAGTTGTGTGTCAAAATACATAAGCGGGAGAAGCAATAAAGTAGAATTTCTATCTTCCTTTCAAAACTGTTTTTGCAGGTACTGTACAGTATATATATAGAAAAGTTCTCCTATCGCACCCCCTAGTGGATGTATTGTGAAGCACATAAAAGCTTTCTCTGGCTGGAATGCTCACGTCTTCTTTGCACTGGGTCCACAGTACACATTCAGTGCAACCTTGAGATGCTTAATAGTAAGCATCACACAGAGGCAAGCTTGCATTCTAAATAATATTTATCTTTTTATCTGTATAGATTCGTAAACGTATTTAGCAGAAAGAGGCCACCCTTCTCCTACTCCCGGGTCCCCAGATTCCACTGGACTTACAACCACCCACCATTCCCTGCCAGCAAGACCAATGATCAGAGACGGCAGCGCTTGCAATTTAGCCCCATCTGAAGTTAGGGCAAAGCTACCGATCCTCACTGGGAAGAGGCGGGGGAAAGACTGCGCTGGGAATGGAGGGGTGAACGACATTGGTTGCCCCCTGGAAACTAAACTGGGGAGGAACCGAAGGAGGGAAGGGCAGCGTGGCGCCCAAGAATCTTGGGAGTTGTAGTTCGCCCTCACGGAGCTCCTCTTCCCAGACCCCTTAGCAAACTACAGTTCAGGGATCTGGTGTGAAATCTTCCAAAGCGGAGAGATCGGGAGTCCAGCCATGGAGAGCAGGAGGGCAGGACGCCGAGGAGAAAGGCAAAGGAGAAAACGGGCAGAAAGGAGCTGCGCGCCCAGCCTGGGAATCCCTCGCACGTCAGAGCGGCCACGTACTGCGAAAGGCGTGGTGGGCGGAGCTTCCCATCTCAGGGACCGCTGGCATAGAGGGCGCCGCGGAGCATGATGGGAAAATCCTTCTAGCATCCGGCATGGAGGTGCTGGCGGCCGGCTCCAGGCAGCATCTCGGCGGCGGTGGCGGCCGGGACCAGCAACGACCAGGAGAGTGAGGCGGCGGTGGCGGCTTCAGGGGTCGGCCATGGTGTCCCAAGCCGTGCAGCTGCTCCGGCAGGGCGTGTGGGCGGCGCTCACCGGAGGCTGGTACCACGATCCGGAGCAGAGCAAGTTCACCAACAGCTGCCACCTCTATTTGTGGCTTTTCCTGCTCCTGCTGCCGATGGCGATGCACCTGGTGAGGAGGGAGCCGGCGGGGAGGGAGAGGCCCAGAGCCCCGGGGACAACGACCCGAGCCAGGTTCTGTGCGGGCAGGTGGCCCCGCAGCTCCCCTCCTGCGCCCGGGATGTGGGCCCGGAGAAAGCAGGGCTTCCGCTCAACCCCGGGAAGTCCCGGTGGGCAGGTGGAGGCAGCACAGCATGGGGAAGAGAGAGGAGGATTATGGGGATTCAGAAGGTGTCCTATGAGAAAACTCTAGTGACGATCCTTCTCCCAGCTGGTGCTACAATAAAACTATTATTATGTGCATTTTAACAATATGCCAGTAATATTTTCATCCACTATGCTCCTATATTTCCCAAGGCTTGTTCTCTCTTTTGATTTTGTTCTGCTATCGAGTATGTTGGGTGTGGGAACCTTTGGGTTGCTGGACTGCAACTCTCATAATCCCTGGACATCAGTTTTGCTTGCTGGGGCTGATGGGAGTTGTAGTTCAGCAATGTCTTGTTGGCCAAAGCTTCCCCAGCCCTGGACTAAGTGCTGAGTGGCTCTGTGGATCCTGACCAAAGTATCTGCAATTGTTGCATCTTTTGCCAGTCTGAAGAAATTATATATATATATGGAGCACTCTAACACCCACCCATCCTTGCAAGTAAGCCGATTTAGGTAGTGGTTAAGAAAATGAGCTAAGAAGTTCCTGCTCCATGTCTCATATCAACCACTGAATGGTCTTAGGCAAAGTAAAATCTCATCAGCCTCATTGCTCCTCCTACATTTGTAACATGAAAACGATTAGCAATGTTACTATAACCTTACAACAGGGGTATTATATGCCATAACTGCTCCAGATGCTGTTGGGACTCCAAGTCCCATCAGCCCCAGCCAGAATGGCCAGTGGCCAGTGATGATGGGAGCTGGAGTCCCAACACCATCTGGAAGGCCACAGGTTATCCACCACTGCCTTACAGGGTTGTTGTAAAAATTACATTTCAAGCACTTAGGAAAAGCACCATGTAAATGCCGATAGTATTGTATAGTTGCTAGGAGAACATTAGCAGGGTTATCAATAATAATCAGTCTTGTTACAAATTTGAATTGTCACACTGCAAGTAAATGAAATCTACTGGCAAACCAATGGATCAGTTGCATTAACTCTTCATTATTCTTATGTTTAGGCATTCCCTCCCAATGCCATCACAGCCTTTGTCTACTGTAGTTCTGTGACTGTGCTTTTCACAATCATCAAAGTGGTCAGTTATCGCCTGCATCTTATGTTTGACAAAGGAGAAGTGATTCAACAAAAGGTCTCATGGAAGGAAGGAAAGCAAAATAAAGAAGGTAGAAGAGACAATGCAGTTCGGCATATGACTCTCAGGCAAGTTTTCTTCCTTACTGTGTAAGGTTATCCTTGGTGCCCTCTGAAATAATGAGGAGGCGTACATGTAGGGAAACAAGCTTCTGCATGCAAATAATTTACTGTGAGCAAATAGGCTTCCTGCCTTTGTCAGAAAATTATGGATGGTGCCAAGCAGCTGTTTAGGAGAGGGAAGGGAGGTAGATTAATCCCAGCAGAATCACTGATTAACTGCCAATTTTCTGACAGGCTGATTTGCACATATATTTGGAACAGGACTAGTGATGGTCATTGTGAGAAAAAGTCATCCCTGACTTCTTTGTTCTTTATTATTTTTGAATAGCAATAACATTGGGGACAGTTGTGCATTTGAAGAGCTCAAGCGTAATGGTTCAACACCAACCATCCACAGCAGCGTAAAAGTGCAGGCTATACTCTCTCATCACTCTTCAGGAGTCCTGGTTAGTAAAGCTTTTTCTGCAATGCTGTTCCCTCTACATATGCCACTGGGTTTCTCTGACAATCAAATATGTACTATGGGTTTTGCTGTAAAAATAGTAGCATACCATCTCCTTTGCCTAGCAAAGCAAAATGCAAGATGGGATGTCATTGTGCTCCAAGGTTTGCCATCCCTGCAAGCAGCAGCTAGTGAAGCTGGGCAGGGAAATTCAGAGTGTTGTGGTGCCAGGCCATCCATTTTGTTTTACTGCTGTACACATGACAGGGAAGGGGGAATGGTGGGGCCGGTGTATTTGGTGATACTCATATACAGTAGCTCCAGTAACATCTGGTTCTGGTCATCATTACCAATGCACATTTGAAAAGATCCTGTTTTAATTACTGTGTATTAATTGGATTGCATATTTTATTTGTGGATGTCTATATTTTAATGTTTTGATGGGTTTATTTTATTCCTTTATTTTAATTCTGGATGTCTATATTAATGCTGATGTAGTAGCCTTCCAAGTGGTTTACAAGTATAGAACCCTATGTTAGCATTAAGTAGTATCTCAAATAATAAATATAATAATAATCATTCAGTGGCCAAAAATGCTAAAGAAGGAGAAGGAAATTTAAAGATTCAGAATTCTTTTGTTCTCTCCCCTTGTCCCAAGATGGGATCAATGCTGAGTACTGTGATAGTGATAATGACGGTTAGTGAATGGGAGGAGAGGAAGGGGTCATTTGGGGTGAGTCCAGCACCTTCTTCCCTCTTCTGGGGCTCTAACAGGTCCACTTGCTTAGTTGCAGAAGACAATAGGGAAGCTTTTTTAGTGCGCACAACTCTATGTGAAGCAGACCCACTAGAATGTGGCAATAAAAAAAAAATGATGTGAGGTTTTACCCATTAAACCAGTGTGGGAGCATCCCTGGCTACATTTTCCTGTTCTGTACATGTAGATGACACCAATGTTGGCCTCAGAGGGAAGCTGACTCACGTGGGTAGCAATTGTGTGGAGCTTTGAGATGGATTCATGATTCAGATACATTTCAAATAACAACAGCAACAATATTCTCCAATTTACAGGTCTCAAGTATTCAGTTAGAGTTATTAGTATGCGTTTTTAAGTATTGCTTGCTGACTCTTGACATCTGAAAGGGGAAAAAACTTTCTTAACTTGTGAAATGTACTATGAACAAAATAATTAGTTTCAATACCACCACCACATCCTTCATTGAATGTAGAGTAATCACACGGCTTACCTTGAGACATCTATGAGATATTGGGTGCAATCCTTGTATTCTGTCTTTATTATTTTTGCCATTGATTTTAAGTGGGATATAGGCTATACTTACTATGATTTGCTAAAGTACTCTGTTTTAAATTATGCACATTTTAAATATAACATGGATCACATAATCCATTTGCTTCATTTTTAGGAACTGCCAGCACAAGAAACGATTGAAGATCTGAAAGGTACCTTATAGATAATGTTTGTTACTATTGTTAAAAGTGTTTCACCCCCAAAACTGTACACCTCAGAGTTTAGAGCATGTTCCTAAAATAAATGGTGGCAGTGAACTTTATATAACTTGTAAATGTTTACTATTTATACTTTGTTTAGAGAGCATGTTCATGCCCCACTGAAAGCAATAGGACTTAAAGGCTTAGTTGTGTACTGCCCCATTGATTCTAGTGGGGATTTTCTCTACTGCCTAGCGTGACGGAACTTCACATATGTTTGTGTCCCTTCTTATTAGGAGTAATGCTTCTGGAAGACCAGCCTGCCCTACCGGTTTCATCTACCTCACCCTGTGTCAAAGCAGATATTCTGTCTGCTTCTATGGCACTTATGTCAAGTTCTACCACATCAGCAATAGTGGCAAAGCCAAATGCCATGGAGACATTTATCAGCGCGACAACCAGTGAAAAGGATGAGAAGGTGCAGCTTTCTAGTTATAGTGCAGTGGAGGATACGCCTCTTGATAAAGGTGTGGTTAAGAAATTGCCAAATCTTTCCTTGTCCCAGTATGACATTATAAAAGCTGGCATTTCCTTTGAGTCTTGGAGCACTGATAATTCAGTCATCATTTCTGAGCATCTAAGCAACCCAAAGTGTTTCCGGAGAGAAAAAGTGCTGGATGCGTCTGCTCAAGACATCACTACCACTAGTTGCCTGCAGTGTAATACCGTGGCAGCCAAGGGAGTGGATGGACCTCTGGAAAGTTCCTACCTTGATGACATGAAGGTTCACCTTGACGATTCGGAGAGCGAGGTAGCTGTTGCTCTCATTGACAACTCTCTCTCTGGAGATCCGCTTACACTACACGAACCGATTAAAATTGTGATCACCATGAGTAGCACCCAGAACTCAACCACCGACCTGGATGGCTCGTGCCATTTGCAAGTTTTGGGGGCTGAAATCGGATCCAGCTCAGATCCAGAGTCTGGTGTTGTCATGGCAGACCAGCACAGTAAGCAAAGCAGCGAAATGATGAGAATCCCCGTCATCACCTTTGAACTGTCTGATGACAGCGGAGGCCAGGCTTATCAAGAAGTGAGCGAAAGTTTGAGAACGCCAGACAATTTAAACGTAGATGCCTCATCCAACCAGTGTTCAGGCTATGAATCTGGCGAACAGGACAATAATGCAAAAGAGGACGGTGACAACCCAATGGATAATCACGAAGAAGTAAGCACTTGCCCGGAGAATGCCTCTGAGAACGTAGAAGTCCTGACTTTACATTCCAAAGAAGGGCAGCAGAATTTGGGTGTACCCTCTTACAAAACGTCTCACGAGAAAAGGCATGCTCGCGTGCTCAGTGTGGACAGCGGGACTGATGTTTTTTTAAGTAAGAATTCCTCGGAGACAGTCAGTGATAAAGAGAAGCTTTTGCCAACCTCTAAATCTGACCTGGAAGCTAAAGAAGGACAGATGCCAAATGAATCTAATTTCTTGGAATTCGTCTCGCTGCTGGAATCCATTAACACCTCAAAGGCAACCGCGTCTGATGGCAAACCAGAGACTGCAAAAGATAAGCGGATAACTGGAGGTATGCTTCATGCTTTCAAAATTATGAGCCATCTCTGCACTTAAGGCATTTCTGAGCACTTGCATTAAGAGCAACTTGCCAGTCAAGGGATGGTAGCAGCTAGCAATATATAGTCCAGAATAAAAAGTGTGGTGTTTTTTAAAGCTGAAAATGGAGTACCAAATGCTGTTGTGTGCCGTACAGAAGATTCTTAAACCACATATGAATGAGTCACACACAGAAATCCTCAGTTTGTGTAATTGATGTTTTCATTGCATGTTATGATTTGTGTTGGATATGTTACAGTTATATGTAAACCGCTTTGAAGTCCCCTGTGGCAGAAATAGATGTACAAAATCTCTGAAATACTACATGAAATAGACAGTGCAATCCTGTGCTGCTTTGTCTAGCCACAGCCAGAGAGGTGTGTTAGCTAGTACCTTGGATTAGTTCCTATACCACAGTGTCTCCTTGTACTGGAACTTGTGCTGTGATTGCTCTGAAGTCAGCCCCACTAAGCCCTGTTCTGAATAAATATGCTTACACTTACGGTGTAAGTGAAATTCAAAAAGCAAAAAAATGAGGGGGATGTTTATTTATGTTAGCGTTACCTGCAGGTTCTAGTCATGGGTCATTTTGACGCTGACACAAATTCATGGAAGCATAAAGGAAAAGATGGCAGGTGATTTTAACCCCATATGTTATTATTTTTATTACTTTTACATCACTACCTATGTACATGGTGCTATATAGAAGTTTATAAGCCAGGATTGGGGGACATTTTTTTTCTCTTTCAAAAGCCATGTTACTTTTCTCTTTCTCTCGGGCACCCGATTTCCCAACTGTTTTTCTCCCTCCTTCCCATTCACAAGAAACTAATCTGAGGGACACAGGTAACTTACCTGACATAAACAGATCCTTGCCCAAACCTGTTCTGAATACTATATGACTTTGAAAAATTGTCTGCCAGACTGTAGTTGTTTTTGTAGTTTGAATGTCTCACTCCTCATCAAAAATACTCTTGCTCTCTCAAAAAGAGAAAGCATGAAAACAACACATTTCCAGTGTCTTGTATAAGTAGTCTTTCTATTTTTTAGATGGCTGCACAACAGAGAAAAAAGAGGAAACTCCAGAAATGGATAAAAACAGTGCACATGGATCTTCAAAGCAGGATAAGCCAGAGATGCAAACTCAAGACTCTGGTAGTATTAATCCAACTGTCCCAGAGCCTATCAAGTTCACTGCTCAGTAAGAAGTTTCTTCTCCTCATTGACTGTGTCTGAAATGATTCATATCAGTTGCTTACAGTGAGAATAATTAATTTCAGTGTCTCTATTTTGCTTTTGTGCCTAGTTACCAGAGCACCAGGCTCCTCATTGACTGTGTCTGAAATGATTCATATTGGTTGCTTACAGTGAGAATAATTAATTTCAGTGTCTCTGTTTTGCTTTTGTGCCTAGTTACCAGAGCACCAGGCAAAGGCAGATCATTTACCGGGTTACTTCGCAGCAAGATAGTTCCCTCTTGCAAGTCATAAGTGGGCCTGAGGCTTCTATGCAAGAAGAGATGTCTGTGGATGCAATGCATGTCTTCATAGATGAAAATGGTAAGCTCCATAGAGAACTTAGGAGAAAGGGAGAGGTTTCTATGAATAGCGTTGCTTAACTGTTTTGCAAAATGCATTCAATATTTATTGGATTGTAGGATGATTATATAAGTACCTGGGCATGAGATCCACAGCCTTGTATGCAGAAGGGGTTCATACTCTGGGTGGATCGCTTAGGTCACTGTATTCATATACCCCAAACATACACACAGACTCACCAAGCCAAGTGGATTCTAGAACTTGGATCTTGTCCATACTGGAGTTTCCCAAAAGGAAACACCTACTGGTATGAATGGGAAAGACGGAAAGTCGCTTCTCATATGCTAATTAAATGCAGGTAGGTGTGGGCTAATACATTCTAATTCAAATTGGGGTAATGGAATGAATTAACAGCTGAATAACGCTGGAATGTTGACAAACGGTCACTGCAAGTGGATTCCAGAGCTTCGTTGACTTTGGTGGTTCCCCAGCCAAAGTCTAGATGATTTGTGAAGTAGCAGATTGAATAGAGCATCAAGGCATCACCCCTGCTTCTTCACCACAGCAGACTCCCCCTTCCTTTTTCCCAGAACCTATAGTGTCTATTGGAGTGGACAGAAGGTAGAACAGGATCTTCTGGTAGATCTCTGGATTTGAAGTAGACAAGCAAAGATTTCTGTTTAATAAAAACAACCACAAAATTACTTTCTTCCATCCTCCTCAATAATACTGCTAAAATGGGGGAAGTGAAGTGGGTAAGGATTGTGACCTCCATTTTGTTCTGGTCCTCAAAACAAATTCTGGGAATAATTTATTGGATGTGTATATCATTTTCACCTGGCTCTGGTTACTGGATCTTAGTAACAAAATAGATTCCACAAGCCTGAAATCTCTCCCCCCCCCCTAAATAAAATGGGAGGAGGCTGAGTAGTAGGCAGCTGTGGTATGACTTGCATCAAAGCATGCTTGCAGCCCAGAATGTTTAAAAGACTCTGCAGCAGCCGTGGGTCATTGTAATGAAATTCCACCTTAAAGGAGTGTACAGGTCACTGGCAAAGATACCTTAGGGCAAGATCAATGCTTCCAGCAGGAGGATTGATCCACATGTTCCCTTCCAGTTCTTTTATTTTACAGTCTTAAAATTCAGTGTGTGAACAAATAATTACACCACTGAACTGACGGTGGCTTCTTCTTTTTTTAAAGGAGAAATTAGATCCTGTTACTTAAAGGCTGGCAGTCAAAAAGAAGGAAATATGCAAAATCCAGCACCCAACTATGATTGTATTTCTCATGCTCAGTAAGTAAACTCTTCTATTAGAATGTATTAAGCTGTTCCTTTTCGCATTCCCATGGGTTGTGAAAGAATTATGCAGTGAACAAAAAGGCAAAATGAGTACTTGAATCTGCATTTTAAAGCCATAGCATTTTACCCTGTATTTTTATGGCGTTTTATGATTAATTATGATGAATTGTGCTTGTATATATTGCTGTGCAGGGCTTTGACATTTTATATGAGTGGGAGGTTTATACAAATTATTATAAATAAATGAATGAATGAATGAATAAATAAACGCCCTCAGGGCAATTTATGAAGACCTTAATAAAAGATAGTTTATGTTCTCAAGATTATAATCTAAAAGACATTGAATAGAAGGGAAAGGGTTTGGGAGAAGAAGGAGAAAAGCAAGCCCAGTCACTTGTTATTTTTTGTTTGTGGTACAGTGGCACCTCTACTTATGAGCACCTCTGGTTACGTATCCTTTGGGATACGCATGCGGCAAAACCAGAAGTATTTTTCTGGGTTTTGCTGCATGCGCATGCACAGAAGTGCTCTACCACGCCGCGCACATGTACAGAACAGGCACCTCCAGTTGCGAAAACCTCGGGATCTGACCGGAGCTCCGGAACAGATTCCATCTACAACTGGAGGTACCACTGTATTGTATATATAGGAGGAGTAAAGAAAGAAAGAAAGAACTGCATTTCATGATAAATGTATATTCCAGTAGCTGTTCTCAGTTTTGCAAAACTGTATATTGGGAATATCATTTTTAGGAAATGAATGTAGAACATGGGGAGCTACATTACACTAAAGCAGGCAATTGGTCTGTCACTCTCAATACTGTCTATATTGTAGCCTATGTTTTCTGGGAAAATGGATGAATATTTAAACCAACTTTAACAATGTAGACTTAAAACATGACTGTTTAAAGTGGTGTGTTTGGATTTTTGAAACTTCCACCCCAAAAAGCTTGACAACTTTCTTTTCTTGATTCCCACCCCCCCAAAAAGCCCAACAACTTTCCCAAAAGAAGCTCAACAACTTTCTTTGAGTGATTCCACCCCCCCAAAAAAATATGGCAACCCTATAGTGTATTTGGATCCTCAATCATAATAATGTCTCCTCATCAGCACACGTGGTTTATTCAGTTATATATGTTAAATGCCTTTTCTATTCATATTGACTGAGAGAGGAGTGATGGGTGTTGCAGCATTCAGTGTATGGAGGAATTGCAGGGCAAAAGAACCTGTTTCATAAGAACGTGAGAAGACTCTTGCTGGGTCAAACCAAAGGCCTCCTTAGTACAGCTTCCTGTACTTGCAGTGATCAACCAGATGTCTATGGGAAGCCAAGAAGTAGGACATGGACACAGCAACTCTCTCCCAACTCATGTTCCTCAGCAATTGGTATTCAGAGGCATATTGCCTCTGACTGTGATGAGGTTGTATAGGAAGATTTTCCACCAGCCTTTGCTCTGATAATTGGCTGGAGAAAATAATGCAGATTAGGTATATGAATTGAACAGCACCATCTTGCGTTTCCAAAAATAATTATGCTCCTGCCAGTTCCTTACTCTTTTATTTGTTACACCCTCTTGATTTTCATCTGTCATTTACATTTCAGGGCTATTTCTAGTTCCCTCAGTCTAGACAGAAGGCATGTGGCCTCCTTGCTTACTTCCATGCAGGGCTGGCCTTAGACACATTTGTACCAGGTCACACATAGACTGGGGTTGTGGCCACGCAAGCCCGAGGGAGGAAAAACTACTTTTATGATGGGACTGTTTAACTTCGCAAAAAAATTTATATATTCTATATATATATATTTATATATATATAATTATATAATTATATATATGTGTATGTCTGCCAGAAGTGAGAAAACTTGAGGCTGCTTTTCTGTCATGTTTGTATTCTGCCTTCCCTTGAAAGCAACTCAGGGTTGTGCAGCTGTTATAGGGTGACTATTAAGATGCTGCTGTTATTGTAATTACTACTACATAATGATTTGTTTCTATGCTTCCCTTCCTCCCTGGGAGCCTGGAGCAGCCAACAAGATGGAAAAATGCCTTGCATACAGTAATAAACAGCATCCTAAAATACATAGATATATGAAATATTTAAAATCAGAAAAACATACAAAAGTGGTACCAAACTGTTGAAATCCCCACCAATGTTCATGTCTCCGTAGGCTAGACAAACAACAAGTATTCACATTAATTGTTAATTTGTGCAAACATATTCATTGGGTAAATCAGATAAAAAGCCATTATTTACTGTATTTTTTGCTCCATAAGATGCACTCTTTTCCTCCTAAAAAGTAAGGGGAAATGTGTGTACATCTTACGGGGCGAATGCAGACGGGAGGCTCTGCTCAGCTCTCGCTTTAAAGAGCTGTGCTGAGCGTGTGTGCGGCTCTTGCTGGCTTTTCTGCGAGGTGGGAGAAGGGACTGACAGGCTGCCCTCTGTCCCTTCTCCCATCTCCCAGAAAAGCCAGAGCAAGCTGTGCAGCTATTGCTGAAGCCAGCAGAGCAAGAGCGATAGCTGTGCAGCGGCTCTTGCTCTGCTGGCTTCACAGCGAAGCAGGAGGAGGGACGGACGGGAGCAAGCAAAGCACCTGTCCTGGTGTCTCCTCCTCTTTTGCAGTGAGGCAGGGGGAGGGATGGGCAAGCAAAGTGAGAGCTGCACAAAGCAGGAGAGAAGCCATGTAAGCGGCTCTCGCTTTGCTTGCTTTCAAGCAAGAAAAGCAAGAGCCGCTTACATGCTCTGCGCAGAATATTTTTTTTCTTGCTTTCCCCCTCTAAAAACTGGGTGTGTCTTATGGTCAGGTGCATCCTATGGAGCGAAAAATACGGTAAATTGCAGGGGCAACACATCCTGTTTTGTCATTTGAAGTGAAACTGCCCTGCCGTGCCACTGCTGCTACCCCTCACCTGCTCCTGCTGCCTCCTATTCTGCCCCTACTGCACACCCTGCCACATCCACCCCTAGTGGATCGGTGCCAAATTCAGGCAAGACCTTGCCAATTTTGGGTGAGATCTCATGGGGCAGGCAGGGCATCCACAGGCATGCGGCCTAGGGGGCTTCTGCCTCACCTTGCCTAATGGCTGGGCCGGCTCTAGTGAAATGCTCCCAGGGCAAATAGCAGCTCAAAATGGATGAAGATTTTCTTTTGGATCAAGGGGTGTTCTGGTAGAAAAGACTTGTCGAAGGTCATAAAAAGTCAGTGTGATTATAACAGAAGAGGATAGAATGTTGTGCCATTACTTTCACTGCTTTTCAGTCTAACCTACCTCATTTTGTTGTTGTGAGGACAAAATGAGATAATCTCATGCATGCCACCCTGTCTCCTTGGAAAGAGGATGGGATACAAATGGGAGATAGCCGCAGCCATCTTGTCATTCTGTCTCCTGCTACCACAGTGGCCACATAGATGCATCTGATAATTCACAAGCAGGTCACGATGGACGCAGCTATTCTATGTTGTCGATCGGTGATATCTGATCATCTGCTGGTGCTGCCTCTGACAGTGACAGCAATTGTACTTGAGCTTTCTTTAGCAGGCAGACCTCCCAGTCTCTTCCTTTTTGCGCACTTGCAGCCCTTACTTTGACTGGCCTTGTGACAACTTTATAATGTAAATTTCCCCATCATGCAGAGAGAATTCATTTGAAAGCCTCGTGATTAATTTGTCGTGTTTGTTTTGAGGGCACGTTACTCTTTCCGGTAGAAGTCAAAGCCTACAGGCTACAAAGAATTAATTGCTGCAAAGAGAGATTCTCTGCAAGTGGCTAGGAGGAAGGTTAATTTTAAAACACTCTGCTAAAGCAAGTTCTTAAATACTGCAAAATACAAGTGTGTCTGGCCTCAGGCATGTGGAAGAGTTTCAGTCTAGTTGCTCTGTGCACTTGGTTTGGATTCATTCCCCAAAGTAACTAGCTGCAGAATGCTCTGTACTGTACAAAGGCATCTGTCTGAATACCTTAACGGTATCAGAGATCTCCTGGGCAATTACATCTATATCTGACAGTTTTCAACATCACAATGCTCTCCAAACTCTCTGCAAATGTACTCTGCACTCCAGGCTTTTTTGCTGGAACAGAAGCAGACATTATTGTAAAGTTCTTTAGCACTGAATGGCATCAAAAAAGCAGGCTTCGTTTCTCCCCAGCTACCAAGGTGATTTTAAATGACAGGGACATCCTTCAATTCTAGCAGTAAGCCGCCGATCCTTATTACTGATGCAGAGCGGATGCTGGCATTTGACAGGTTTCCACTGCTACGCAGCCACACACATTTTCACCGATACACAGGGAAACTCTGTGGGATTATGGGACATGGAGGTTTAATTATTAACGGCCAGCTAGGTGCCTCCAGGAGATGTTCACTCATAGCATTTTTATTCTTAAAATACACTTCTGCACTGCAATCCAATGCAGATACATTTCACTAATTTAATCAGGGTTTATTCCCAAAAAAGCATATACAGAATTATAGCTTCAGTACCTTTGACTGTTGCTTAAAATGTCTGTTCCTATGATGTAAAAAAAAGGTAAAGGACCCCTGGATGGTTAAGTCCAGTAAAAGGCAACTATGGGGTTGTGACTCTCATCTTGCTTCAGTCCGAGGGAGCCAGCATTTGTCCACAGACAGTTTTTCCGGCTCATGTGGCCAGCAGGACTAAACCACTTCTGGTGCAACGGGACACCGAAACCAGAGCAACGCATGGAAATGCCATTTACCTTCCCGTTGGAACAATATCTATCTATCTACTTGCACTTCGTGCTTTCAAACTTCTAGGTTGGCAGGAGCTGGGACAGAGCAATGGGTGCTCACCCCGCCGCGTGGATTTGGACCACTGATCTTCTGATCAGCAAGCCCAAGGGGCTGTGGTCTAAACCATCTTTTCCTATGATGTATCTGATCCAAAACTAGAGAGGAAGTAGGTGGAGCACATACAGCTCTGGGAGAGCAGGGACCACCCATCTATCTCCAGTGTCGAGAAACTTTCCATTCACACGAAGGAGATGTTTGCTCAGTATGTTTCCTGCATTTGAAGCAAACGGAGAAGGTACTGTGTCATTCTTTGTGCCCACTGGAACTGGAATTACAAATGGGCCAGGAGAGAACCCAGCCTAGCCTTCTCTTGCGCCTTTAGCATCCACTTGATTTGTGGAAATGAACAGCCAACATTTTAGCCCTGCTCAGATCTGTAGATCTAGTTGCTTTTAAAGACACAGTAGATGTTGCTGGGCTTTTTTAAAGAAACAAATTAGCAACCCTAACTATAACTGCTGTTTTTTAATAGATACCCTCTAGACACATGAAACTTATGTCATTGGTTGTGCTACAAATGAGTCCTCAGTGCAAGTTCAGCATAGAAAACTGGCTTATACCAAGTGACAGCAGTGATTCATCTTGTCCAGCAGCTCTCCAGGGTTCCAAACAGGAATCTTTTTCCATCCTTGCCTGGAGAATCCAGGGATTGTACCTGGGGCCTTCTGCATCCAAAGACATGTACCAGCCCAGAGCTACATCATGATGAAATCTAAGCTGTGACATAAGACTATTTCATGTTGGATATCTCCTTATGCTGTAGGAAAGCTCCTTTTAGGCTTAGCATTTAAAGCTTCAGAGCTCTTCTAAAAACTCTATTCCATTATTACTATGATAAACAGCCAGTTTTCCTTCCTCATTTGTGATCAGCCAGTCTTCCTTTCTGGCTTGGTACTTTCATGTGTCTCTTAGCATGGAAGTAAAAATTTCCGACAGCATTTATTCAAAAGTAATTGCTTAGAAATGATAAAGTAAAAAGAGTCTCCTTTCTGTAGTTAGTCTATCATGCCAAGATGATTTGAACTGTATCCGGTCTCTTCCCCTGCCCCCATGCAAATCAAACAACATATAATATATCCTATGTTGGATGTTCAGAGAAGGAGAAAAATGTTGCAGTTAAGTTTTATTGGCACTTGTTAATGTACTCAACAGCTGGCAATTTAGATCATGCCATAGAAGTCTACAGAAAAAGAAGAAAAGGAATGGGGGAAGCATTGCCACATGGTGGCAGCAAATGCCTTTCAAGGAGCGACTATCTCTGCAGTGATCTAAACTCTGGTGCATCATTTAGATTAGAAGGTAATAAGGGAGGGACATCAATCTCCTGAAGAAACAGGAGGGGTCTCTTGAGAAAACAGAATGGCAAGAATTGTTATCATCTTCCTAATCTTGATCTATCTTTTGAAGTATTTTTCAGAGAGTGCTAGTAAAGGTGATTGAAATTATTTGGGGTACAATCCTGAACAATTGCAGTTAACAAAGATACGATTTAACAGCACTTGGAGATATGTGTGTCTGTATATATTTAAAATTTATTTACACCCCACCTTTTCCCCTAAAAAGACTCAGATAAAAATAAGAACTGCTAAAAACATGGGGAAAACAATCATTAAATTAAAAGTGCACACAATTCTCACTATCCTAACTCTCGTCATATGAAAATTCACTTATCCAAACACAACAAATTAGTCCCCAAACCTTGTTGTACACACTGCAGATGCAGATATCCAAACAGCTGGACCTGCATTTAGTACTGTAAACAAATAAGCAGCCTTAACCAAGCCTTACTGTTTTGTGTTTTGCTGCTTCGCAGCAGCCATTTCACCAGAAACCATGGGGCGAAGGTGGGTGGGGGGAGATAAGATAAATAAGAGAGCATTTTTTCCTTCCTTGTTTGCCATTTGCAGAGTTTCAGAGGTTTTCCCTGGGTTTTCCCAGGCTTTTTCATCATTTTATGGTCAAAATCCCAGGGCCAGAAATGCATTAGAAATTAGAATAAGTGACTTGTTATGGGAATGTTCGCCAAATGATTTGCTGAGAATGCATTGTGTATAGATAGTGAGATCTGTATTTATATACATATTTTTAAAAATCTATAAAAATCACATCAGGCATATGCAGGTCCCATGTTAAGAGAGGCATCTCCCCATAAGATGGAATACCTCATTTCAGATGATGGGTGCCACCCTCAGCTTTTATATGTTTCTATTTAAAATTGTTGTTGTTGTTTGTTATATCTGCTTTCCAATTAATCTGGGATCGGCACCTTTTAAAATCAATCAAAACACTTAAAAAAAATCAGTTGAGTGAATGGACTAGTTCACTAAAGATTGGCTTTATGGTCTTGTGCAACAAGTGTCAACAACACATTATTTTTACATTACTATCTGAATAATTAACCAAGCAAGTTTTTAACTGGCAGGGCAGTCCAGTGCATGTCTGCTCAGAAGGAAGTCACACTGAATTCATTGGGGCTTAACTCTCAGCTAAGTTTGCAGCCTGAATGCTGAAAATTCCATGTTCCTGTTCCATTTGCAGCCTAATTAAGAGTTGGTAGAGATTTCCAGTACCCTCCTGCATATGGTTTCTTGGAATTAAGCCGCGTTGGCGTTTTAGTCCCTAGCAAGTGTGTGAATGGCAGCCTTAAAAACTTGTTTCTCCATTTCAGTAGAGTGCCTTGTGCATGCTGCTTTTTTTCTGTATCTGAGGCCCTCAGTACTTGGATTAAAATACCAGTTGACACAGGTTTAGTCATTTTGGTTCAATCTACGTTCCCTGAAGCAACAGGATTTCCTGTGTACTGGTTACGGATACTCATGATGTACCTATAATGCAACAGATGCACTAGATTGCTTTCCTTACCAAATTAAGATATGTACAAAATCACACCGTAAATGAATTAATTTCTAGAGTGTCAGTAGAGGGCACTGTATACCTTTTGCAGAGGTCATGCATACATAACATGCCTGTCAAGTAGATTGGTAGTTGCTAATTTACCTTTCGAAATGCATTCATTATTCCATTGCAGATATTAATTGTCTGTGGTAGCTATTTACATACACAGCAGATTTTTAGAAATACCAAACCTCTTTTTCAAGATCCTACATTTATGGTGTTATTTTTGGGGGTGCATCTTTTACGTACTATTTTATTATATATTTTAAATACTTATAAAACACTAACACAGTGTCTAGACTTCTTACTGTTTATGCACTGTCATCTGAGATGGTACTTTAAAAAATAAAGTCAAGTGTGTGAATATTATAGCATTCAGACTGAAGAGGTTTTAAACAACACAGGAGTGGGGGTGGGGGAGGGAACATGCCAAAACTAAGTTGAGCAAGAAAAGAAGCAGAGGGAATGTGGCGCACATCCATGATAGAGAATGTGCCTGGTGGATTGGGCACCCAATGATTAGCAAAAACACATTCACCAAGTGGAGATCTAAAGGTAAAGGGTAAAGGGACCCCTGACCATTAGGTCCAGTCATGGCCAACTCTGGGGTTGCGGCGCTCATCTCGCTTTATTGGCTGAGGGAGCCGGCGTACAGCTTCTGGGTCATAAGCCGCTTCTGGCGAACCAGAGCAGTGCACGGAAACGCTGTTTACCTTCCCACTGGAGCAGTACCTATTTATCTACTTGCACTTTGATGTGCTTTCGAACTGCTAGGTTGGCAGGAGCTGGGACCAAGCAACGGAAGCTCATCCCGTCGCGGGGATTTGAACCGCCGACCTTCTGATTGGCAATTCCTAGGCTCTGTGGTTTAACCCACAGCGCCACCCGCGTCCCAAGGGGAGTTCTAGTGCAAGTTAAAGATTAATGTCATGGATGGGCTGGATGCAGAGGAGCGGCTAGAGGCAGCAGCCAAGGAACCCCCAAGGGAACTACCAGAGGTTGGAGGCTCTGAGCCAGGGTGGGACAACGATGAGTGGTCAGAGGTGGAAGGAGTAGACTGTCGGTGGTGGAAGCTGAAGAGGTAGCGAGTTTAGTGAACAGGAAGAGACTATGGCAGAGCACCGTTCAGATGCCAAGACAGAAGCGGGGGCTGGAGAGTGAGACCAGGAGGCAGAGAAGCTGGCTGCGGAAGATGCAGTCTCCCTTTCTGCGATTAATTTAATTGATTTAATCCACTGTGTGCTCTTTGTAATCTCACTGTACAATGCTTAGAAGCTCTGGTGATTAAGTGGTATATATATATATATCTGAAATAAAATAAGCAAAATATATTCACCTCTGCAAAGAAAGCATTCTCCATGATTTATGACTACTGCATTGCCATCATCCTTGTACATAAAGCCTCTCTAAACTGTCTCTATAACTGAGGTTCCCTATCATTGCAAAATGCTACTTCCAGACAGTGACCTCTAAGGTACTGAGTGGCCTAGGTTTTAATCGCTCTGCAGAAACTGGGGTGAGGTTTCATAAAACCATTTGGGGAGCTGCAGGTTGTACAAACACTCCCACAATCTCCATAGTCTTTTCAGTGCCTTAATGAGGCACTCACTAAAAATTAATTCTAGTCCTTTATCTTCTTTTGTGCGCAGTGAAACCCATTTCAGCTCCTCTAGTACAACTACCTCAGAGAGCCAAGAAGCATCTTCTGATCATGGGCCAAGTGCGTTGCAACAGCAGCTGCTACTGATGGTGGCACGAAGAACCCTTTCCGAAACCCAACGGGTACCGTGTAATATCTCAGTTCCTAACACTTCGTATAAATATGTCCCAGGGAAGGAGATTTCTTTTAAATGGGCCTTTTCTGTTATTGCTGGGATTAGGGTGACTTGTTTAATAATCATGTAAATATTGATGTACATACTTGACAGTTATTTCAGGATATTTGACTACTTTTGCATGCTTGTTCGGAAAAGATCCCATAAATACTCCCAGCAGGGAAGGAAGGCATTCTTTACTGATGGGGTCAGAGCGAACCTTTTCTAAAACCCCCACTCTTGCTGATTGTCTGGATCAGGCTGATTATGTATTCATTGTATTAATATATTCATTTATTGTTCATTATCTCTTTAGTTAATCTCCTGATGAAGAGCTGTTTTGTCTTGAAATGTGTAAGGAGAGTTTGCCTTTGTGTAGGATACACTGAAGTGTATATATAGGTGAAGCTTTTGTGGGTTTTTGGTTCAAGGTTTGTGAATTGGCAAATCTGATATAACTATTGCTTCTGTAGGATAGCTTTTGGGATGAATGCTGTGTGAGTACAGGTGGGGAAATCTTATACAGTTGTACCTTTGTTTTCGAACAGAATGAGTTCCGGAAGTCTATCCGACTTCCAAAACATTCGGAAACCAAGGCGCAGCTTCCAATTGCCTTCCGATTATGCAGGCGTTCCAAAAACAATAGTGGAAGCTGCATTGGATGTTTGGCTTCCCAAAAATGTTTGAAAACTGGAACACTCACTTCCAGGTTTCGATCATTTGGCAGCCGAAACGTACGAGTACCAAGGCGTTAGACAACCAAGGTACAACTGTATAGGTATGTGTGTACACACACACACACACACACACACACATTTCTGTGCTTCCTGGGGGTGGTGGGGCATCTGTTGGGGCTCTTTCACTTGTATCAGGAGTTTGATGGCCTGGGCCAACAGCCTAACTTAAGTGGGCTGTCGGAGCCAGCCGTTACAAATGGCGGAGTTTAGCATAAAATATAGACACAGAGAGCCAGCAATATTTTCATGATGGTAGGAGCAGCTCCTTTCGAACTTCCCTCTCCTCCTCCAGCTTTTTTATTATCCTTTGTCCTCTCTCCAGCCGCATGGCTGTTTGCCAATGTCTCACGTTACCTCATCCGGTCAAGGCTTTAACCCACCCACAAACCATATAAGGTCAACACATTCCAATACATTGTAAAGCTCAGAGTGCTGGTCAGCCGAGGTCAGGGGGCACCCTGCAATATTACAAGCCTTTACCGTGGCTTTATGACTCCCACAGTGGGCTACAATGGAGCCTGGAATATTGGGGCAAATGGAGCACTTCTTCACCAGCTTCAGTCTGCCCTCAGCCAGCCCCCACCTTCCTGATTTCTCACTTGCAACAAGCCCAGGGGGTGGCCCTACCTGACAGATTCCTCTTCCCTAGTCTCAGCAAGGAGGAGGATGGGGACAAAAGTAGAATTAGTTGGCTCTACCGTCCATTGGCTCCAGTTCCACTTCCTGTGCCATTGTTTATGTAGCCAAAATGCCACCATCCATGCACATGAGGCAGGTATCAGCGGACTTGTGGGAACTTCAAGGTCTGCAAAACCTTTGGAGGTGGGGAAACTCCTAAGGGGAGCAACAACAGGGAGAATCCACACTGTGGCATTTTCTTGCAGTTCCTACTAGTAAATAGTAAAAATTTGGCTTTCCGCCCTTGCCCATGTTGCCTCATGGTAGCAAGTATGTGCATGCAAAAAGTTTTCATTTAATTACTTCATGTGTTTTAATTCAGTTCAGCTTTTTTGGGTTATAACTATAGGTCATCACAAATATAAAAAAAGGGAAGATCTCCATTAATTAATGAATGAATGAGATGAGAAGTAAAACAACAACAAAAAGACTCCATTTTACTTCAATGCATGCATTTCTCCTCTTCCTCTTTGGTGATCACTCATAGCCGAGTAAGATTGTCTTCCATGAACACAGTCTTAAAAGTGAGTCCATAAGTGACTGTGGAGGCCAATTCCACACGTCCTTCCACAGTGGGGACATAGGTTTCCGGTTGGGAATTGATCACGGTGTGGGTTTGCCAAACGTGCCTTTCTCTTGGCATGTTTCTCTCTTTCATCTTGAGTTCAAGCATCTTCAAAGTCCATGGCACTTTTGGTAAAGGCTGTTCTCCGATTGGAGCACTTGCAAGCCAGTGTTTCCCAGTTGTCGGTGTTTATACTACATTTTTTTAGATTTGCCTTGAGAGAGTCTTTGAACCTCTTTTGTTGACCACCAGCATTACGCTTACCATTTTAAGTTCAGAGTAAACATGACTCCACATTTTGTTGCAGTTCCCATAAGTAAATAGTAAAAATTTCACCCTAACATGGGGTTTCTATGCATAAGTGACATTATTACTTGTTGGTATTTTTAAATTAGACCATATGCTTCAGATTGGCCAGAAACCTTCCAAAATCTGGCCAGAATAATCCTCATATAGGAGAAGGGGAGTTTTTCTTCACTAACTGATGGAGAAAGTTATTTTTCATCTTTCACATAAAGAACAATGTTGTTGACATTTTTTAAAAAATAAAAAAGGAAGTCAGAGCATATCCTTGCTTCCCCCTCCTATCAGCTGAAATAAATCTACTAAGAGCCCTTTACAAAGATAGTTTTCCCTTCGGGGAGGTGTTAAAACAAAGCATCTAGAAAAGAACCAGAAGGCATTGGTCAATATTGGTGCTGGATAGCTTGACCCACAACAATGTTTCCGAAGCAGCTTTCAAATTCACAGATACTGCAGATAATAACCCTTTCACGAGTCTTGAATGTTTATGTATTAGATGGCTCAGCATGAAGCAGTTGTGCAGAATGAAGAATCTGCTCCTAAATCTTTCTTTGATACTGTTGCTAAAATATATGTGAGGTATCTGTTAGTTAAACTTGAAGCCTGGACAATAGAAAATAACATCTTCATGGAAGAACAAGAAAGATTTAGGAGCAGATTGATTGGTCTATAATTCAGTGGTAAAAATTTATCTTCTGTTTTATATATGGGAGTGGGTTTAATTCATTTCATTATTCATCAGTTTGCTTTTCATTTGTTTTCACAGCCGATACATAATTAGTTCATTCATTTTCATTATTCCCATTCACTGTCGTTTTCTACTGCCTTAAGTGAAACTTAGCTACATACTCCTCAGCTGCCTGTAACTTTTGTGTTTTTCACATTTTGAAAAACGGCATGGTATTTTTTAGCCTCTTTCTAACTCTCCAAAGGATCAGACCTACCACATTCCAGAAAGATAGGACAAAGTGTACCCATGTTATAGGCAGTTTAAAAATGCACACCTTTTCACTAATGAGCTATGAATGAAGTGAATGGGAAATGAATGGGGTTTTTTAAAAAAATCAAAACTTCACTCAAAAGTCTACTCACTTTTTCAATAGAAACAAATGAAATAAAATGGGGCTTTCTGCCTGTTCCATTCCAGACTTTGGCTTTTGAACTCAAGGATTCTAGAGTGGAGAACATCCTCTCTAGGGTTTGTTTTAGGTCAACTTCTGGCCTTGTTAACTTGTATTATTCCATCTGAATGTCTTATTCTGATGTAATACATGACTATAGCATTGTAGGAACCAAACCATTGATGCAAGTATTACTTTGGAAGTCGACGGCTGTTAGATTTGGGGCAGGGGCAGGATAGCAGTCAACCTGTAACTTTAAAACAGGATTTGACTGCCCAATGAAAACATAGCTTATTTTCTACTGTGGTAATTTTTCATTAGAAAGTATGTTAAACTTTTTAGATGGTGGTTTTGATTCCGAAAGGTTAACCGATGATTAAATTGAACAATGTTTTTTAAGGAGCAGAGAGTAGTTAGAAAACAATTTTAGTACTTCAGAGAAATAAAGGTCAAAGGAACTTATTCCAGCATCTTACTGTAATTGAGTTTGTGGTTTGATAGATTCAAATCACATACAAAACCTAAAGGTCAAAGAGCAATCTTGGCTGAAGTGGGCTCAATAAGTATTTTGTTCCTGTATATTGTAAATGGTCTGTGGCACAACCTTATGACTACAATGAAAGATAGACTAGTTTTTTCTATGCACACGAAATTGGGTTTTATTCATGGTGCAAGCAAAATGAAATCTATTTTTAAGAAGTTCAATATAGAGGCTCGTTCAAAAGTATCCACTGGAAAAAGAAGCCGGTATGAAATTGCATAGCTTTCTCTTAGGCAATACACAATTATATTCATCTTTTATTTTATTTTAAAGCATCTCAGTGAAGATCTTGAGGATTCATCATGTTCATCGGCACAAAAGAAAATTAACAAGCAGTTTTACAAATTTATCGTATTTCCTGGCAAATGGATAAAAATCTGGTATGATCGACTTACCTTGCTGGCCCTGCTAGACAGGTAAACTTTTTTTAAAAAAAATTACTATTTTACAATGACATTTATTTGTTCCTTAGAATAGGGCTGGCATTTCAGATTCTGGGAGGTAGACCAAAGGGACTTAAAAGGAGGCGGAGATTCAGTGTGAAAGGTCTACTCGCAGATACGGTAGAGATTAAATTGTGAAACACTAGCATATTTTTGAAGAAAATTCATTAGGATATTTTCTTGTTTCATTGTCAGCTAGCAGCCTTGTGCTGGGCTTTGCTCGGGAATGCCAAGAAACCAAAATGTTTTCGACGCAAATAAACTAATTTTGAAAACGCACAAAGGGTTTTTAATATCTTTGACAATGCTAACGTTTGTATAGACCCATTTATTGTAGCAATCATACAGAAACTGTGGGTTGCCAGAAATGCACGTGCTCCTAAGGAATAATCACATGTAATTTGAAACATGGGGAACATTGATGGTCTTCCTACCTTTAAAAAAATAATACTCTTGCCTGTCACTCTGACTCAGCAATATTTTGCATGTACTGTGACTTCAGTACACACATCTTGCTTTCTCACTCATAAGGGCTTTTCTGTTTCCTTTGGTTGTGGGGGCAGGGGACAACTTTGCACAAAGAAGCCATCTAAGGATGGAGTATTGTGTCTTCATCAGGGCATAATACAGATTTGTTTTGGGGCATCCAGAGAAGGTTAAGCTGGATGCAAATTACTGAGATGGATAGTTATATAAATTCAATAAATAATAATAATAATTAATAATAATAAAAGTTAGTGCACAGTTATGGACTTAAATCCCTTTCGTTTCACTTAATTTCTCTAGATAGCACATTGCACCTGCCCCCTCCTCTCCCTAATGTTGCTATAAAGATATGTTATACATATGGTTGTATTTCTTCTTTGAGTTAAATACTTGTGTTTTATTTCTATAGGACAGAAGATATCAAGGAGAACGTTTTGGCAATTCTACTAGTAATCCTTGTTTCTTTTCTTGGCTTTGTAATTATGAACCAAGGTTTTTGTAAAGACATTTGGATCCTCCTGTTCTGTCTAATCATGGCAAGCTGTCAATACTCCCTTCTAAAGGTAAAAGTAAAAAAAAGACAAATTCAACAAATACATGTGGGGTCCTGTAATTCACTCATAGCTAATGCGGTGAATCTTGTTTTGTTTTCAGAGCATTCAGCCTGATCCTGCTTCACCAATACATGTAAGTTTCATCCAACAGATAAAAGCTTTTACCGGTGTCGTATCTATTCTGTCAGTTGGTTCAGCTGAATTTCTGGAAATAGTTGAAACAAGCCATCTCTTTAGAATCCTAACTCCATTTTTCCAACTAAAAAGTTAAAACTCAATAAAATGACTCAGGTTGACTGACTTGCATGTGACACATTTTTCTCCTTGCTAAATTAACTTGTACTTTGTCATTCTGCATGTCTGAAACACCCTTTTTGCATGAGCACCAAAGTACTGTAGTAATTTGGGAGAAGCATGATTAAAGAATCAATACTGGAGAGTTATGATATATACTAGGAATGTTTTTATCAAGTGGCATCAAGCTGAGATGCACGGGATCTGCTAATTGCAGGAACAGAATCCACTTATTTCCAGCTGACAAAGTGTGGCTTCTGATGTTACTCAGAAGCATTGAAAGAAAATGTGCAAATCACTTGCACATCCCCTTTCCATGCTTCCAGACACTGTCTGAAGCAGTGACTCACATCCTTCCCTCCATGGGGAGATGTGTGCTGGATGTGCATCTTGAAATCACACATCTCCCCCAGTTTTGCTGCGTGAATCATTTGTTTTGGATGTTAAATGGGTTTCTGGTAAGATGAGTTATGCAATTACTTGCTCATCTACTTATTTGGGCTTACACAGGTGATATCAAAAGTTGCCCACAGACCATTATAGAGAGTTCTAAAAATCCAGGTAGTCATTATCATAGTAAGCAGAGAATAAGGATTTGCCTTTTTAAAATTGGCCTTGGTGTACAGAATTCTTGGACATTTATTAGCTATGGTCACTATGAATTCAAGGCAGAAGTCCTTTGTAATGAATGACACATACCACCGTGAAAATTCAATTGTTTGCCAGTTTTAACTTGTCCTCACTCAAGGCTCCAGGTAGAATTTAATGTACTGTTTGATTCTCTGCAGTAAAAGTAAAAAGGATTGTGGCATGTGACCGTTTAGAGACTTATTTTGTCGGTTATCAGCTGGCTAGGCTTAATGCTGATTAGAAGAATGATGACACCCCCCCCTGCAAATAATTGATTTGCTACTTTTACATACAATATAATATGTAAAATAAAACTCAATGAGTACCAGTGGACAATATCGTTAGATATAGCACTATGTGTGTAACCTTGAACTCACATACTCTAGTATTGTGTGTGTTTGTGTTTCACAAATGGTTGGAAGTCTGATTTTTATTTTTATTTTGAAATTGTTGACAGTGCTGGTTGAATTAGTTAATTGTGTCTGCCTTGTTGAGCATAGACAGAATGGCATTTCTATGGTTGTTAAACCTATTTATTTTATATGCTCATATGCCACACAATAAACAAAGTATCTAGGCAGTTAACATACCCATAAAACGGCAAAAAAGTGCTTAACATCTGGACTGTGGTACACAATAGAAACTGGGTTGAGCCATATATCAAAAAAAGTTTGTGTAAACAGATGAGTCTTGAGCAAACATCTGAAGCAAAGTACTGATGGTGTCTACTTAATATGAATAAGGCAGGGGCTTCACGACTGGATGCAGACATACTGAATGCCCTGTTTTTTGTAGAAGGAAAGCAAGCATCATGTGACACTCTTAACAGTTCTTCTCCAGCTGAGCATAAAGACCAGGCAGGTATGGGGCAAGTTAGTCCAAAGCTGTTCAGAGCTGTATATACTATCAGCAGAATCTTGGATTTGACATGATAGCTAGTTATATGCAGTTGAGTTATATGCTGGTTATGGGAAGCTGCCATCAACAACTAGGCAGCTCCATTCTGGTCTTGTCACAGCTTCCAGATCAAACACAACAGGCCCATCTAGAATGAATTAACGTAGTAGTCTGATTTTGAGGTTGCCAAACCTGAATCACAGTGACCAGGAATCGAGGAATGGGTGTAGTTGTCTCACCATATGAAGCTTATAGAAAGGTATTCTAGCCACCTAGACCACTTGGGCCTCCAGTGATATAGATGGATCCAGGAGTACCCCTAGGCTGTGAACCTGGTCTCTCAGAGGAAGTGTGACCCTGTTCAGAATAGGTAATCCCCTGGACACAGAAACCACCCACCCACAGCTCCCCCATTTTACCAGGAATTAAGCTTTATTTATTGGTCCTTATCTTGCCCACTACTGCATCCAGGCACCTATCCAGTCCTCACACAGTGCCACCTGATTCAGATGTAATAGGGAAGTAAGAGTTGAGGTTCATCTGTGCACTGATGACACCTCATCCTAGTGACTGCTTCTAGAGGTTTCATCAAGATGCTGAAAAGCATTAATGAGAAAATAATACCCTGTGATACTAGATGCCATAAACACTATGGGGCCAATGACTTCTCTCAGTGCTACCCTCTGGGCTTGACTCTAGATTCTATAATTGCAACCACTAACCCAATATTATCAACTTTTGAGTGACACCCACACTTAACTGGGAGTGAATCTGGGATCTCTCTTGCTCATTTGTAGCTCTTTCCAAATTTGTATAAACCCTCCCTTGCATCAGTCAGAAAGACTGTAAAACTTGAATCCAGAACTCCATGGGTTCAAATTTAAAGACTCTGCATGATCTCAAATCACCAAGTCATTTTGCTGTCAAAATTCACTGCAATTCATGTCACAGCTAACATGCAAATTAGTTAATCCTGAACTTCATTGTGTTTCTTTTCCTTGCAAGCATAAATAAATCACAAAGCATATGGAATTGCTAGATACATCAGAGCTGAAAAGCATTTCATGCTTAGATGCAAACTGGGCATTGCTATTAGAGAGCACATTAGTTTCTAGTTCCAATCATTACTACATATGATTTCCAGTGATTTATAAGAAATAAATATTCAGACCTCGCTAAAGAGGTAATTTTCTCTGTGCTAAATGTAAGTTCTGTTTGTCACTTAAACCATATAAAGTAGCATGAGCGGTAATCAAATCAGTTGCATGGGCAGACATTAATAATGTGCACATTTGTTTTAAAATGAAAAGAAATTGGCTTAATCAAAATTGCATTATAATAACATCAAAGCCTGATTTGAAAGTACTGGCAGAGACAAAGCACCTAATGATTTTTAATGAAAGCATTTTTCTAATGCAATATTGGGGACCTAAGTTCAGCAGTGGTAGTCAAGTTTTATTGAAATACTAAATTTATGGTTTCTTTTATGAAATGCTATTATATAGGGAAACCTGCCCTATTTTTGATTTCACTGATTCTGATGTCTTTTTAGTATGGCCATTTCTTTCAAACCACCGTGCTGTGCAATTATAGGCTCTCCATGTCCCCTGTTTTGCAAAAGCTTTGGGAAGAAAGACGTGGCGTCTGTTGTGCCCATCATGACTGTAATATGAGCACCCTCTCCACTCCTATCGCCAGCTATATTATCCAAACAAGTAACTCAGTCCTATGAACATCTGGATGGATCTCCACCCACAGGATGCTCCTGTGGAAGAATGGGAGAAGCACTTTAGCTAATTCTCTCTGCAGCCTCCTATGCACCCCCTGAAAATCTGTTTGGAGTGTTAGGGGACCCTCTGGAACTGTGTGGGAAGAAACTCGACGGGCAAGGGCCGAAGGCAGAATCAACAAAAGTCACCTCACATACAACCTTTCTCCAGCAGGGAGCTTCTACTGGATCTCAGTTCCTTCATTGAACAGAAGAAGGAGCCTTTCTGTTTGCAGAGGGGCAAATCCTACCAAACCTTGGGATTGCATGGACATGCAGGGGACTGGAAAAGAGGGTGCAGCTACTTTGCTCATCCACGCTGCTTTTAGCCGTCATGTTAAGCTCAGTGGCGGAGCTTCATGCTCTGGCACCGGGGGGCGGAGAGCAGGCGGGGGCAGGGCTGGTACAGGTCCTGGGGGCATGGCACCCCACCAGGATCACTTTGCCGGGGATGGTGCGCTCCCCCTGCACCCCTCTTCCTCCGCCAGTGGTTAAGCTAAGACAAGGTTTAATTGATGTCACACAATCCATAGGTGTTCCCACCGAAGTACTTTCCAGTCCATGCAACATTCAGGCCCTCAACATGCCTCATAACAACAAAAGCACAAGTCTTCTAAAACTGGATCAGTACCACACTAAACAGCATCGTCAAAAAACAGAAGGGACTTCTCTGCTAACCAGATCACCCTTCCCCAAAGACCTTGTGAAAGGAGATCATTTGACCAGTCTCCTGAAAATCTGAATGGACTTTGGAAGAAGGTTCCATAAAGTTTTTGCGCTTCTACTTTCCCTTCTCTTCTGCGCCCAAGTCTTTTTCTTCTTGTTGTCATTTTCAAAACCTCCTTTATATTTTTCAGATAGCTTTACAGCAGCTTTTTCCATGGCAAAATGGAAAAGCAAGGCACATATATAAGAGATCTGAAACAGAGCAGTGCTTCATAATGTGTTACAAGCACCAACATTTTTTCACATTTTATAATACATGCAAATGGAAGCACAGGCACCCTTATGAACGGCTCCGCAAGTCGGCATGACAGGCTGCCATATTGTACTTCTTCATAATTCACAGAATTGCATTAAAGTGAAAGCACACAAGGCAGGTTGATGCTAATGCCAGGACACACAACAGCAGGGAAATTAAAGAATGATTAGAGTCCCCACATGTTTGCCCTTCAGTATTAAAACAGCTGGGGGAGACTTGGCATAACTGTCCCCGAGTGGTTTCCCCCAGGATTTTTATGTGAGAGCTAGAAGTGCTCTTCATCTCAGGCTGTTTCCATGGGTTTCGCAGTTTTGAAAATTTGCACAGACTTCTTAGTTGGGGGTGGAGTGCCCCTGCCAATGTTACGTTAGCAGGGAGCTGCTATGTGGATCCTTTCTGTGTCCTTCCATACCAGTGGGTATCTGACAGCGCACAGGAAAAGTGAAGATCGCATCTTCTCCTGCTGCCACTTTTGAGGTTTCCAGTATGAATCAACACTGATCTTCCTACGTATCCAAGATCTTCCGGCATTGCTGGGCTAAGGTTACTAGATTTTTTTCAATGAATCCGGGGACACTTTTCAACTTCAGTGGATTTTGTATGGGGACTGATTTGTAAATCCGGGGACTGTCCCCAGGAAACGGGGACGTCTGGTAACCTTATGCTGGGCAGCATGGAAAGAACACGCAATACAGCAGCTCCCAGGGTGCTGAACATAATGTTACAAGAGACACCCACAAAAGTGGGGCGATGGTATGATCCTTTGACCACTTCATCCATGGCATCAATGGTACAAGACTTGTGGCTCCATATAATTGCTATTAAGCTGGTTCACATGTAGCATTAAACTGTGTCAAAATAAACTCTGGCTTGACGTGGATGAGTAGCAGGCTTTTGCACACAGTGAATACCAGCGCATTGCTTGTTTGCTTTAAACCATTAATTTTAACTATGGTTCAGGATTATGTACAAACCAGGCCATTGTAGTGTAATGGCATATACATTTGGATTTTGAAATAAAAAAGAAAATCATAATATACTGCTATTCTCTGATATTTGAGATGCATATCCTAAGTTTTGTACTTTTCATGTTTTGCGCTATGAAAATTTGCACTTTGTGTATGAAAGGGTATAATGGCAGCTTTAAATATAAATATGTTTTGTCTGTCTGCTTTTCTAGGGGCACAACCAGCTGATAACGTACAGCAGGCCTGTGTATTTTTGTATATTGTGTGGCCTTATTTTATTGCTAGATGCAGGATCCCAAAACAAAAGTCCCCCTATTTATACGGTATATGGCTTGAAGATCTTCTCACCAGGATCATTTCGGGCAGCCAGAGACCATGTGATTGGTGAGTTAAACATTAACAATGGGCAGTCTGATGCTCTTATTTTGTCACTTCTTTTGCCTCTTTGCTTTTTATCTCTGGGGTTCAGAATGTGGTAGAGAATAAACCTTTAAACATGGATGTATGTCTTGTGTGTTGTACATGGTCAAGCACTGGTAACCTCTGATCTGTGTAGCGCAGGGACAAGGAAATTCAGGCCTCTGTATCTGACCCACAAAAACTTCCCCAATTCACACCCCTCACTGGCCCTGTGTGTAGAAACATCCTACTATGCAATGGTAAAAATGACATATTTTTTAAAAAAATAATATTTATTGATAATTTCAAAATTACAAGAAAAATTAAAAAATTGACATTTGTTGCCCCACCCACTTTTGCCTCTGGTCTCACCAATCACTGCCATGTTCTTCTTGGAAGGTTGCCCGGTAGCGAAAGCTCACTTGGGTTGAAAAAGGTTCCCCACCCTGATGTAATGGAAGATGCTGCTGAAGTTCTAATAATTTCGGGGGGTGTTTTCAGAATGTTAGGAATGTTCAGGTGTTGTTTAATGTCTTTATTATGCAGTGCCATGTTTTGTTTTGCTTTTTTTAAAAAAGAGCCTGAAAAGAGGTGGGACGTCTCTTTAAGATATATTGCTGCTGCTCACCCTCCCCAAGCAGCCCCATGTCTCCTCTCCCCACCTCACCCTGCTGACCTCCTCCAGCTGCTCCAAATGCATGTTTGTGGAGGAGAAAATGCAGCTGGAGTCCTGAGAGATGGGGAGAAGCGTGGTGAGAAAATTCCAATAGAAAAGTGGTGAAAGGGTTAAATACCCCTCTGAGATTACTTCTCTGCTCCAAATTGACCCCTCTGGAAGATGCATTGAAGTAGTAGGGTTGTAACTTGAAACTTCTCAATCATTGGAGGGACAACACTGGAGACCATTCTGCGTTGTCTTCTGCCATTGGAAGTAACATAGGGTAGGTAGCACAAGGGACTGGGCATTCGCTGTCATTGTGCCAAAGGAAGGATGTTGCCACAGAGGTCCACCCAGTTGTATTTCTGCCTACCTTTCAGGGTGCTGTGAAAACACCCAGTGTGCTTTTGGGGTGCATATTTACCAAATTTAACAATACCATGTTTCAGATGCTTTAAACTCCTTGGAGGAAAACTGAGATAGAAATGTGAATAAATAAACATTTACTCTATGTATTTTAAAAATTCTAATTTTGTTTTTATTCTTGGGGGTGGGTGGGGATTGTTAGCCACTTCAAGATCAAGCATGTTATTATGAAGTAAGAGTTTTTAAAGCTGATAGACAGAGAATCAGAAGTCTTCTCTTTTTCTTTTCTTTCTTTGAGTTCTTATGTTAAAAATGCTTGATATTTGATGTTGATTTTTGTATGTTTTTTATTTGTTTTTCAACAATAAAAATAGCTTTAAAAATAGAAAAGCTAGGTCCAACAGGGGAAGTACTTCCCATGAGTGATGTGGACATTACGTGGCTGTGTTCTTGCATAGTGTAACTGTATTATGAGTTCTGGATGGTGCTGAAACTGAACTACACTGGTGAACAGATAGCTTTTGTTCTGGATTCCACCCCGGCTGACATAACAAAAACACTGGCCTTAGTCCCTAGACCTGCCAAAGCTTGCTTGGCTCCACAACCTGACCCTGAGGGCTCTGGCAGACCTAGCCCTAAAGAGGAACATTGAGGTTTGGTAACTCCCTGGGTATATCTTGTAAGGTCACCTCCTTGACTTAAAAACAATAATAATTTATTATTTATACCCCACCCATCTGGCTGGGTTTCCCCAACCACTCTGGGTGGCTCCCAGCATAATAATAATAATAATAATAATAATAATAATAATAATAAAGCAATAAAACTTCAAACATTAAAAACTTCCCTAAACATGGCTGCCTTCAGATGTCTTTCAAAAGTAAGATAGTTGCTTATTTCCTTGACATCTGATGGGAGGGCGTTCCACAGGGCAGGTGCCACTACCGAGAAGGCCCTCTGCCTAGTTCCCTGTAACCTCACTTCTCGCAGTGAGGGAACCACCTCAGTGTTGGACCTCAGTGTCTGGGCTGAACGATGTGGTTGGAGACACTCCTTCAGGTATACTGGAGGTATAGTGACTTCCTGCAGATATACTGACTTCCTGCGGCCACTGATGAGATTCCGACAGCAACAGCGGAAATCCACCAGTGAATGATAAGGCCTTTCTGTGATAAGCACTGGCACATATATCTTACAGTTCTGACACGCCAGTTTTACAGTTCTCTTGTTCTAGTCTCTCACAATGAAATGGCTTGTCTGCCAAACAATCTCTCTCTCTCTCTCTCTCTCTCTCTCTCTCTCTCTCTCTCAACATTTGGCCTCTTCCTCATTAAGGGTCACTTATATTATGCTTTTGGGGCATAATATAATTTTATTCTCTCCTCCCACCCTATTTTAATGATGGATTTAATTTCCCATCTTAATAAGTGTGTAATTGGGCGAATGGTTCCCTTATTACTGAAGAATGGGCCTTTTGACTCCAGCAGATGTGTTTTTGTTATTTCCTATAGTTGCTTGGTAACCTGTTGATTCGGTCTGCTCATCAGTTAGCACTTAGGGTTGGAAGAATTTAATAAATAAGAGATAAGGAGTTTGGCTGGTGCATTGGCTGATGGCATCAAAAAGCCCGTGAAGCCCTAGTGCCAAGCTAGTCTTCTTGTGCCATTCTCCGAAAGGACCTCTCCAAACTCAGTGAATGGACAGTAAAATGGCAAATACAATTAAATGTAGGCAAGTGTCAGGTGATGCATGTTGGGTCAAAAAATAATCATCTTTATTTCACATATATGCTTATGGGATCTAAACTGGAGGTGACAGACCAGGAATGAGACATTGGGATCATAGTTAGCTACCTTGATGAAGTTGTCAACCCAGTTTGCGGTAGCCGTGCCAAAGGCAAATTCCATGCTAGGGATCATTCGGAAAGGAATTGAAAACACATCATTATGCCATTATACAAATCTTTGGTGCAGCCAGATTTGGAATATTGTGGTAAGTTCTGGTCACCTCACCTCAAAAAGTATATTGTAAAGTTGGAACAGGTTCAGAAAAGGGCGACCAAAATGATGAAAGCCCTAAACGGCGTTGGAGCGTCTCCACCCACATCGTTCTGCCCAGACACTGAGGTCCAGCGCTGAGGGCCTTCTGGCTGTTCCCTCACTGTGAGAAGCCAAATTACAGGGAACCAGGCAGAGGGCCTTCTCGGTAGTGGCACCCACCCTGTGGAACACCCTCCCACCGGATGTCAAAGAGAAAAACAACTACCAGACTTTTAGAAGACATCTGAAGGCAGCCCTGTTTAGGGAAGCTTTTAATGTTTGATGGACTATTGTATTTTAATATTTCGTTGGAAGCCGCCCAGAGTGGCTGGAGAAACCCAGCCAGATGGGTGGGGTATAAATAATAAATTATGATGATTATGATGATGAAAGGGATGGAGCGGCTCCCCTATGAGGAAAGGTTGCAAAGTTTGGGACTTTTTGGTTTAAAGAAAAGGTGACTAAGAGACAACATGATGGAAGTTTTTAAAATTACACAAACCTGGAGAAAGTGAATTGTGATTCTCCCCATGCCCCACCCTCCACAACACTAGAACATGTGGACATGAAATGAAGCTGAATGTTGGAAAGTTCAGGCCAGATAAAAAAAAGTGCTTCTTCACACAACACATAGTTAAATTATGGAACTCACTGCCACAGGAAGTAGCGATGGCCACCAACTTGGATAGCTTTTGAAAGAGGATTAGACAAATTTATGGAGGGAGAGGGCTGTTGAGGGTCACTAGCCATGATGGCCGTCCTCTCCCTCTACAGTTGGAGCCAGCAGTTCTTCTGAATTCCAGTAGCTGGAAGCTCTTGCGCTTGACTCCTGATTACTGATTTCCCACAGGCATTTGGCCACTGTGAGAACAGGTTGCTGGACTAGATGGGTCACTAGCCTGATCCAGCAGGCTCTTCTTATGTTCTTACATACAAATATGTACTCATAATAGAGCTCATATACCTGTTCAACAGCTGCTCAAGAGAGGAGTGCAAATGAATGCCAGCATAAGCACATGATTCATCCAGTGGATTTATCTCACCACCACATTTATTTTAATTTTATGCTAGACAGCTTGATATCTTCTTTTGTTTTCTGTTGGAAAGGTGCATGTCATTAGAATCTCTTAGGGACGTCATATTACAAATCGTTGTTAACTGCCTAGAATAAGAAAACCTTCCTTTCCCCCACCCCGCCTTAATTCTCTCAACGTGAAGGCCTTCCTGGGTCAATGTTTACAAAGCTGGATGCCTTCACTGTGCTTGCCCAGTACTGAGCCATGCAAGAACTGGCACCTTGTAAGAAAGGAGCCAAGTAACAGTGTGCCAGGTGCTGTATAGTAAGATGCGAAAGTTCGCACAAAATGACTTTTGCTCCCCCGGCCCATTTATTTTCATTTTCATGGCAGATTAGAATAAAAAATGTAGCCTGCCCAGTCTGCTTAAGTAACACATGGTTTATTCATAGGGGAAATTGCCAGAAATAACAAAGTGTCCCGCTGCCCCACCATAAGATGCAGAACAAACAGTCTGTGTGCAATTTGAGACCCAATTTTCTACAGCCTCCCTATGGCCCTGTTAACATAGCTGTCTGATTGCTTTTTTCTTGAACTGGAACTATGACCCGACAAGAGGCGCCTCCCCCTCCTTTTCCCCATGGATTTCAGATCAGATTTTTGTTGGATTTCTCATGATACAGCTCCAGCGTAACTGACTTTGCAGCAGTTAACATGCTGTCCTGACACAATATGCTCCCTTCTGCCTGCTACATATTTGAAATTGGAAATGAGATAAGCGATTTCCCTCTGGCTTGTGTCAGATCGGCTCATAAACCAACCAAGATGCTTCTCCAAATATCTGAACCCTCAACCCCCTCCCTCTTTTCTTCAACTGGTGTTCTGGGAGCAGCAAGAAGAGGAGATGGAGGGAGGTCTTCCCACTTCTGGTGTGCTCCACCCCATAAGGCCTTTCAATAGCTCAGGGGAAGGATAGTTTTCTCAATGTATGCTGGCATTGCAGTCACATATGCACCTCACATTTGCACTAATTGGTCATCAGCTCTGTATCTAGTCCTATATCCATAGGCCAACCACTCCTGAACAAGTTGTCCCTCTTATATGTCTACCTAAACATCCAATCATTTCGTTGTATCTTGACACTAAAAAGCTTCTACTCTTCGAGCTCTGTACTAGTCCACTAGGATGTTGACCCCATAGTGTAGGGAATAAGATCAAGGCAGTCTCCAGAGTTCACGAGGGTGTAATCGTTTCTTCACCAAATTGTATTTTTATTTAGACCAATTATTACAGTTTCACATAACGGCATTCAATACATTTATATTATAGCCTTTTCATGTGGCAACTCAGTAAGATAATAACAACATCAACAAAGGAGGAATGTGTAGGTAACAGCTTCAGTGGAGTCCCAACAGTTTCCCCAAATCCCTTTCTTGATTTTGTACTCTTATAACATAATTTTTTTTCCAGGTGCAGGCAATAATCTAATTTTCTGCCTCTCTGCATGTTTAATTTCAGGATTTTTATTTTGCTTTCCTGCCATTTCCCTTCTTGGCCTTTTCCCACAAATCAACACTTTCTGCATATATCTCCTGGAACAAATTGATATGCTGCTGTTTGGAGGTTCTGGTAAGTAACTTATATTGTGTAGATAATGCCTGCACACAACAACTCTCTCTCTTCATGATCATCAACACGGATAAATATGGCGACCAGAAAACCTTTGGTGTTGCCTCTTTGGTAGCAATGCTGGCTGCAGCCATCCAGCTATTCAGCCATCCATCCATGGAAGGGCTTGGGACACCGGGGTCTGATGGCACTTTCTTGCGTCTGTGTCCCATTGAGCAACCAGTCAGGTGCACTAAATGCACCTCGTTCCAGCCTACAGCAGCCTTAGTGAGTTTCTGGGAGACCGGGGAGAAGTGATGTTAAACAGGGCCTTCCTCCTCAATCATGGTTCTTCCTCTAGCCACTCCATGCCTCTCCTCTTCAGCTGTTTTACTATCCCATCACAGGTCTTGCTTTTGTGGGCAGGCACTGTGGTCTGCCCACAGCCATGTCCTGTTCGGCAATCACTTTGATATGTGTTGAATTAGTAATGCTTCAGGTTGTCATTTTGGTCTCTCCAGGTCCAATAACTTGTTCGATTTTTTGACTTGGGCAAAACCCTTGTCATAATTGGCAGGAATCTATCAAAGTATCATAGAATTGTAGAGTTGGAAGGGACCCTGAGGATCATCTGGTCCTACCCTCTGCAATGCAAAAATATGCAGCTGTCCAATGTGGGAATTGAACTTGCAACCTTGGCATTATCAGCGCCACGCTCTAACCAACCGAGCTATCCATGGCATATTTTAATTTGTGCCATAACAGCTATATCCAGAGAGGAAGCAGTGCATTTTGATTTTTGTATTTCAGCTGCTGCCGGGATGATCTCTTCGCTGTACAGTATTTTTCGGAGCTTCATAGTTGTGATTGTCCTGTACGCATTCTGTTTCAATGCAGTAAAGGTAAGAAGGGGAGTGATTCTGGTGGCAAAGCAGGGCAGCTGCTACTGTGGTTCCAGTCTCAGTTTCTCTGTTTTCTTCTGTCTACAGACCTGTATAGATAATGCTCAGATTTGCAATATTTTTCCTCCTTGCAAAAAAAGGGGGAAAGTTTGTGAAACTTGGTGTATTGTGCATATATGCTTCAACAAGGAGACCCTGCATCATAACTTATGTTTGTGGAACATAAATGTGGAAGGAAGGCCACTGTGCAAGTGGAGCATCTCTTGTGAAAACTGAAAAAGGAGAATTTAAAGTGGAAGGAGCTGGGAAATATTGTATGCGATTATGGAGGAGAGAACGAAAATCTTAATGCTAACACATTAATCAGTTGCTTTGTATAGTTTTGTGCTTTCCGAGGGTTAACTGAACTTCCAAATCGCCTTTGGTAAATAGCGTTAAGGACAATCCTTTTAAACATGTTCTGCCATTTGCACATCTTTTCACAGCACAATCAACTAAATTACAGCAGGCAGGTGGCTTTGTAGATAAGCAATCTTGCCCATAGGCTCGACTTCATACTGCTTTGAAATGTGCTCATAATGCTACCCTGAAGTTGGAGTGCGCTGCAAAAGATTTACAAGATATCTCCTTCAAATTACACATATTAACTGCAGACTTTCTGTTCACACAGGAAAATTATGCCTCATTTGAATTTTTATGACTGTTCTTTTTGAAGATACTCCTAAAGCAGAAAAATTAGGCATGCAAAAACGATACTACTTATTTCACCTTCTAACCTTGGTCCACTCTGGATTTGGAATTTTCATACCTCTTTATGGTGAAGTGAAGGCCTACGTGAGCCTGATTTCCTTTCTAAAAATGACTTTCATTTCCATTTCAGGGCATTCTTGTAGTGGAGTGGTGCACGCTCCAAATTCAGTAGAAAGGGCAATCAGATTTCATAGTGCTTTCCCTCCTGCTTTGCTTGTGGTCTGCATAGATAGAACATAATAAGAAATACACACACAAACACTTTCTCCACACAGAGATTGCTTGTCCTATTGATCAGTGCAAGTGGTCATAGAGAACTGCAAAATGATAAATAAGAAGGAAACATTTTGGATGTGTTTTAATTGTTGTAACTCACCTTGGGAAACTTCAGGTAAAGGGCAGGCGATAAATTGTAAAAATAACAAACAAACAAAATAAATAGTAATAAATGAACCAAGCAGATGTGGAACAGAAGGATTAATATATATTTGGGCGCGTGTGCACACACATACACATCCCTTGTCATGTAGCATTTTGCTGCTTGTGAAATGTAAAACCCAATGTGTTTAAAGCACACAAAACACAATTTCATGCAGTTCCCAGGATTATTGGGGAGGGGGATGTGCTTTAAATGTGTGGCGTACATGCAACTTAGGTGACTGCAACCTCAATACAATTCAACATCACATCCTCTCCAGTGTGGTGTAGTGGTTAAGAGTGGTGGACTCGCAATCTGGTGAACCGGGTTCGCATCTCCGCTCCTCCACATGCAGCTGCTGGGTGACCTTGGGCTAGTCACACTTCTCTGAAGTCTCTCAGCCCCACTCACCTCACAGAGTGTTTGTTGTCGGGGTGGAAGGGAAAGGAGATTGTTAGCTGCTTTGAGACTCCTTAGGGTAGCGATAAAGCGGGATATCAAATCCAAACTCCTCCTCCTCCTCTTCTTCTCTCTTGTAAATTATCCTTTTTGAAACTCCTTCTTTATCATGGCCACCTCTTTCAGCATGTGTATTGAAATGGGATTGAATTGAAGCTGGAACCTTCCTCATGCAGCGTGTCTTCTCTGCCACTGTTCTGTGGCCCAGCCCCTGAGTTTGCATTTCCCTCGGAAGCACTGAAAGACTTTTCGGACAACTGCCTGGCTTCAGAAGGCAGTGACGCAGCAAAGTTGTCAGATGGGAGTTGTGCTGTCTGTGAAGGAATAAGTAGTAAGGTGGAGACTCAAACCTGCCCATCCCCTGAATCCAAAGGAAGGCCTAGCTAGCATCTTCGTTGCAGGATCTACCAGGAGATGACCAGCACTGTCCATCAACTACCTAATAGGACCCCATTCCAGTTTTAACTTGGGCAGTTCCTTAGCCTTTGACTCTCTCAAAATTAGCCCCCCAAATCAAGGGGAAGTAGGCTTATTTGTGGCATGATCCAACATGGAGTTAAGATGATACCCCATGAAGTCACTGATGCCATTCAAATAATTCCCCTGTATCCTCCTGGTTATGGTTTTTCCTAGTTTACAAATGTTTATTATTCATGCCCAGCCACTTATTTTACAGTAAGTCTACACTGGAAACTGATTTGCTATCCCTGCTTTTAGGCTTTTAGTGGCAGTACATGTGCTGGTGTGCATTCTGTGCATATGTTCTCAGGCGCATTGAAGTACAAAATTGATTTACAGGCTCCTGTAGCTAATTACTGTTCAAGGCTTTCTTAACAGGTGGAATTGGGATATTTAAATTCTCTCACACCCATTGATTATATTAATGAGGCATGAAGTGTTTTGTGAGGCCCACTTTTTAGTACCAGTAACTTAATCCACACACCCATAACTTTGACTAATTTGTCTTAATTAACATTTCTAAGCGGCAAACTCTACAACGTAAAGGTAATCTTCAAACAGCTAGAATTCTCAGCAGATTTTTAAAACACGACTTGATATCCACAGAAGCACGTATAAAAGAAATCCATGATTTCATTACATTCTGTTCATAGAGTCAAGAGAAAAACATGATCTGTATTTACAAATACTTCAGAATATGTGAGGCAGTTTTGGAGACAGGCTGCAAACTGGTAAAAGTTCTTTAAATTAGAAAACTTTGGAGTCTTTCCTACAGCTATTCGAAAGATGAAATAGCTTTCAAGTTTTACTATCTATTATGAGTGATATGATACTCACAAATGTCAAAATGAATACGATTGTGATATTTTTTTCATTATTTTCCTTAGCAACTTGGTTTTGAATATGTACTGAGTCTTACCTTATTCTTTTATTTATATATTAAACTTATATAACCCACCCTTCCTCCCAAAGGAACCTGGCTGTCAGTCACACAAGTGATAAAACAATAAAATAACTTCTAAAAGCACCTTAAATTAATGAAACTATTATTAGAGTGGCAACAGAAACGTCTGGACCTCAAAGCAGGGGAAAGATAGGCATTGCTTGCCTATACAACGATGGACCACAGAATGCTGGCATAATTAGGCCCAATTTTACTAGATGTGCAAGCAATGGCCATAGTGTGACATGCCACCAAGGGAGGCTGCTCCCATCAGCTTTCAGTGGGTGTGAGGCAGCTCCCTATACAGTTCCCGCCAATTTCTTTCATTTCTAGCTTTGCAATGGAGACATTGAAATTGTCCACAATATGGCGGGAGCTATATAACACCTGTGGTTTGCCACATGAAGCTGCTTCTGTGTGGTTTGCATTGTTGTTTTACAGAACCAATACGGCAGCAGTTGTCTATATTAAGCAAGTGATGGAAGACACTGCTGTTTTATCAACTATTTTGCACTTTTAAGTGTTTTAAGACTACTCCATGTCATTGTGCTCAAAGGGAAATGAGATGGATTCATTATAAAGTATTCATTGTTCCTCTGGGTCCGCAGGTTTGTTGGAAGGAGATCGGTGGTCGGTCAGCGTGGTGGGCGAGTAGAATTATCTGACTTCCTGTGGTTTTCGTTGTTTCTTTTGCTGCTAACTGCTGATTTGAAAAGCTATTGTGGTTTATATAAGGATGCTATTGTGGTTTATATAATTATGCAGTGTGTCGGAAACATCACAACTTCTCCCAGATTAGAATTAACAGTGTAATTCTTCTAATATGTGGTGTTACAGTTGAATTTAAGGACATTTCCCCACCCCCATTTACTTCTGCAGGAGCCGTGGGACGCTCAACACATTCCTGCATTGTTCTCTGCTTTCTGTGGCCTTTTAGTTGCCCTTTCATACCATCTCAGTAGGCAAAGTAGCGACCCGTCTGTTTTAATGTAAGTCATCAGCAAATCCTTTTATAGATCTTTGTCACTATGGCTTATATTGATGCTCCTGTAAAATTAACAGAAATGGAATGATGTGGCTTTGATCTGTGTGGTGAGCATACCTGTGGGAGGAAAATCTTCAGGAAAATCAGAAGCGAGAGGGTTTCTTGAGGTTAGAAACCATTGTGCTCGATTGATTTTTGGTTAGATCCAGAAAGTCAATTCTTACATTTTTATGAGGGGGGAAATAGCAGGCTGTGCATATCCTGGGCTGGGACATTAAGAGTGCATCTATATGACGTGTGACATGACAAACGGTGTCTTGACTCGTTGATCACAGCGATGCTCTGGGAAGCCCAAATCTGCACAGATTTTGCACAAGAATGGAATAAACACCCATTATAGCTCTTTAAAATTCCCCCCAAAGTACAAACATGTTTCCCCTTGTTGAAAATGTACTCACTTTTCATTCATTCTTATTTACAAAAAAAGAAGCTCCTGCGTTTTACTTTAAATGAGGAGTTTTGTGTCCTTGAAATCTTTGCTTGCTTGCCTTGTACAGTATCTAATCTCCTCTAATACCTTTAATCACATCTCTGCAGTTTGAACTGCTCTTAAATATCTTGTTTGGGATTAAAACACTTATTTCTGATATTTAAAAAGCACCAAATATTCATGGACTAACCACGATTAAAGTGCATAATCCTCTTCCCTCCCCCAAATTACTTTGAACTAAATTAAAGGGTATTCAAGGGATTGCAAATGTTCAGATGAGATGCAGTGCCATAAAGATGAAAAAGAAGTTGGAACACAAAACTAAATTTGAAATTAGCATTCCCGCCCCCCATTGATACAGCAGTTCTTAACCTCTTAATTATGACTGGTTGAAAGAAAAGATACACTAACATTAAGTGTAATTTTGCAAAACCCTTAAATCAATTCTCAAATTGTTTTCAGTTTATTTTCTCTAGTGCATTAAAAAAAATTTTTTTTTTAAATGTAGGTGCTAAGGATGTGGGGGCAAACTCACACCTTGAAAATGATACTGATTTGCCTCTTATGTTGTGTTTATTTAACTCCTTTTTGCTCAGTCTCCACACACCCAATTAACCATTGCACAAGGGAGAGAGTGGGGATGAAACCATTGGTCCTGACTGCAAAGACCCCATCTCTGCATCCCACCATGTCTCATGGCCTGGATGCTTTCATGGAGAGTCTGCTGTACCTGAATAGGCTCCTGAGACAATGCAGAACCCTGATCTTCCAGGTTTCTTATTTCATGGGGAACCTCAGAGTGGAAGGTCTGCTTCTCCCCATACAAACCATCCCAGACTCTGTGGTCATCATCTGAGACCCTTCTTTGTGTTCCTCTCCATGTGAGATCTGGAGGGTGGCAACACAAGAAAGGGCCTTTTCTGTAGTGGCTCCTCATTTGTGGAAGGTTCTCCCCAGGGAGGTTCTCCTGGAACCTTCATTATATATTTTTAGGCAACAGCTGAAAGTGTTCCTCTTCAACCAGGCCTTTGGCTGATTAATACCTTTTAAATGTATCTTTGGGAAAGGGGGGTATTGCTTTGTTGTTATTGTTTTAATTATTTACTTGTGTTCTTACCTTGTAATTTATTCTGTGATCTGCCCTGAGATCTTGTGATGAGGGGTGGTATCTAAATTTGATAAATATAAATAAATACAACCTCCTTGTGGGTACCATTGTTGACTTTCCGTCCCTGACACACAGAGGGCTGCAGGAACAGTGACACGAGGCACATGGGAAGCCAATGGCTGCATCCCTGCTCTCCCCCTTATATGATGGTAATCACAGTTGGGGGGGCAGGGAGAAAATAGCTATACTTGTACCCAGACCAGTCCTGTAGTGTTGGCCTGTTAGTCATGAGCAGTCACTTTCAGCCAGATCCTGAAATACCTCCATGTGATGGTCTGCTGAGTGGTGATGATCTTCTGTCATGGGTCACCGTAGTGCATCAGGGACTGGGTGGGGCTCATATTTTTGTAGTGGCTTCCCCTTGTTTTACCCAGACGAGTTAGAAAACATAGCCACTAATGCCTAGTTTGCCCTATAAATAGCTCATTTACAAGCTGTTATATGAAAATGTCCTAAATGAGGGGTTTTTTTGTGTTTTTTTAAACCAGGTCTCTTATTCAATGTAAATATTTCCCTCACTTTCTGCATCAACATTTGGAAGATTCACAAACTGATCCGCTACCCGAGAAGATGAGAGAGTCAGTGGTAGGTTTTGTTTCTTTGTTTTTACGGGGAGCCCATGCAAAGGCGTCCTCTGAAATCCCACAACCATTCTGTGATATTATTTCACACGCAAAGTGTCAAGATGTCTGGTCAAATTATTTAAATCTCTAGCAGAGAAGCAAGTCTGGGGTAGAGCTGCGAATTGCTTCAGATGAATGACAGTGGAAGAAAGAAAGGCTTTAGGGACGACAAGGCTGCTTTCCTCGCTCTTAACTTTTCCTCCTTTGGCATGTAGACGGAAGTCGCTGGGATTCTTCAGCGCTGAAGGTGCTGCAAAATTGCATCTTGTGTGAATGGAAATCATTATGTCTTCCATGAGAAAATTAACAGGAGTTGCGTATGACGCTTGTGGTTAAAACAGGCATTATCCGGGGTGTTGATTAGAAACAGAACCTTAAAGCAGTCGTGTTGGGTCTCTGATTTTGCTCAGAACAGCAGTGAAGGCTGAAAGGGGTTTAGCTTTCCCTTCCTGTGCCACTTCTGCAATCTAAATTGCTCCTCCAGAACTGTTGTTAGCTCACTACGGAAAAAGCACATGCACAATGTCGGTACCTGTACCTGTACTGGAGAAAAACCATAGATAGCTACTGATAGAGAGGCTTGCATGCAGAAGATCCCAGGCAGCACTGGGGAATACCCCTATCTGAAACCCTGAAGAGCCTCTAGCATTCATTGCAGACCAGGGGGTAGAAATAGTGCAAGGCCCAAAATCACATGAGAATCCTTCATGAGTAGAGAAAGCCCCCATACCTTTGCTCTCAAATGAGTAGAATGCTATTAAGGCACCAGGTGATGCATTGGAGGGGATGGGGTTTGGCAGCATGCCATTGCCCTCCTTGTGTGCGTGACATGTGAGGAGGACAAATTCCTGTGTGCTCTGTATGTGTGCATGGAAAGCCATGTCCAACACTGGCGTTTGGCCCCTGGAAAGTTGGCCAGGAGGGTTTAGCGCCCTCAGACCCCCAAATAAAAAGGTTCCCCACTCCTACAGTAGTTAGTTCTAGGCTAGAGGGACCAATTTGCTAGTCTGGCACCGTGTCCTATATTCTTACCTATATTTTTCCACACTAAGATTAGCGGGGAGGATTTTAGATGGAGAAAACAGGTGTGTCAACCTGTTAAACAGTCGCTTCCCTCCACTGCTGTATTAATAAAAATTGAAGGCCCCTGAGGACACTATGCATCCCCTGCTTTGTTTCTTTTTAATTTCAATCATAGACCCCCCCCCCCACTTCACACCCTTCTTTTGTCAACTTACGACAAGCTGCTTTAAACTCACACGGCGAATGCTGCTACACGCCAACCCAATCGCCACAAGCTCTGCGAGATTCCAGGGGTTGTAGGTGTGCCTTAAGCCAGCCAGGGCTTGTTTTCCTTTTGGACAAATGAGGCATAGCCAAGACTCTGGTGTCTTTAGGATATATGGCTTATTTACACATATATACAACCTGAACCTAGAGGGGCTCGCAGCACTAGCACCCAAAAAGGTCCCTGCTTCTTCCATAGCTTTAGCCTTTCACTCAAATGGACATCAAGCATCATCATGCCCTGCCCCTCTCCAGTTTACATTTCTGCTACTGGTCTGAACCCTCTGCTTTTATCCCCTGAGGGATAAAAATGTGTTTTCTAGATTATTGAGTTGGGGGTTATAGGCAGTGTTCTGTGTGTTTTAAATACTACTATTGTTAATGTTTTTATATGCTGTTACTTGCCCTGGATCTCTTCTCTCTGGTGAAAGGTGAATGAAAAAGTAATATAATATAATATAATATAATATAATATAATATAATATAATATAATAATGTAATTAATGAATGATGCAGCCCTACCACGAAGCAGCATGAGACAGCCACTTCAGGTAGCTGACATTGTTAGTTAAAGTAATTAAGAAAGTAAAGTAATAAATTGAAGTATTTATTCCCAGAGGTAGGGAGAAGGCCTTGTGGGATTTTCTGCCTCAGGTACCAAAGTAGCTTGACACATCAACTTTCAGCAGCGGAGGTGGTTGCTACATTGCCTGAGGTAGCAAAAACTATTGAACCAGCCCTGGATTCCTCCGAAATTAATTAAAGGGCATTTTTGACAACTCTAACAGCTATAGACACAATTCCTGCTCCTCTGCTTAAGTTTGTAATAGATACCGTTAATGGGACTGACACTAGCATCCAAGAGTTAGCAGAAATCCCCACGTCACACCACTTGCCTCATTTTGTGCCCATGAAATTCCAAAGTCCTGTCCACGTGGCAACTTCCTGCACTTCTGATTGGGTACTGTGGACCAGACAGGGATTGCAGAAAAGACCTTGGAAAAGGCATATTCCTTCCCCTGGCATCTTCAGACCCAGATTCAACTTTCAAGATATTTGTAAATCAAGCATCCCCTTAAGTGTTGACTATGGTGAATTGAACAATATTTTGCAGTGCCCATCCACACTTGAATATAACTTGGTTTACAAGTTACAGCTTCCCTTAAGTGGGATTTATGTCCCTTGTGGCTTGCAGAGTCAAGCTGCATCAAGTAATATTGTTAAATGTTGAATTGAAGTTGGCATGTGAAAAAGTAATATAACATATGTGTGTTCCTGCCTATCTAGACTGATGATTTCAGTTTGGTAATAAGGAATGTAATAGCTAACGTGTGTTACACATGTTTGTGTGTGCACACACAGAGAGAGTATAGAATTATGTGGATGATATTTAGCTTTAAGTTGGGTGCCTTGAAATCAATACCATTTGAGCTGAAGATAATTGGTCCACTCTTCAGGATGAATCTAGAGGGATTTACTATTTAAAATAAGCCTCTCTGATTCCCCTCCAAATTAGCAATAACTTAGCACTGCATTTTCCAGTGACCTTTGCTACATTTTTGTTGCTTGAATGGCACTGTAACAATTGTCAGCCTTGGTGACTGGAATCAACAAGGCGGCTGCATTGGCTAATTAACCACTCAACTTGGAGAATGGAACTTCCTAGCTTTATAATTAATTTCATAGGCATCCACACGGTTGATTACTGCATTAACCAGCAGCCTAAGGGTATTCATGTGTTACATTCAAACTCTAACTTCTTTCCTGGACTGTAGCAGTAGTGGAGAATCACAGCTCCAAAAAACCAAAAAAACAAAACAAACCGCAATTAAATGCAAAAAGAAGAATTGCATAGTTCTCTCAGATTTGAGACAGGGTGGTATGAAATTGGCATTTTCTTTGTAGAAGGTTAGAAGAAAGTCTAAACTATCAAAAATCGCAATCCAATTCCCATCAGGTTCGTTTTTAGTGGGGGGTTTCCCCCCTTCCTGTTATACATATTCCAAACACAGTGGGCTGAATCTATAGTCCCCCTGCTGCATCTACACTGTTGGGTTCTGTTTTGCATATCTATTGGTATAACACCATGGATGGGAATGTGCATTACTATCTGATTTGTAAAGCAAATGAGAATATGCCTCTCACCAACAATATTCAATGCAGTAATGCAGTGCAGCTCTATAGTGTATCCAGATCGCATCAGTGGATACAAATTTCAGTGCAAATGTGCATCACACCATCTCCAATAAATCTTGACTCCAGTGGGAGAGAAAACAAAGTTGTAGATGCAAACCCTAAGTGGTGGGCTTCGGTGGTGTTTCCAAGGGTGTTGGTGGCATGCCTACTATTTTTATGCCTTGGGGGGATTTTTTTGGTTGTGTGTTTTTCTGCTTGTGGGCTTAGCACATGTACAGTATAGAGGCCATTCGTTCCACTGCCAGAGTATACTGAATTCCTGAGACTATGCAATTGCTCTGCCCTTTTGTTTCCATTTTCTGTTGCTCTTCCCGACTGGCATCAAGATTACTAGATGCGGCTATACTTCTCTATGCTCATTAGAGGGCTGATATAAATTGTATTATTTTTATATTACATAACGTTATGCTTTAGGATAAATAAAGCAGCAAAGCTTCAGCCAAGGAGCCAATAAATAAGTGGTTCATTCGTGCTGTGCAGCTTTATCCTAACAGTAACCCTGTCCCTTAGGCTAAGTTGAGAGAAAGTGATTAGCCAAGGTGAACTTTATGGCTGATTGGGGGATTCACTCCCAGGTCTCCCGAACTCCTAGTTTGACTCCGCTCGACCCACTAAGCACTGCTCCTGTACAATCCCCATGCATTTCAGTGTGTGTGTGAGAGAGAGGGGGGGGTGTTTCCTGTGTTAGAGGTAACTAGTGTAACACTTTGCCAACTTTTTTTACTTGAACAGCAACTGGGGAATGCTTTCATTCAGGGCTTGCCCACATTTTCGGGTGACCCATGGGCATATTTTTGGGGTCCCAAGACACATTTGCAAGCTGAAGAAGCTGTTGTGAGTGGCTCACACCCACCCACCCAACCAACCAAACACTGCAGTCTATTATGTTGGCTACAGCAGAATGCCTTTTTTCAAGCCCCATTTCAGCCTGGGGGGTTGCGGGGGGAGGGGACCCTGTGGGTGCCAGGGAAGGCCTCTGCCTGCGTGGATGCCATGCTGGCAACCCCTTATTTGAGCAGTGACTGGTGTGAATTTCATTGCAACTGTCAACTTCTGAAGATGGAGTAGCTTCATTTAGCAAGTCAAATTGGTCTTAACTTGAGTTTGATCATTTTAAAATTATATTCACAGAGGGAAACCTTGAAATCAGATCTCATTGTGTGCTCCGTGGCGGCTGTGCTGTCATTTGCAGTCAGTGCCAGTACTGTTTTCTTGTCATTAGGGGTAGGTATTATAATTCCTTTCTTCTATATTATTTCCTAAGATATTGTCTCTGTTATTCAAAGTAAGGAGATCTCATTATAGGCCATTATGGAAGACACATTAGCAGACGAAGGAATATTTGCTTGTGAGTGGTACTGGGAGTTTTGTTTCACTTCACACATATGAAAATCCAGTTTTTAAATACGAGGTGCGATGCACTAAGATGTTTTTTGGCCATGGTGACGCAAAGCCTCTGGTACAAATTGGCTGAGCTACTGTAATGCCTTGGAAAGTTTATGAGCATTCAGAATACTGAGAAAACCTGCCAGCTCTAGGATATCTGTGACAGTAAGGCTTTCGTGAGTTGAAATGAAAGGTTTTTGCCAAGAAAAGCCTGCCACAGTGTAAGGACAGGAGGTTCCCTAGAACCCTCGGCACTAGGGAGGAGTTGGGGGAAAGTCCTGTTGTGCTAGTGGAACTTATTGCACTAGATGCAGCTAGCTTATCTTCTAGCATTATGTCCAAATAAAGCAATTGTATGGAGTGTTTATGTGCCACTATTAGCAGTGGCCAGGTGACAGTGTCATGCACTCCAAGATCATAACCATTTCAGGTGATCTTCACATCCTGGCCATAGTGTGTCAACCAATTGCTGTAGCCCTTATTTTCTGACTTCCATTAATATTTATCATGGAAGCAATTTCTGTATACTGCCTGAAGCATTCCTTGCGCTTCAGCCTTGTATCTGGCATATTCTGATTTTCTATTGGCATTCCGTTAAAAAAGACACTTTCTGTGTTTTATGACCCAGCACAACGGACTCCTTAGGCTGTGAATGTGCAAAAAACCAAACAAACCCAAACAAAAAGCAAGCGCGCGCACACACACACACACACACACACAGAGAGAGAACAAGTTTAGCAAAGGCGGGTGAAACACTACAGCAACCTTTCTCTTCTCTTGAACTAAAATATAAGTAGATACTGTGTAATAAAGCACATGGTAAAGAGTAACTGAGAGACAGGAGAGTTTGCTTTTGTTTCCTCAGTCCCACATCTGCCTGTACAAGCATATGTTTTCCAAAATAAAAATGGGCAAATGTTGAATGGAAACAGCATTACAAAAAATCATGCGGTTCTTTTTTAAAATATATATATTATAGTACTTAATATATTGTTTTTAAATGAGATTTTGTTTCCCCCCCCCCTTTTCTTCTCCTTTCAACGCAGCCATTTCTCAGCATTGTGCTTTATGCTTTAGCATGGACTGTGGGATTCATAACACACTACCTGATTCCTCAGCTTCGCAAGCACCATCCATGGCTGTGGATCTCCCACCCGATCCTTAAAAATAAAGAATACCAGCAGAGAGAATTAAGAGGTGTGTAAAAGCTTCTTCTTCTTTTTTTAAGAAAAAAGTTTTAAGTGACACTGTCTATATGTGCTTTACCTTATAGTGATTTTTTTGTACATCAGTGAGAGTAATCATTCACAGAATACAAAGGGAAATGAAAACAGGCAGATTGTGGCAAAGTCAGTTGTTGGGCGCAAGAATAATAGCATATCAGGGATCAGGCAGAAGCCTCTCTGAATGTGCGGTTGAGACACCAAGAGGAGAGAGAGACAGAATCTATCTGATCCTGAATTCTCTTTGCCCATTTTAGTGATATTACTCAAAGTGGACTCTTGCAGATAAATTTGTATATATATGTATATCTCTTTAAAAAAAACCTGTATCAAAGGCGTTTAAAAATTTGCAATCTAAAAACCATACAATAAAAGCATTAAAAAGTTCAAAAAATAATATAAAAGCAAAAACATTAAAAACTTTTATAAAGTCAATTAATTCCCCTGTGGACTCCATTCTGAATAGAACTCCCATGGATCATGTAAACACACACCCCATTTTTCATTACTAATTCTTGTTAGATTGTTTCCCATTGCATTTAACTCAATTGTTGCTATGTATCTTTGCAAACCTCAAAATAAATATTGCAAGAAAGCAATGCTGCAAAATTGATGCATTTTGACCTACCAAGCTCTTCCTTAGGGTATTCCTGTAAGCACATCCAGCAATCGCATTTGCGTGCAGAGCTGTTCCTGATTCAGGTGCTAGCAGTCAGATTGCTGCATGCGCTTGTGGGAAGGAAGCATAAGGAAACAGGTCAGGGGTGAGAGGAAGCGAGACAGGTGAGCTATCCCTCTTCCTGCTGAATTCGTCTACCCTCTCTCTGTGTGTGATGATCCTGGATCATGGCTTGTTTTTACCTTTGACTGGAGAGAAGTAAAACACAACAATTTAGGAAAGTATATTTGAACAAATAAAGTTTGACAATAGAAAGCAGCATTGCTGAATTACTGAAACTGGTTTTTTTGTGATTGCTTTTCTTCCTTTCTTTTTGTATATCCGTTCAGCATTTCGACTGCTGTCAGGGATGGTAATTTGCTGTTCTCTCAGTGACCTCAACCCACTAAGCCCTGCTGCTATGCAATTTCCTAGAGGCCTGGCAGAGATTCAGTAAAGAACTAATTGGCATAAACGGATATTGTGTTGTAGTAGTGGATGACAAGTTTCTCCCTTTGTGTAAAACAACCTTTACAACCTGCGTCCTCTATTTATGTCAGCCAACTAACCTGAGCGCTTGTAGTTGTTCTGCCCTTTGACTTTAGTTTTGTCCATTTTATCAGGAAGCTATTTATATGAAGTCAGACCATTGGTCCATCTGGCTCTGTGTTGCCTGTTCTGATTGGCAGCAACTCTCCAAGGTTTCAGGCAGGGAGTTTAGCTGGATATGGCAGAGATTGGACCTGGAACCTTTTGAATGCAAAGCAGATGCTCTGCTGGGGAAGCTGTAGTCCTTCCCCAAGCTTCTTACTGGCTCCCGGTGGAGTACAGGATCAGGTTTAAGGTGCTGGTTTTAACCTTTAAAGCCCTATACGGCTTAGGACCCTTGTACCTACGGGACCATCTCTCCTGGTATGTCCCACAGAGGAACTTACGGTCTTCAAATAAAAACATCCTGAAGGTCCCAGGCAACAGAGAGGTTAGGCTGGCCTCAACTAGAGCCAGGGCTTTTTCGGCTGTGGCTCCAATCTGGTAGAACGCTCTGTCACAAGAGACTAGGGCCCTGCAGGACTTGACATCTTTCCACAGGGCCTGCAAGACAGAGCTGTTCCACCAGGCCTTTGGTCAGGGCACAGCCTGACTCCCTCCTTTGGCAATCTTTACAGAACTTAAGCTTATGGTTGTCATCAATTTAATTTTAATTAATTTTTATAATGAAATGTTTTTAGAATGTTGCACTATTTTATTGTTGTTAGCCGCCCTGAGCCTGGCTTCGGCTGGGGAGGGCGGGATATAAATAAAATTTATTATTACTATTATTATTAAAAAGAAACAAGAGCAAAAAACCCACTGCATTCTGATTAATGAGTTTAATGCAGGGTGTGCAACCCATAATTTTAAAATGCATCTCAGTGTTTAAATTTCTGGCAGAATTCTTTTTCAGCTATTTGGATGCAAACTAAAGTTCGGGTGACATGAATACATGAGACTGTGATTTAAATTTCCTGCCCTGTAGTGTCGTGAGGAACATTAAAATTGAGTTTTTAAAAAAGTCATATTGTGGGTATTTTGGAATTGCTATCTTCAGCAGGTGGTGTCTGGAGACTTCATTCCAGTTCTCCTAGAAATCTGTTGGCTGGGAGCCAGCTTGTCTTTGGATAACCCTCACTTTTTCTTTGCTCCAATTAAGAAACTTGCTGTCAATTTTTGATGGGTCTGTGCTTTAATCACTCTCAATGTGTGTTTTTGACGTGTTTGAAGATAAGAACGTCAAGACAGTAGGTCTCGTCTGTGACCTCAGTCTCTTCTTGAAACCAAGCCAACTAGATACACTGCAGAGAAACATATTTATAAGATGCATTATTTAAATAAAAAAGAGATGCATTGTAATGTTAAGTGTCTTTGGCAGGAGGGTGTTGCATGGAAATATATTCGCAGAACAATCAATCTCGAAAGAGGGTCTTTGATACCAAAATGTACCGAAGAATTTCTAGTTTTTTACAGTTTATTACAGAATGACTTGAAAGAGTAAATGAAGTGCAGGTCTCCTTTGTTGGTTTAATTCCAGATGAAAATAAAATGCTAACAGCCAGTGAGTGTTAGAAATGACTTTGCATTCTGGCATTGCTTACATTTATGACCCAGCCTTCTGATGCAATCTTCTGGACTTTGTTTTCATACTAGCAGACCAGGATTGTGATGCACTCCACCTAATACTTTATTATTATATGGCACAAGATTCAACTTTGTTTCCCCACCCCCCCAAAGAATTCTTCCAAAGCCAACAATATTATCTAAGCTATTATTTGTGCCCAGGTTGGAAACCAAATGTGTTTCAAGCTAAGGGTTACCTGGCTCAGTTCAGAAGGTAAAATGTTAAGTACTAGAAGAAGAAGAAAACCACCTGCAACCAATGTATCTTTGAAGAAGATATTGACTCTCTGATTTGAAATAGTCACCCCAGCTTAAGATGTGTTGGGTTTCCTGCCTGCTTAATAACTTCCCACCTGCTACTGACCTGCCTTCTCTGGCGTTTTTGCTGTTTCACTGCTATTCTCATATAGTGCTATGGCTTGTGCATCCCCTTAGTTAAGACTAGTTTTCTTCACTGCAATTTTCTGTTGCTTCTAGAACTGCTGTTAAATCTGTATTCTTATGGAGCTCTGATCTAATTACATCTGCAATACTGACCAGGGATCCAACGCTTAATCAACTTCTAGTTGCTCATATGAATCCAATGCCCCTTTGGAGTTTCACTTTGGTATCCTAGCACGTTTCAGATTTTGATGAGAGATCAACACCCCCCCCATCGGAGCCAATTTTGGCATTCACATTCCATGTGATAAATCAATAAATCAGCTAATGCCATGTGTGAGACAGATGAGCTATACCCTGTTATGCACAGCAAGAGTTTTGACATCACTTTGTTTTGAAATGTTCAGGTGCTGCCCATTTAATGTGGTTTGAAAGACTCTATGTGTGGCTTCAGTGTTTTGAAAAGTACATCTTGTATCCGGCAATAATACTGAATGCCCTCACCAATGACGCCTTCTCAATCAGCAAATACAAGAGGCTGACTCCACAGTAAGTTACTTAAATGTTGTGATACATTATTTGTAGATTAAGAGCTGGACAATATCATTTATGCATCTGGTCTACCATTTAGGCTTCCACAACTTGTGACATGCCTCTCCTAAACTGCTGTCACCTACAGCAGCCATTATTTATAACTGGAGAGGTGCTTGATGTCTCTCCTGCCTCTTCCTCCAGGTTGGCCTACCCATTGGCCGCATTGAGACCTTTGCATCAGATGGTGCGACAGGAAAGGCCATGGATTTATGTGCCCTCACCCCACTAACTCACCACTGTTTAGTGTTGTAAGAGTGCTTCTTTGCTGAAAGTGGGACTGTCCAGTGGGGCCTCTTCCTTGGAAGTGCTTTTCCCCAGAATGAGGTATGCTGAGCAAGGCGGCCTCAGAGATTTGTTTACCCCTACACACATGGGGCCATAGGAACTCTGATTCAGGTGGCAAAATGTCTTGCACTAACCCTGGCCATGCAGGCATCATGAGCCTGAACCTAGTGGGCTGCCATATGTGCCTGGAGGATAGCATTTGCTCTTCCCCTTGCCCTTCCTTCTTGGACTTCATTCTTCTCCAGGGATGCCAAACCCAGCAAGTGCTCTTATGACGTTGGAGCATGCCTGCCAATGAGTTCAGAACTCGTCTTATCTGTGTTGCTTTCAAAACTGAAAGTACGGATGAGAGAAGAAGCTCTGACAGCCTCCAAAAGAGTTTCTGACATTTCATTCACATGGCAACATTTAGCTGATTGTTTGGAGTAGTCTTATCTCTAGCGAACCTAAAGATCTGCTTGAAGGGACATGGAGCAAAAAATAAGTGCCTTTTAGATTCATGTCCACCGAAATCCATCCAGGCTGAAAATCCCAAATGAATGACCAGAGCACAACATGTATCAAGGTCTTGAAAATACTGGCACATGTCGCTCATTGGAGAAGACATTCTGAAACCTTGTGGCTTGTTTTCATTTAATTTGAAGATAGTGGCAGCATCACAGTTCCTTTATGAAACTGTGCAGGATTTGCATCAATAACTTATCTCAGGAATGGGGAAACCTGTGGCCCTCTAGATGCTGCTGGACTCCAACTCCTGTCCTCCCTCACTATTAGCAGTGTGGCTGGGGCTTATGGGAGTTTCAGCCCAATAACTTCTGGGGGACCTCAATTTCCCCATCACTGCTTTACCATCCCTTCTCTGAGGTGACATAATTCCCACTTGGCTGATTTCAGTAGTCAACCCATACAGTAGTTTCTTTCCATGGATGAAAGGTACATCACTTTGGGAATGGGTCAGGCAAGCTTCTATTACAAAAGGAAATTGCTTGGTTCACTGAGGTAAAAATAACTAAAACAGAACACATTTGCAATCTTATATGAAAGTCAAGGAAGGGCAACCCCCTTCACAATGAACCCCCGTTTTTCTGCTACCCCAACTGGTAGTTCCCTGTCCCATTTGTGCAAGAGGTTTGTGACCTTCTTCCATTCTTTTCACTGCCACAGCCTGCTTTTTCTACTGTGTGCTCTTTACTTTTTTAACATAAGGAAGATTTCAAAGAGGTTATGCAATGCCTATATGTATATTATGTCTATTATGTCTATTATTATGTCTATTAACCTAGGAGCAATTATTATGTAATATTTATTGGAAAATTGCATTAAAAAAATAAAATTATTTTCCACAGCAAAAATGGATCAATGTACAAATATAGGTGTAAAACAAAGAGCACAATGCCTACTAAAAGATAGAAGCAAGAATTCTGGGAAGTTTGCCAACTATCTTTCTTTATGTTCTAATTTTCTAGTACTTAACAGTATGTTGACACCAAAACTCTTATAATGATTAATGATCTCTGAAAACATATAACGCTGTGCTTTCAGCAGGGAAATCAGTTTAATTCATGGGTACATCTTTCAGATATGTTATACATATACTAGATAAGGACACCAGCCTTTTAAATCGTTATTTATTTGAAATTTGTTCCAAAGGATTCAGGGGAAGTTGTGTTATACCATTTCATCTTAATTCTTTCAATAGACTTGTGTGGTTGAGCTGGGAAATAGTGACTGGCCCAAAATCATCCAGTGGGCTAAAAGGCAGAGCAGAAATTTGAATCTGCATATCCTGCTTAATGCTGCCCATTGTGCAGCACTTTCTCCTCTCTTCCTTTCCCTTGTAGTCTTTTCATGTGCCCCCAAACTCTGCTTTGGGACATTCCTCAACCCTCGAGCAGATTTGGGGGGCACCCAGGGAGGGAGAAGAAGAATGGGAAGTCACATCATGCAAGTGAAAGTCCAGTCACATGATGAAGTCTGGTCAAGGAAATTGCCGATGTTATCTCAGCGCCTCTGTCTATTATCTGTGAGAATTCTTGGAGAACAGAGGAGGTTCCTGCAGACTGGAAGTGGGCAGGTGCTGTCCCGATCTTCAAAAGGGGGGTGGGGAGAAGACCCAGGTAACTACCAGCCAGTCAACTTGATGTCAATACCAGGAAAGGTCCTAGAACAGATAATTAAACATTTGGTCTGTGATTACTAAGACCCATCATGGGTTTCTCAAAGACAAGTCATGCCAGGCAAACCCAAAGAGTGCTCACTAATGGTTCCTCGTCATCCTGGAAAAAAGTGACAAGTGAGGTGCTGCAGGGTTCTGTCCTGGGCCCGTTGTTGTTCAACATCTTTATAAATGACTTGGATGAAGGAATTGAGGGAATGCTCATCACATTTGCAGATGACACCAAACTGGGATGGGTAGCAAATGCTACTGAAGGCAGAATCAGGATACAAGATGACCTTAACAGATTGGAGAACTGGAGCCCAGACTAAGAAAATGAATTTCAGTAGGGACAAATGTAGGATTTTACATTTAGGCACGAAGAACCAGCTGCACAAATATAAGATGGGGGACAGTAGTACATGTAAAAAGGATCTAGGGGTCTTAGTAGACCACAAGCTGAACATCAACAGTGTGGTGCAGCAGCAGCAGAATGAATGAATGAATGAATGAATAGCTAATGCATCAACAGAAGTATAGTGTCCAGATCAAGGGAAGTAATAGTGCCATTCTATTCTGCTTGCTTAGACCACACCTGGAGTATAGTGTCCAGTTCTGGGCACTACAATTTAAGAAGGATGTTGACAAGCTGGAACGTGTGCAAGGAGGGCAACCAAGATGATCAGGGTTCTGGAAACCAAGCCTTATGATGAATGGTTGAGGGAATTGGGTATGTTTAGCCAAGAGACGGCTGAGAGATGATAGCCATCTTCAGATATCTAAAGGGCTGTCTCATGGAAGATAGAACAAGCTTATTTTCTCCTGCTTCTGATGGTAGGACCCAAACCAATGGTTTCTAGATACAAGAAAGGAGATTATGACTAAACATCAGGAAGAACTATCTGACAGTAACAGCTAGAATGGACTTCCTATGAAGGTGGTGGACTCTTCTTCATTGGAGGTTTTAAAGCAGAAGTTAGGTGTCTATCCAATATGGATTCTTTAGTTGAGATTCATGCATTGCAGGGAGTTGGATTAGATGACCCTCAGGTTCCTTCCAATTCTACAGTTCTATGACTCTATTATGTTGAATGCCACCTCCTGTCTTTTAATACAGGACCCGTCCAGATTACTTTGGAGAGCCATGTCATTGTGTTTTGATTCAATAAAGTCAATTAAAAAATGGTACTACTGCCAGACATAAATAGTCACCTTTGTATAGTGATTAGTTAAACGAAACAGAAACCATCCTAATAAGTTGTTCTATTGAAGCTTTACTTTCCTGATTTTTTTCTTTCTTTTCTTTCTTTTCCCTCTTGCAGCTGTGATATCTTTCTGATTACAATTGCGGGAATGAAGCTATTGCGGTCTTCATTTTGTAATCCCATTCACCAGTTTGTTACATTAAGCTTTACTGTCATCTTCTTCCAGTTTGACTACTATGGTAACTCCGATAACTTCTTGTTGAATTTCTTCATGATGTCCATTGTGTTTAATAAGGCAAGTGAATTGTTACTTAAAACTCTGTCACAATTTTGAGTGTTTAAGAAAAAGAAACAAAAATCCATAACTAATAACATGTGTCTAACTGTATCGTAAGGGACGCGGGTGGCGCTGTGGGTTAAACCACAGAGCCTTGGACTTGCCGATCAGAAGGTTGGCGGTTCGAATCCCCACGACGGGGTGAGCTCCCGTTGCTTGGTCCCTGCTCCTGCCAACCTAGCAGTTCAAAAGCACATCCAAGTGCAAGTAGATAAATAGGTACCGCTTCAGAGGGAAGGTAAACGGCGTATCCGTGCACTGCTCTGGTTCGCCAAAAGCGGCTTAGTCATGCTGGCCACATGACCCGGAAGCTGTACGCTGGCTCCCTCAGCCAATAAAGCGAGATGAGCGCCGCAACCCCAGAGTCGGCCACGACTGGACCTAATGGTCAGGGGTCCCTTTACCTTTACTAACTGTATCGTACAATAACACCTGAAAAACATAGTTAACATGTCACATTAAAGCATAGTCTAAAAGAAACAAAATGGAAGTTCCAGCTCATGCTGCTGCTGCTAGGAAACAAACCAGGCTCTGATTGGCTGGAATATCTGACCCTGTGTTCCTTGTTTGTTATTCTCCAAACAAACCACAAGAGGTAACCAAGGCTGTTTCTTGTCTTACTGATGGTTTGTTTGGAAAGAAACAAACCATGACTTGTGCCAAACCCGGAAATGACCCCAAAAGTCACAAAAAGTCACAAAAAGTGACAGGGTGAGGGAGGAGGGTTTGTAGGCTTTTTCAATGGTGTTTCAAATATACAGGATTTCACTTAAATGCTTGGTGCCTTGGAACATAACTCTCACATAATTTGGGGGTTGCCTGTACTAAAATCTCAAGTACATATATTACAGGTTTACTGAAGAAATGCTACAGGCTATGGGCCAATTAAACACATTTTTGAGAGGCAGATCTTGATTAGTCTTAGAGGTTTAGAACTTCCCTAAAAGTTTATATGAGTTTATTTGGGGCAAATGTTTTATATATCTATAGATCTATACCCATTAACTATTGAGAAGTTGACCATGGTAGCAATATCTTGGGAAACAAGTGAATAAAATGGAAATAGCATGTGCGGAGTAGTCGTGCTGAAATTGTTTCATTCAGAGGCATGCTGAGACAATGAGTGAAAAGTACAATCTCATTGAGCTGGTAATTAGAGATTTGCGGTGACTCTGTAAATGAAATACTTATAGGATTGCTGGGTTTTGAAGATTAATTATTACATTTTGCAGGTTATTATTTCATCACATGGATCTAAATCCCCAAGAATCTCTGAAATGTTGTGGGCTGGCCTTTAAAAAAATTAATTTGGGGTAACTTTATTCCTATGAAAAGCCTATCTGTCAGGTCCCTGCTCAGATGGCGTCAGGCACTGTATCTGTAACTTTCCCAACTCTCTATGGTCCATTCTGCTTCAGCAAGAAAAGGAACTGACAGCTTCAATCAATGCACTGTTCAATCACCATAATGTTGACAACTATTTTTGAAAGATAGAAAGCACATTTTTGCTGCCACCACCTTTGGCTATGTAGAAATAACTCTGGAAGTGACAGCCAGGAACTTATTATTCTCTGAAGGTGTGATTTTTCCCATGTCTGAGCAGCAAGGCTTTTTCCTAAGTGTTGTAAGTCTGTATAATCATTTCAGTAGAAAAAACAATCCGTGTGAAGCCACGGTTGAAGAAGCATATCCATTTTTCCACTAAAGGAAATGAAATAAACCCACAGTAGACAACATCTCCAGCTTTGTTATTCTAGGTTAGATGACACTTACTTCATCTGTCCTCAGTAACGTGCTTTGCAATGGTGACGGGGGTCACAGCTGGCAAGAGAAGGGGTATCCCTTCCTCCTCATCTGTGACTGCCCCCCACGCCCCAAATTGTCCCACTGCTGTAATTAGGCTTGAAATAAAGCTTTCTGTTGTAGCCAGTGGAAGGAAGTCTAATTACAGTGTATGGGGCATTTGCTGTGTGGGCGGGTCACAGCTGGGGAGGGGAGAGCCCCCCCAACCCCCTTTGCAATTAGGCTTAAATAGCCTTCTATTGACTACAAAATAAAGCTTCTTTCAAGCCTAATTTGAGCAAGAGAAGGCAGTGGGCACCTGTGGGCCTCAAGGAAGGGCCTCTGCAGACTTCTGAACACCTGCAAGCGCCACATTGGTGACCCATGTATGTAATTAATGCAGTCCAGTGAGGATGCAAATCATCCTCACTGCTCACAGGGCATTGCTTTCCACAGCCACTTTCATCCCCCTATTAGCTCCTTGTAGCTGCTTTTGGATGTGCTACCGCATACTGGAACATCCAGTTCAGTAAATTGGTTGGGAGCCCTGCCCCCAGAACCAAAATTAAAATGGTGCATAAAGGTATTGGGAGGGCTGTGCATGGATGATGCGTTTTGGCTGTGATCCAGGATTAGAAATAGCCATACGATATGTAGGGAACTGAGACTGATCGAAATAGTGGAGGATAATTGACCGTTAGTTATTTACTGGGAGGCTCTGCTTTCCTTTGGACCACATCAGTGAGGGCGAGAGGGTAGGTCTTGTTATCTGGGCAGCCCAGGTTCTCCGTGCACAATGCCCAGGCCTGCACCCCAGGAAAGTTACTTCAGTGTTGCTAGCACAGCAGTTTGACTTCATCCCAAATTTTTCACCCCATTTTCCCTTGAGACGGATGAGTGCCAACAGCAGATTCCCTGTTTCTTCCCACTGTTTCTTCTCTGGAAATACCCTTTATGCCACTTCTTTGCATGATTGCAATGGTTGTTTATTAGAGACCGGTGAACTTTAAGTTTGCCATGGGAAATTGCTGGTGTTCACATCCCCCTACAGACAGATAACAAAAGTGGAACCAAGTTGTCCAAAAGAATTAAGCCCTTCACAAACTGCAATAATCTATCTTGCCTGGTGAGTGGTGTCTCTTGAATACACATAGAGAGTCTGATAAGTTCCATTTGGATTATTTCATCATACAACAACCCAGTGTTGTAAAGATATGTTCAGTGATAGGACAGAAATCCACTGGCCTTTTTATTCTGATAAGCAACATAATCACCTGAAATCCAAAACATTTGTTGAAAAGGTCTTTGATATCTCAGTCTGAAATGTTTTATATGTTCAGTTGAACCCTTGTCCTTTGGCAATATGTGTGCTTGGCTCCGATTAAGGTCAAAACCTGTCAAAATTTCTTATGAAAAACGTTACAAAATGAATCTGTCAACTTAATCTGCTCAGCACAAGACCACCTGCTGGGCTTCTCCTTGAGGTTGTAATGAAACTTCCTCATCTGCAAGAAAAATGGACTGTTCTTCATTTATGGAAAGCTCTTTGATACAACTGAGCCTTTTATGAATGGTATGGGGAGGAAGGCCATTTTTAAAAATTGCCCCCTTTTTCCTGCAGTTCCTTGCAACACCTCCCATACTATTCTGGAAGTTGCTCCAGGCCTCTGGAGGCTGGATCAAATGGGGGCGGGACATAGGGGGCTGAGAAGAGGAGGGAAAATGGGTGGAAATCACTTTCCCCCTTTCCTTCATGGAAGTCTCCAGAGGATTAAAGAGCTCTCCATGAATGGAAGGTTACTGCTGGATACAACTATTTACTGATAGCAGAATTGAAACAAATTAAGGGGAAGAGTTATAAAGCTTTTAAGTTCAGAGACAAGATTCACTTGAATGACATTCTGTGTAGAAAAATAGGTGAACGCATAAACAGAAGCTAAGATGTACACAAGTCATAAATGACTTTCAGTGTTAATGGGAAGTTAGATTTGTAGAAAAGAAATTGCACTTCAATGAGGAAATCTTTATCATCGGCAACATGTAAGTCCCCCAGCTCTGCCAATTTTCTCCAAAGATGCAGAAAGATTGCTCAAAACATTCATGAGCAATGCACATTAAGGGAGATAAACACAAATTAGTCTGCAAATGGGCAAAATATTATCTCTAATTGGATGCACATAAAAGAAAAGTATTATAATTCCAATTCAACAGTGGAAGCAGTAAGATGTTTCAAAATAGGTAACTGACAGTTATGTGGTTATAACAGGGCTATGAATCGGGGGGTCTCAAATGCGGCATTAAAGCACCCCAAGCTCTGGGATCACAAAGCTCAAATACTGCAGCAGATAACAAGTTTTGCAAATTGGGCAGATTCACATAATGCTTCTGAATTTTCATGATTCACACACTTTGCATAGTTGCACAGTTTGCTCAAAGAGCCTAGCTGACTTGGTGATTTTGTGTGCTCTGCTCCAAATGTAGAGTTTTGTGAAAAAGCAAGGGATGGGGATAGAAAGGGATAGAACGGGATTGTGCACAAAATTACTTTCAATGTTTGGTGACTTTTTCATTGGTTAGTCTGGATGGACAGGCACAGTGAAGCAGTCGTCTGTATTCAGCCAGACTTCCAGATTTATCAGACCATTTTGAAAAAGGAAAAAAAACCTAATAAAAAATAAATCAAGGCAGCGTGCAACTGTGGGAGTGGGGTGTATGGTAGAACTGCATCTTCATTTACTCTGAGTGAAGGGTCACATTCCTTTTGGGGGGGGTGTCTTTGCAAACTAGGGGACGCGGGTGGCACTGTGGGTTAAACCACAGAGCCTAGGACTTACCGATCAGAAGGTCGGCGGTTTGAATCCCCATGATGGGGTGAGCTCCCGTTGCTTGGTCCCGGCTCCTGCCAACCTAGCAGTTTGAAAGCACGTCAGAGTGCAAGTAGATAAATACCTTCAGAGGGAAGGTAAACGGTGTTTCCGTGCGCTGCTCTGATTCTCCAGAAGTGGCTTAGTCATGCTGACTGCATGACCCGGAAGCTGTACGCTGGCTCCCTCGGCCAATAAAGCGAGATGAGCGCTGCAACCCCAGAGTTGGTCACAACTGGACCTAATGGTCAGGGGTCCCTTTACCTTTACCTTTTGCAAACCAGAGGAGGTCAGGGACACCATACACACGGCAGCCACTCATACACCACAACCTAGTCTATTGACTACAATATAATGTTTTTTTTAATCTGAACTTTGGAGAGGGGCCCATGTGGGTGCCAGGGAAGGCCTCTGTAGGCACATATGTGCCCACAAGTGCTATGTTGGAGACCCTTGGTCTTGGCAGTCAAAGCAGAAACCACCATAACTGAAAGTAATCTTCAAAAATGGCTGCGTGAATCACCCCGCTGAAAAAGACAATCGACTGGATGTGTTTCTCCCTTTGCCTCTGAAAGATGTACTTCATCTGGAACCATGCCCTGATGTCATAACTCACAGCATTATAATGTCTGGTTATGGAGCAAGTTGCCCTGCATGTTACAGAGGGGCAGAGGAAAAGATGCATCCCGGAGCTGCTCCCTTGAGCAGTAGCTCCTTTACCTCACCTTCCTCCCTAAGAGCATGGAACACAAAGAAGTCTCTCACACATTTAGCCATTCTATTTATATATCTTTGTTTTATTTTAGGAAAATTCTCTTCTTCTTCTTCTTCTTCTTCTTCTTCTTCTTCTTCTTCTTCTTCTTCTTCTTCTTTGTGATGGGGAACAACATCTTGGCTAGAAAGCTCATTTTTCTACAGAGAAAAATCTGGTGGATTTATCTGGTAGATGTGTTCTGTGTGCCATATGGCTATCCTGACCACTCACGTCCCCGATGCCTGAAAGATCGTCTACAGACCCTCTTGAGTGCTGAGATCAGCAGAGGGGGCTCTCTTGGTAGTTCCTCCACCCTCAGGGGCTTGGAGGGCAGGTGGCAGCCCTGGGGAGGGCATTCTCTGTGCTGGCCCCAGAGATGTGAAACTCCCAGCAGAGGTGCACAAGGCACCTTCATTATATAGCTTATGGATAATGCTGAAGATGTCCCACTTTACATTGGCTTTTGACATCAGAGATGTATGTTTTCAGGACCCAACTTTTTATGATTGCAAGTTGTTTTAAATTGTTTTTAATATTGTGTTTAATGCTGTAACCGGCTCTCAGACCTTGGGGTGAAGGGCAGGTAATTAATAATAATATTGATTGATTGATTGATTGATTGATTAAGTAAATATTATGTTAAAATAAAAATTCCACTTCACTTTCTATATGAACTGAATACCAACAATCCAAGAGGTAGTATAATTGTAATATAGGTACGTGGACATTGCGTGTTGTATAGGATATATATGGTAAAATGCTTTCTTTCTTTTTAAAAAAAGTGCTTTTCACATACGCTGTCATAACTTTTCTGACTCTTTTGCTTTCAGCTGTGGGACCTCCTGCAAAAGTTGCAGTTCATTCTGACCTATATTGCTCCTTGGCAGATTGCTTGGGGCTCTTCGTTCCATGTATTTGCTCAGCTCTTTGCAATACCTCATATCCTTTTTTAGTGTACCTGCTATTTTGTTCTGCATTCAGAGGGTTAAGGAAAGCAGGGTGTTCTTGGGCAATTTATATTAAGAAAAGTATATTTTTTTTTATGTCAAAATTTTGAAAAAAAAGGATGGATATTCCCACAGGGAGAAAATGCAATATTAAAAAAGATCCTTTGAACAATACTTTGAAAAGTGGGATATAAATTATTAAACGGATAAAAATAAGGAAAAGCAATGAGTTGAGAAATGTATTTCATTATTGCTTGTGACATTATTACTTCTTCGGTGAGGTGTGTAACTTAAAGTCTGTTTTGCTTCAGAAGGCACTCTAGTATGTAGGCAAGAATGGCTAAAATGTATTGTTGGCTCTCGGACAGATAAGGAAATTGGACAGTGACTCTTAGACTTTCCCAGACTCTCTGGGAATCTCTGCTAATCTCATCAGTCTGATACGACATTTTCAGAAATGGAAGCCCTACTAGTGGCACTGCCTCTATGTCATTAATTGGGAATAGAGAAAGTGACTGAACTACAGAGATCAGATTAGCAATAATTGTTGTTGTTATTATGATGAATGTTACATTTTTGTGGTGAAGTCGTGAAAGTCTGTTCGCTGGATTATTGCTGGGATCCTGCTGGTCTTAAAGATGTAGGGCAGGCATAGGCAAACTCGGCCCTCCAGATGTTTTGGGACTACAACTCCCATCATCCCTAGCTAACAGGACCAGTGGTCAGGGATGATGGGAATTGTAGTCTCAAAAAACATCTGGAGGGCCGAGTTTGCCTATGCCTGGTGTAGGCCTTCTTTTCCCCAAGGTCCTCCATTTGCTTATTGGCATGAGACCTCTTACGTTTTTTCTCCCTGTTTATTATAGAGGAATATATGCATGGATTGAGTGCCTCCATTGCCTTTGAGTGTGCATAGATATTTTTGTAATGCTTTTGATTTTGAAGTAGTCTTTAGGAGGCTTCCTTGACCCCTCTTCTTTGGTTTCTCTACCTTTCTTGCTCCTTGCACGTACTCCACAGTGATGACTTTCTGTCCTTCCAAGCCAGTATGAATCACGAGTCCACAATATTATGGCAACTGAACTTTGTTGACACTTCCTTCATCCCCATATCCTCTCCATTGGGTTTGAGAGGCTCTGAGGGCAACTCATCTCACATAATCACTAATAGGCACAGACATCATTATATAGCATCCTCTCAATAAATTTAAGGAGTTGCAGATATATACTTGATAAGTATTTACTAAAACGGCAGATAACATCAAACGTTTGATTAATTAGGCCTTAGGAGAAAAGCTGAAATGTGATTATTACTTCAATTACCAACAAAACATGTCTCTCCCATATCAGTCTCTGCAGGCACTGTATGTAACCTTCCAACAGTTTGGCTTCACCCCCAAAAGCACACCGCTGAGACAGACGGATGAAAAAAAGAAATCATTAGCATATTAGTTATTTATGACAGTAGAAGTTGCTCATATATGACAGATTAAGAAGAAATGTTAGACACATTTCAATACAGGACCCTGAATTAATTCAAGTGACAAATAGCCCAATCTATTATTCATTTATTTTTTATTTATTGCATTTATAGTCCAGCTTTCAATCCAAAGATTTCAAGGTTCTTCCTCTCCTCATTTAATTCCCACAACTGTTTGAGGTAGGTTAGGCTGAGAGCTTAGGCACAAGGGAGCTTCATGGTCAAGTGAGAATTTGAACCCGGGCTCTCAGGACCTCGCCAACACTGCACCACACTGACTCTGTAGCCAAAGTAAAAAAAAAAGAAAAGCACTTCAAAGTACTGTTGATTTCAATGAGGCAGTTATGCATATATTTAGAGCTCTATCATTGAACTCAGTCAGACCTAAAAGGGCTTAGCTTCAGCTAAAACGTTCTTCCAATTGGCATTCGAAGCCCAGGGACACTGAAAGTTTGGATAAATGTCAGTAATCTTGTCCATAGCATAACATTCACTGGGGACAAATGATAGACACACAACTAAGTCAGGTAAGTTTGAATGATGGTGACTCTCATCTTTTCCGTGAGACTTCCTTGCTTCTGCCTCTTTGTGGAGAAAGTTAGTAAGATAAATAGGTCAGAAAGTGCCCGAAGGACAGCATAAAAGGCAGCGACTTCATCTGTGTTACCTTAACTTGAAATTTTCAGATTCGGCAATGCTCTTCTTTCAGACTCTGGCCACTGCAATCTTTTCTACTCCGCTGAGTCCATTTCTCGGGAGTGTCATTTTTCTCACATCATACGCCAGACCAGTGAAGTTCTGGGAAAGGAATTACAAGTAAGGCAAAGTGTTATACATCTGTTTACTTTATTGTTAAATGTTTTTGGAGCTTTCGAAAGCTTTCCTTCTATGCCTAACAGTTCCCACAGCTTTTCTGTGGACCTTGAAGACTGCTCTGCTTATTTTGCTACTGTTCCCGGGTATGTTGCACCAGTGGCTGTTTGGTAGAATGTTAGTCATTTTGGAAAATAAATGTATTTAAACAATCATCAGAGTGGAGTTGTCACAACCCATTTACTGGGCATAGAGGGCAAAACCCCCCCAAAAAACTACGGGAGTAAATCATAACTGCCTCAAATGTCAACCGCTATTGATTCAGCAGCCGCAGTTAGAAACTAAATCATTTCGGCCTTTGGGCAGCAGAAGTCAAAATGGATTAATACAATTTATGTTAGCCAGTTAATGTTCTGTCAGATAAGTGGCGCTGGGTGGGCAGCAAAGCTCTCACCTTTAAGGCTGAGTCTGTTAGAGCCAAACTACACATTACATGCAGTCATGTGTAAGGAAACCCTGACAGTTTACTTCTTTGCTGAAAAGCAATGTCAGCATCAGGGGGGTAGGGTAGGGGGGTGATTTTCCAGTCATTTTCTCACTTTTTGGGGGGGCAGTAGGGGGAGCAGGTTGCAGCAGCTCTCTTACTCCCCACTGCTGTTCTCCCCAGCCCCAGGATTCCAAGTACATATTTGCAACACCTTTCTGAAGCCCAGCCAGGGTGGTAGGGAGCCATAGAACTGAAGTCAGATAGGCAGGGTACAAATAACAAAATTATTATTAAGCAGCAAGGAGGGAATGGAAATGGGATGGCACCCAGGGCTGGATTTAGGTTTGATGAGGCCCTAAGCTACTAAAGGTAATAGGGCCCTTTATATGTCCAGCTGTCCTTTGTCAACAACAATTTGCCACTGTTTTTTGTCTTGAATATATGCTATATGGTAATTTATCGACCTAGTAGGTATCTAAAGCCATTTGCACATAACAAAATATGCATTTTATCAAAGTAATTGTTGAAAAGTCCATGCAGAATGTAGGTACCCTATATATAGAAATGAGCAAACCAGTGATATTTTAGGGAGCAGATTAGCAGGCGGGGCTCATAGGAGCCTACACAACACAAAACACTGTTGATGTATGTAGGTTTTATTTTATTTGTTTTTTATCTTATATTGTGGAAATGTACATCCAGTTTTTTCCCCTTTATTTTTTTGGGGGGGCCCAAAAGAGTAGTTTTTCTTTTTCTAATAAGAAAAACAGCTTCAGAATTTTGTTACACACACTTTTGGGCAACATGCAACTTGCAACCACTCTGCTGCGTATATTCCAAGTGCATTTCACATGCCACAAAGCCATCAACATAAACTCAGTTCTATGCCCCTAATATGTGCTGGTAGCCTTTCTAATGGTATTATAGCTGGAACGCATAGTAGAATAGTTGTGGCCCACTTGCTAAGCATGCCATGTCGCTATAGGTACACTGGCAAACGCCACTGTGTGCCTTCAGAAAAATCCTAGCAATAGGATCACAGTGGCAATAAACAGAAGCGCTTTTATTTTTCTTGCTTTTCATTCTTCCTTCCTTCCTCATGAAAGGTATACTATAAAAATGCTTGCTACACATATGCATGCCATATGGAAACATCTTGTGTGAAATGAATGCAAGTTGCGCAAGAGGAGGGCTGTCGTTTTCTGCAAACTCCCATTTTAAGCAGGGTTGCAGGGTTTAGTTGATTGATTGGCCAGATTTATTAATTTTGAGTAAACCTCTTATGTTATTTTTAATTTACGTACCTATATAATCCCCAATGGTGGGTGCCATCTAAGGAGAGGCATTTGTACGGGTCTTTCATACTCTGACATATTCACGCATCACCTTAATCCGAAGAGAATTCTTTCATTTTCAGAATCAACGTGCAGATTTATGCAAGTTCAATAAATTAATTAATCCATCAAAACTTATTCAATTAATTAAGATATATTTAATTGGATGGCAGCCCTCATGTCAAGGGATTTATTCAAGAGACATTCCTGATGACTTGCATTCTGTGCCTGCAATGATTTCAGTTGATCACATGTACACGCACGTGTGGACATAATGTCAATCACAGCCTACAAGAACAAGTCATTCATTTTGAATGCCTCCTGCTCCAGCGTAAAGAATCATTGCCCCACATATTCATTCCTGGCAGCTTGAGACAGAAAGAAAGAATCAAGATTCTAGTTACATAACCAGGATAAGTCAGGTCAGATCTCCAGAGCCTTCTCTCTCCTCCTCTCTTCCAAGGGAGCTGCAAGCGCTGTGATATCCCCAAACTCTGAAGATACCAGCAGGGTCTGTTTTTCTCCACCTCCTATTCCTCAAATGTCCACCTAATAAGAACAATAACAAGTGTTTGGTTTTTGTGGTTTTAGGGAACAGAAGCAATTTTACATGTGTGGCTATGAATGGGTAGGGGAAAGGCTAAAGTGAGTTGTACAAGTTGTGTATTTACTTGAGACAATTCTTGATTTTTTCAGGAAAGAGTTTCAGAATCTATTGTTCAGTGCCAATAATTTTTAACACAACAGGGAGCAACTGTTCAACCCTAGAGAGTGAGATGGCATCTTAGGCAAGGGTTAAGTTCTGGGCAGAGTGCATGCATGCAAAATCGTGTATAGGCCAGAACCTCAGACTCCCTGGGATTGCCGCCCTCCAGTCCAGCCAGGGCTCTAGAAAACTGCCTCTCTCTTCCCCCTTTGGAAGCTCTAAAAGCTCACTGCAGGGCACTGCTTCTCTCCCACCTTCCAAATACAGATCAGGAGGTCTCCACTCCACTCGGATATTCCTTGAGAGCCTTTCTCCCTGGTTCCCCACTTGAGAGGTCTGTCCCCCAGAGGCTGCAGTCAAAAACATAAAACTGCATCTGTGTTAAGCAAGATGCATGTAAGATGTGATCGCACTGTATACAAAGAACAGATGCATCCTCTGAGTACCAACTTTTTCATCGCCACAACAGCACCACTCACATACAAGTGGGAAGGATCAACATGATTGTCGAAATCCAAAGCTTTGCAGAGATGTAACAAATATTTAGGGGGAAAACTTAAGGGGGCAACCCCCCCAAAAAAACCCAACCCAATGAGGACTGAGATGGAAGAGCCTCCATGCTTGCTTTACGGTAAAAATAAAAGCAAAGAGAGATGTGGTGAGGGACCCCTCATATCAAATCCACTTTAAGCCTGAAGGAAGAATCAGTTCCCAGTCTGATACTCCACAGAGTATCTAGCAATAAATGCGATACTTTGCCATGCTAGGTTGGTGAATTATGGACTTTAAAACATTATCTATAACCTTTCCAGGATTAATGATAATCTTTATTCAGCAACATCATAGAATGATAAAGTTGGGAAGATAGTGATCTCATCTATCTGCTTTCTTCAAAACACAGAATCAATCTCTGTCCTCGCAATGCATGCAGATAGAACAGGCATAGGCAAACTCCGGCCCTCCAGATGTTTGGGACTACAATTCCTATCATCCCTAGCTAACAGGACCAGTGGTCAGGGATGATGGGAACTGTAGTCCCAAACATCTGGAGGGCCGGAGTTTGCCTATGCCTGAGATAGAGCATAGTGTGCCAGATCAGATGAAGAAGACTGGAATCTTCCATCTCAGAAAATACCTGAAAAGAAATGGTTTCTGATGATTCCAAAAAGTGAGCCAAGCCAAGCCACACTTTGCAAGCAAATGCAACATTTTAGGAGGAGACATAGAACCACAAATCTGCCATCTTAGACCACCCAGTTATGGGTGTCCAAGCACCCATAACTGTCACTGAATTTGCTTGGAGATAGAATCACTTGTTTTCCTTGCAGAACACCTGCATTTTAAATTTAGGCTTATTTTCTAAATGTTGCACTCCTTGCAAAATGAACCAACAGCAAATACATTGTGCCCAAGAAATACACCCAATGTTGGTCCCTTGTTGGTGATGAAAACATCCCCGAGTGGGAAAATGTTGTGATCTGTCATTAATTTCTCAGCACAGTCCCTTGACTGATCTAACTGGATTCTTGCTTTCTTCCTTCTCGTGCATTTAACATGAGCCCCACTCCCCTGCCCTCAGTTTGTTCTTGGCTTCTATTTTCATCTAGCTATTCCTTTTGTTTCCTTAATTTATTTTTATCCACATGCTGTTAAAGAATTTTCTCTTTTACATCTGCTTTGATGTCAGCTTTTTATATTTCCTATTAAATTGTTCTTTGTTATTTAATCATTTCCAGACTTGTTTAGCCACTTTTCTTCACCACAATATGCTGCTCTACAGCATATGTAAAAATGGCCACGATCCAGCTTGCTGTGTGAGGGACAGGATATGGAGGCCATATATGTGAAGCAGCCATATTCTGCAAGCTACTAGAAAAGAGATGTGTGGCGATGAGTGAGGCTTGTCTGTTCCTCCTCTTTTCTGTCACTTTTAGTTCCTGCTCAGCACTGTCAATCACAAGCTCAGCCAAAGCCCTCTGCTTCTTTCCATGTGGCACAGAAGAACACAGTGCCCATTCTTCGAATAGACTCTTGCTCTTGGAATAAGTGTCCTGAGATGGGTACCTAGATCAGTAGATGACCCCATGTAGCAAATGTAATGCTCATGGTGCAAGACACAATTTAATTTCAACAGCAGGACACTGCTGAATGAACTGGTGTAGATGATCCATGAGTCTTCTCCCAGGGTGAGGGGTGTGGGGTTTTTTTGTGGGAGCAGGAGATGGAGACAAAGCTGTTTGTCCTACATAGAAAGCTAAAGGGAATTACATTTCTATCCTGTTGGAGACTGTGCAAGTGAATGAGCCTTTAATGTCTGGGCAGATGTTGGGTCATTTATCAGCATTGCTGAAGTATAGATGGGGGCAGAGCTGGCAAATTAATTTGTTGCAGGGTCTGATTCTTCTGTTTCCACTCTCTCTCATAGGTTTGTTTGTTTGCTGTTGTCATTGCTAGTATTTACCTGTTTTATCTACAGGTCAGCGTGTAAATAAGTCCATGCCTCATGCCCGAAACTTGTAAGGAATGACATATCATTGTCCAGGATAGGCTGTAGATCCTTGATGATATGTTGGAGTGGAGTTGAAGGAGACAGCCAGTAGTGTGGTCCCCCCCCCTTTGTTTTATGTTTCTGTCCCATGGTTCCAGCCTGACCTTATTGAGCTGTTTTGTCACTTTATTGGGTGAGTACTATAGTTTAATAAAGACACGGGTGGCGCTGTGGTCTAAACCACAGAGCCTCTTGGGCTTGCTGATCAGAAGGTCGGCAGTTTGAATCCCCGCGACGGGGTGAGCTCCTGTTGCTCGGTCCCTGCTCCTGCCAACCTAGCAGTTCAAAAGCACGTCAGAGTGCAAGTGGATAAATAGGAACCGCTCCGGCAGGTAGGTAAATGGCATTTCTGTGTGCTGCTCTGGTTTTGCCAGAAGCAGCCTGTCTGTGGACAAACGCTGGCTCCCTTGGCCTACAGAACGAGATGAGCACCGCAACCCCAGAGTCGCCCGCGACTGGACCTAAAGGTCAGGGGTACCTTTACCTTTACCTATAGTTTAATAAAAGCCCAATGTCAGTCTTCAGTCCAATGAGCTGGAACAAATGTATTGTATTGGGGAGCTTTCACAGGCAACACTGTTATAGGATCGTGCTTAATCCAGTAAGTGCTGGCTGGTGTTGTAACTAGGCAGTGTTTTCCTCAGGAATTGAAACTGGGAGTAGAGGAGATGTTGGCTTTTCAAGGCAGTGAGACCCTCCACCCTTACTGGCCATGGACTCAGGGTATGGGGCACCATAGTAAGAAATGTTTCACAGTCATGGCCGTTTTGCTAGATTTCACATACTTCTGTCTTCTTCCCATTGATGGCTACATCTTGGCTCAGATTCCTGTTTCAGTTCTCTGGGAGTGAAGAACATTCTCCTGCATGTACCCCCCATTTGCAGGATTACATCTGGGAACTATTTATAAATATCTATGTTCCTAGTGCTTTCTTGAAGATGAACATATTGCTTCCTCACAGTTCCTCAGACGTTGCTTTGGGACATGATCATCACCTGCTATCACTTCGACGCTGGCAAAATTACATTATATTAAGGTGTCAAATTCAATTTTGGTTCAACATTTTCAAGAAAAACCTAAATGTCACTGTTTTCAGCTATAAAAGACTGCATCTAACTAGTTAAACTTGGGTAGGGGGAAGCTGAGCAGAAAATTTTGGGGGAGGGGAGGGGGAAGCAAACTTGTTACTGAGATAGTATCTTTAGCAGGACAATGTGACAAGGGTAACATATAGACTAGGGCTGAGTCCTGGGGATTACCGTATTTTTCGCTCCATAAGGTGCATCTGACCATAAGGCGCACCTAGTTTTTAGAGGGGGGATTCAAGAAAAAAAAATTATTTAAAGGGAGCTCTGAGCAGAGCCTGTATGCATCCCAGGCTCTGCTCAGCGCTCCCTTTCACAAGCCACGTGGAGTGTGTGTGTGGCTCTTGAGGGGTTTTCCCCGAGGAGGGAGAAGGGCAGCCCATCAGTGATGGGCTATCCTTCTCCCTCCTCGGGGAAAATCCCCCAAGAGCCACACACACACACTGCATGGCTCTTTAAAGGGAGCGCGGCTCTTGGGGGCTTTTGTGGGAGGTGGGGGAAGTGAGAGAGTTTCGCTCTGTCACTTCCCCCTCCTCCCGCAAGAGCCACGCGCTCGGCTATCCCTGGCTTTTGCGGGAGGTGGGGGAAGGGGCAGAGCCGCGTGAAGCCTCTGCAGGGCAGCGGGATGAAGGCTCCCCGCTGCCCTGCGGAGGCTTTGCACCACTAAGGCAAAAGCGAAAACAGCCAGAGGGAGTGCTGTGCAGCGCTCTCTCTAGCTGTTCTGGCTTCTAGGGTAGCTCGCGAAGCCTCCGCAGGGCAGCGGGGAGCCTTCATCCCACTGCCCTGCGGAGGCTTCGCGGGCTACCCCAGAGCTGCTCAGGAGCTTGTCGGGGCTGGCGGGGGAAGCCTGGGTTCCCCACCTCCCGCAAAAGCCCGCAGGTGCCGCACACCCTTTAAGAAGCGCGCGGCTCCTGCGGGCTTTTCTACGAGGAGGGAGAAGGGACTGACACGGCCAGTCAGTCCCTTCTCCCTCCTGGGGAAAAGCCCGCAAGAGTCGCGCGGAGCTTCTGTGCGGCTCTTGGGGGCTTTTCCCACCTGCCTCCCGCCTGCATTAGCTCCATAAGATGCACACACATTTCCCCTTACTTTTTAGGAGGGGAAAAGTGCATCTTATGGAGTGAAAAATACGGTACTTCATATGCGGAGTAATTTCACACACATTCATGTTTTCTGCCTGTATTGCCAGAGTGAAGCGGGAAGCTGCCACACAGAGGTAGCTCTCACACCACCTATATATGAATTGGCCTTATATGAAGAGACTTTCATTATGAGCAATGGGAAGCTCTATGGCTGTTCCCCATTTACCTAGCACAGAGTGTTAAATTGGCTGTTGGTACCATGGAAGATCAGGCCAACTTAAACAGGTTTGGGCTGCTGATCTTCACTGTGATACTGCTATAAGCACTGCCATCATATTTTATTTACAAAGCTCCTTAGATGACTAAGTACCACACTATAAAAAAATTAAAATATAAATCCACGCCCACAGGCTCACAGTCTAAAACCGACTGATAAAATAGGTAAAGTAAGGGAGTGACTGCGGAAAAGAGGCAAGAGAAAGAAGGTGTCTTCTGTAAACATACATCACACATCGAAAGGAAACAAAGTCTCATTGTGGTACCTACTGAATTGTTCCATCTGTCTTGCCTCTTAGTAAGTGGCCACTATATAAACCAAACTCTGAACACTTCTTTGTTCCCTTAAAAAACAGCATCAGCCTTGAATCCAAGAGTCCCACGTTAGCATGTGTTCCTTCCCCAGTATGGAGGCTGCTCTTTCCCCCTTATTTTTACAGCTGCTCAAATTATTACATCCTATAGGTAGGAGGAGTGAAAAGGAAATGGCAGTAAATCTCATTTAGTGTGTGGACACTTGAAAGCTTCGGCTGTATGTTCAAAACCTGACCTTGCCCCGGCTTGCAAAGAAACCCCGAACAGAACAGTAGCACTAGAACTATGCCTTTAATTGTTTTGTCTCTTCTAAAAGTAACAGATTCAGCAGTGCAATAAGGTGATTTCTTTCTTTCTTACGGGTTTGCTGAACCCCACGGAACAGTAGGCTGCTGCCCAAGCTCTGCATCGTGAGTTTGATGCCTCTCAGCTGTGGAGCTGCCACCAGGAATCTTGCACTCTTCCTTTTCAAGCCTCTTTCTTGCTTCTCTCCTTCCTTCCTGTTTCTAGTCTGTCCTTTCAAAAAGCATCTGTCAGTTTCTATTTTGGGGAATGGCACAGCTTGTGTTTGCTCTGGGGGTCTCCAGTGAATTGCTGCATAGTGTAACTAAATCAGTTAAGTGTCTCTAAAGAGGTTAGGATAGAACTGCCAGTTTTCCGTACGTCGCAGTCCCAGCTTTCTCGCTATATTGAGGAGAAAACTGTAACAGGCCTCCAGCTGTTCAGGCATGCCCCAAACATTCTCCCAGTAATTATGATCTCGAAAACAGACACTCAGAATGGTGCACTCTTAGGCAAAAGTGGACGTGAAGCCTTTTACTTTTCCTTTTTCCACAAAGTTGACATTTGTTTTGTTCCGTTTTCCTGCTTTCCTCCCTGTGTTAGCAAAGTGGAGCAAAATTGCTGTGGCCAAGGTGGATCGCTCCTTGGGGCCAATTCAGAGTACCTCTTTCCTGAATTGTCTTTCGGCTCTGTCTTCCTGAATTGCATGGATACATAGTACATCGGCCAGATGCACACATTCAACATAGGAAGCTGCCTTAAACTGAGTCAGGCCAATGGACCATTTTGCTCAGCATTGTCTACTCTATCTGGCAGCAGTGGCTGTCCAGGGTTTCTGGCAGGGGAACTTCCCAGCCTTACCTGGTGATTCCAGGGATCGCACCTGGGCCTTCCAAGCCCTATGCTTGACTCTTGTATGCTCAGCACTGAAACCACATGGGGAGCCAGGTATCTGTACTGTCTGCACCATCTAGTCATGGAAATATGAAAACCTTTGCCATGCTTCTTCTTGGTTAACATCTTACCATGTGATGGCCAAAAGAAGTGTCATGCTACTACCACAGTGACTCAGAAATCCAGGAAAGTAGAGGGCAATGGCAATCCTCATTGAGCAGCTACAACAGGGAAACCTTTTTCAGTTCAAGGGTCTGAAAGGGTACGCCGGGGCTGCAGGCAAGTGGTGGGCAAGGCAAGAGGCAAAAATTGGCACAGCAATGGATACAACTCTTACCTTTGTACAGTAGGCATGCAAGTCGGACGTTTCTACAGACATTGAGCCCACACAATTAGATGTCGCCCAGGTACTATAATTTAAACATGAAGCTTTAATATATGAGACATACAGCTTCTGATAGGCCAAATGGCATGGCTTCATACTGATAATGCCACCCCTGTTGTGTGAACCAAGGGTACTGCATTTGAAGGCCTGGGCAAACTCTCTGTGGCATCTGGTTCTTGCCTGGGCCCCTTGTGAGGCACTACTTCTCTCCCTGCTACACTCTGTCCTCTGCAGGTCATGTGAGTCACCCCAGCCATCGAGAAGAAGTGCTAGTGAGCAACTTCTAGCTGCTGGTGGGCACCTTCAGGGTCCCTGGACACTCTTCCTAGGGTTATCTTTAAACTGGACTGGGACTGGACACCATTTGAAATAGAGGGCTGCCCTCTGCAAAGTGAGGCATGCGGCTGCCCTTTTCCTCCCTAGATAACCACAACTGTCTCCCATATTCTGTTGACTTAAATATCTGAGTTTTGATCTGACATAGGACTAGATTTTTCTTTCTTCTCATCTATTTGGAGTGGCCTAAATGAGCCTTGGGGAACAAGAATTACATTTTGGCTAGTGGAATAAAAACGGGATATACGGTATTGCCACAAGAAAACAAACATACTGATAAAATTATGTGATTACATATATGCTGAACCTTTTCTGATCAGTCTTCATGGGCATTTAAAGAGGAAGAGGAAGCAGTGAAGTCATTTTAAAAATTTAGCGGAGTCTTTCAGAATTAGTTAGCTCCCTGCTGAAGAGACTCTCACAATTTTCACATGCTCCTCTGGGCAAGCTCCAGAGGACCTGCACTCGGTTTGTGTGGAATAAGGCCACTCAGGAAGAAATTCAATTACTGAGCTAATTATCACCCTGGCTGAGTGGTAAGAACAAAATTTAAAATAAGAAGCCACTGGAGAAAAGCTCCCATTGCCCAGTAGTCTCAAAAGTTCATTTTTAAAAGAGATCCTAGCTGACAGCTGAAAGCCCAAGGGTGAATGTGCAGCTGAGTCTGGGATACAGGATATTAGAATTTTAATACTGTACAGATTCTTGGAGCTTTTATCAAGTTGCAGCAATTCAGCTGCCATAATTGTGTGGAGATTTTAAAGTCCAAAATAGACTTTGCGGATGTCCCTTGGCTAAATTACTTCTGATTTCCACAACTTTAGGAGTGAAATAGTTTCTCTGTACTTTGGTTTTGCAACAGCTGTGTCATTTTAAACAGTTTTGAGAAGGCTGGGCTTGTGGTGCTTAGTTAAAGAGGCAGATAAGAGCAACGTTCTAGGGTTATCTCATGTGTTATTCTAAAACTTTACAAAGCAGTTGTGTGAAACTCTTTGGGCCAACACAGATGAATCTGTCAGGAGGAAAAACATGCTGTTTCTAATGGGTTTATGGTGGTATCCCTTTTGTTTCAGGAAAGCTACCCTATATATTGGATTTCCAATGATGTAGGAAGCAAGACTCTCAAATCTTTATAGACAGAAACTTCTGATTGGCCATACCAACATTTTAACCATCTCTCTCTCTATATAAGTGTAAAAGTTTATGAAGTGGTACAGCTCTCTAGATAATCCAGTACTGTTTATTTGGCAGCACATTCAAAATGCCCATGTCTTTTCCCTTCATGAATTGATGTGTCTTTATACGGAGGGTGTTTTAAAATATGATTTGTTTGGAGCAGATAGATATTTATTGTTTGAATGTGGAAAGCTGGGAATACATTTGAAGATGCAGGTGTCAACAGCATAATTGTGGTCAGTATGAGATCTAGTGTTTTAGATGGTTCATTGCATGAAATGGCTCACTTTCTGGAATTGCCATCTGAAAGAACAAGGAATTCAGTCAGCACAGAAAGCCAGCACTGTTGGTTGATGTTAAAATAATTTGGGTTGTGTGCAAATGAAACACTGCACAATAATATTTTGTGTGGCCAAATGAAGCCAGATCAGAATCAAACTATCTCACTTGTACAGAATAGAAATAGAAGACAGGGATAATCTGTAGGTCTCTGTTTATTTCCAGCACAAAACGAGTGGACCATTCCAACACAAGACTGGCACTTCAGATTGAAAAGGGCGCAGGTAGGGGACAGAATTTATTTTGCTCAAATTTATAATGACTGATTGTTCAAAATACTGGATGTAATTGGGTTGGATCCAGGGAGACAACAGTAAATGAAATTCTGGCAGCGGTGCAAACTGTTGTGGAAGAGCTGTCAGAAGACTTTGCACAACATGGACTGGGCACAAGCATCTTGACATAATTGTGCAAAACCTTGTGCACTAAGGGAAACATTCAGTCCTGTTTTGTTACATTAGAAACTTGTTCTAAGTTGGAAAAGGCCTTTCTTCCTCTAAAGGAGACTGTCCACTTGCAGAAGGGAACCTCTGGATCCAACCCATTCTGTTTGTAGTTCAAAGCATAATGATATTCTAATGGAAAGGGTTATTACAGATTTTGAAATATTTGTGCTTTAAATAAGATTTTTGATGAATTTGTTTTCATTAGATTGATTGATTGATTGATTGATTGATTTGTTAGTTATTATTTTTTAAAAGGGTTATTAAGCTGCAAATAAGCCTATTCGAAGAAAACATTTTGGATGAGTATGTATAGTATCACAGCCATCTATCAATTTTGCTGGTGCAGGGAAATCCTATACTGATGTTATCTCTGTGCATCACCCCCTCACACCAAAGTCCAGCTTGTGCCTAATCTTGATGCCTAAGAGTACATCCTTATGAAGCTACAGGTGCTCAGTGAAGTGTAGTAACTCTAGAGCAGGGTTTCCCATACCTGGGTCTTCAGCTGTTATTGGACTACAACTCCCATCATCCCTAGCTAGCAGGACCAGCGGTCAGAGATGATGGGAATTGTAGTCCAAAAACAGCTGGAGACCCAAGTATGGGAAATCCTGCTTTACAGCAACCAGCAGCTAGATAGGAACATTTCAAGCTATGGCTTGAACAGGGGGGCAAATGCAAAAATGGTAAGTCTCCAAGAAGAGGTGGTTTTGATGGATGAAACTTGCTGAACCCAGTGAAGAAGCTGTAACAACCCCCTCATCTGCATGGCTATTAAAGACACAGGAGCCTTGTTGTCTTATGCTTCAGGTTATTATGGGCTGAATGAGAATCTGGCACAGATGATCCCTTCATCACTGCTGTTCCATCCCACCCCCCAGGAGTCTAATTTGAAGTGTGCCAATACAAAGGGAGGTGTTTTAAGAATCAGCACAGTTTCTGTGTGCCTCCTGCAGATTTTGTGTGTGATTCCTGTAGTCAGTTGTGGCTTTAGAATCCTTTCCTTTCCTTTCCTTTCCTTTCCTGTGGCTAAGTCAGCCCAGCAGCCCTATAATCAGCCTTCAGTGGGGATGTGCTGTGAGGATGTGCTGGAAAAGTCAGCTAATCCAGATACTTAACATTGCCCTGCACTCTTAATTCATGTTTGATCTTCATCAGCATATTCAAAAGGGAACTTTGCTGAAAGTTTTTGACATCTACATTTCCAAGGACTTCAAGGACCTTGGGTAGCCTTTAAATAGAATATTTCGGTGGGCACTGATGCATGGGAGAAAATGGAAGCCCTGCCTGAGCCAAGCCATGTTAATTAGGCAAGAGAATTCAAGCTCACTGGCACTGTCAGTTAGACTGTGTGACACTGTTTTGGCACACATGGAAGATTTTGCTTCATTTCATTAATCATATTTAGTTTCTTGTTTTAATTTGCGTTTTAGCACTCTGCATTCCGCGAGTGCTTAGGTTTGCGAATTAGACTTCGCAATTCTCAAAGGACTGAACAGTCCAAAGTGTGGAGAAGCAGATGAGGAGTTGGACTTGGACCAGGGAAACCTAGGTTCAAAAATTCCTGCTTGGCCAAGAAACAAACTGGGTTGTTACAAGAATAACATGTCATAACTTGGGGGTCATATGCAAATAATTAAACCAACAATGCATTATTTGCCACCTGTTTCATCTACCTCCCTACTCGGGATGAGCCACATGCCTGTTGCTTTCATACCCCAAAGTCGCTTCTGCATTAACTCCCCAGTCCAACCAGTCATGGTCAAAACAGGCCTACACGATCCCTTTAAGGTGCTTCCTTCTGTCTGAGGGACATATGCCGAGGAATAGAAAAATATTGGCAAACTTAGTGTGGCGTGTGAACACAGGTGTGGGCATCAGACCACATTTCATAGTTGGTGTTGGGTATGGTGCAATCAATTTCATCCATTTGGAAAAAAACACACCCCAAAATGGAAGTAGCTTCATTAGGACACACCAAAAATCACATAGTAGTCAACTAGCATTTGGGTTTCACGAAATGCTTCCTCAGCCTTGTCTACAATTTACTGCAGATGAGGTTTCAACAGTGCGTTCTAATAGTGACAACTTTTTCTTCTCTCCTTCTGGCTCCTGTATCCCCCCACCTATTTTTAATGTTGAGCCTGAGAAAGATTTCTGTGATATTCATAATCTAGCTCACTGTTGTGCGATTTCTGGTTGGTCTCAATAAAATTGCACAATACTGTTCCCATTTGAATTCAAGGTCTGTAATGTGACTTAGGGTTTTCTTCCAACTTATTAAGGCAGTGGTGCCTCTGGTTGGTTATCTGTGACTAACAAAACTGAAATAGTAGAATCTGAAAGCCAGAATATCTATTGCTTTATTCATTGGCTTTTAACTGAAGCATTTATAGTCTGGTGGGTGCATGAAGTGCATTACATTTACTTATTAACTTTATTTTTCACAAGGTTACATCAGGGTCAAGCATTCTCAGCTAATGTTACTTAAAGCAGGCAATTCATGAGAGAATCTGGAAGCTACAGTTGTTATAATGAATTATAATGGCTGAGGTTCAAGACGCCAATGTGTCCATTGGCTTTGTTGTAGATCACTCTGCACAACACACTCTAGCAAGGGGATAATTAAATAAATGTGGAGAGTCAGTACATAAGTAAGACTGGGAGTCTTATTCCCCATTTTGTAAGATAGTGCTCCTCATACAGACTGTAAAGCACAATTATGAATGGGGCGCTTTCTACTCCAGTGAAGCTGCCTTTTTCTCATCAGAGTCACAACATTCAAAACTGAGCAACTGGGCTAAAATTATGGAGGGGAAGGCTCCGCATATTTACTTATTCTCTGCTCTTCCTTGAAAGAGTCCAGAGTGCCTTACAGGTACATGTGGTTCGCAGGCAGCTTATGGGACAGACCTGCAAACAGAGCAGTATCCTGTGCCTTCAGACCATTTATTTATTTTATTTATATCCCACTTCTTTTTCTCCAAGGAGCTCCAGGTGGTGTACATGGTTTTTGCCTCTCCAGTTTATCCTCACAACAACCCTGTGAGGTAGGTTACACTGAGAGGCAGGGACTGGCCAAATGTCACCCAGCGAGCCACTTGGTTGAGTGGGCATTTGAACCCTGGTCTCCCAGGTCCTATTATTCTGGAACCTAAGAAATATCTGGTGGTAGAAGTACATGTATGGTGACAATGATGGAGCTTTATTAAAGTTTTACCATATACAAACTGCCAATGCATTTCGGCGTTATTTCACTCTAATAATACAAACTTAAACATAAACAATAAAAATGAGACATTAAAAGCAATTAAACATACATTCATAGACACAGTATACTACATATGCAATAAGAAATATTGTGTATATCACCTCTATAAAACCCTGTCACACAGGAAGAGGTTTCATATCTAAATATCAGGCAATTAAGCTCCTTTTTTCTGTTTCATGGCACTCAAACCTCTGTACAATGAATATAAATCATTACATATTGCAATTTTAGACGTTATTATGATCTATAATTTTGTGGCTTGTATAACAACCGTGCATCCAAGCATTTCAAGAGAGGGCAGCCGTGATCACAATCGCTTGCATATTCAGTAAAACTAAATCAAATGTCTGCAAGTGTATCTCTCATGCCCTGACTTCTCATTATTTTCATCCCCCCGCAAGAGTCTTTGCCAAAGTTTCTGACACTGTTGTTGTTATTATAATTATTCAAATTTCTATCTGGCCCTTCCTTCTAAAGGAGCTTAGGACAGCAAACAACCAAGCAATAAAACAATACAAAATGAAATAAAAGTATATTTGAAACATTTTTTAAAAAATACAACCCAAAACAAACTTTAAAAGGTGTTCAGTAATACATGTGGTAAAGTGGGCCAACATTTAATGATGCCGTGTGCTTCCAATATGATGATCATCATCTCCAAGGATGAGCTTCTAGTTGAGTAAGGAGTCAGAAAAACAGGACGCCTTTCTGAGTCTTCTGCTGGGTGATTTGTTCCTCATCCCTTTACATTCTTTTGTGTTGTTGTGATTTTAGGAAATGACGATAACAACCTCAACTCCATCTTTTATGAGCACCTGACAAGATCTCTGCAGGAGTCTCTTTGTGGAGATTTGATACTTGGGCGCTGGGGAAACTACAGCTCTGGGGACTGTTTTATTTTGACATCAGATTACTTGAATGCCTTTGTTCACTTGATTGAAATCGGAAATGGTCTTGTCACTTTCCAACTCAGGGGGCTAGAATTTCGAGGTAAGCACCTATGTAGCTCAAAGAATAAAGAGCTAGAAAGAGGAGAAAATTCATTTGCTATGTGCCCTTCTCATTAGTAAGCCGTGTGTGCATTGCAAATCTGAGTAGTGGTGTAAAATTCTCTATCTGGGTTGTTGCTACATCATCCAAAATTATTTGGGCAATGTTTCTGGGAAGAAAAGATGATGCCCCCCCCAAACCATTGGTTTAGTACCACCTGGTTTCTGTTCTAGCCATGCCCACTGCCAACATGTGACACACACACCCAGGCAACAGATTGACCCCATTTTGTCTCCAGCCCTTCATTGCTTTCTTTATAAGTTTACCTGCTGCGGTACTCATGACAAGAGATCTTAGCAAGATGTTCCCAGTTCTCTGCTTGTTGGAAGAGTAATTTGTGGTATAGCAGTCAATCTTAATTGGTTAGAAAGAAAACAGTGCGAAGCTTAATGCTTTTTTTGGTTCATGGAGGTCTGGGAAATTATATTTTGGTCTTGATGCACATGATACCTGCTGCTTTAGCCCCCAAAGCATAATTTGGAATTTAAATCAAAAAGCCAAACAGCAGACTTTTGCTTGCTAGCCTAAGTGCAGTAATGCATTGCTATCATAGAAGAATTAGAAACAGAATGTGAAACTATTTATTAGTAAGTTGAATAAAAGAATGTGGATTTCCCCCCCTCCCCCAAGTGCACAATAGACCAGTTTTAGTTAGTTAATTAGTTTTTTTTGTTTTTGTTTTAAAGGCCATAGGGTTGTATCCAATGCCACCTGTGCATCAGTGGAACAGACCTCCACTTGCGCACTGCGGATATGGGGACTCTCCAGAGACTATTTTAATAGTGCAGAGGGATGATTCAGGGAAGAGGAGTTACTGCTGGAGTTCCATTGTGTGGAACTCCACACAACTCATGCAAAATAGGATTCCACTCCTGTTTGGCCCACTGGTACATAAGACTTCAGCAAAGCTCATGTTCCAGGCAGGCATTTCCGGGCCCTAGGGGAGCGAGCATCAGCCCCAGCAGACCAGAAGCAGGTACATGGCTGGGGACAAGGTCTTAAGTTCCTTCTCCCTTTTCCAAACTTATTCATAGGCTCTTCAACCCTGTCTAGCACACCTGCCTCCAGAGATGTGCCGAGGGGTCGCATTCAGCCCCTCAGCCTGAGGTTCCTGTTCTAAACATTGTGCTGTACTGACTTTCATATGTGGCCAAAACGGCTGCAGTACCCCATGGCTTGCTGCTAATTGAATTCCATTGATTACTTAGATAGAGGGAAGTCTACAGTTAGCATGTTATTTATAACAAATCTTGACTTTTATAGGCAAAGCACTCTTACTTTTTTTGGGGGGGGGTCCTGTTGCTGGGTATAACAGGTCTGTAAAAGCACAAAGAGCACTCTTGGTTTATCATTTAGATATTCCCTCTGAAAGCAAAGACTCTGGCATGCACTTCTAAATCCCTATCATTCTACATTTAAGGTAAAGCATTTAGATATAATTAGGCTCCATATAATTTATGCCAGGCTGCCTAAAGCATAGAATTCAGCATATTTTACTTTATAAGGTGAAATCAACAGTCTGTACCTCACTGCTCTCTCTTGAGCACAGATTAATTGGCACATTTTATTCCAAGCTGGAGCTCTCCCCTCCACCCCCTCCCCTTCCCACTTGCCATTTATTAAGTATTTGAAGGAGCACCAAGTATTAGCCACAAACAGCTTCATTCGCATTGATCTCACCAGTAACTGCCATTGTGTCCTTCTGCTTTTCAATTATTACTACACTCCAAGGGACATATTGCCAACAAAGGGAGGTGGAGGCTATAACAGAAGGAGATGAGGACAATGAAGGCTGCTGCTGCTGCAAACCTGGACGCCTGCCTCACTTGCTGTCGTGCAACGCAGCTTTTAACCTTCGGTGGCTGACCTGGGAAATAACACGGACTCAGTATATCCTGGAAGGCTATAGCATTATTGACAACAACGCTGCCACAATGCTCCAAGTGTTTGATCTGCGAAGAATACTCATCAGATATTACATCAAGGTAAAAGCAGTGTCTGTCAGTACCTCTGGGAAGAATGGCCTGTAATCTGGCAGCCCAAACCCTTGTGTGAACCAGAAGCAAATAAGTTTTGGGTGCATTGGCCACTGCATAACTGCGACATCATGAATCACAACACTGTGCCCACCCATGAGGCAAAGTAAGGCCATTTCCTCAGGTGGCAGAATCCACAGGGGCAGCAGGTCCCAGTGTAGAACTTTATCCACCCCACCCCCCCTTGTTCTTGACATAGATCTTCATGGGGAGATGGCGTAGGAGGGGAGTGCCATTTTGTGGTTTGCCTCAGGTGGCAAAATGTCTTGGGCCGGCCCTGACTGTGCTACAACCTGTATGACCAAAAAACAAATCAACACAACAACCTCAGAATATAAAACACGTAAGTACAACCCTGCTGGATCAGACCGAAGGCCCATCCAGTCCAGAATTCTGTTCTCACAGGGGCCAACCAGATGTCTGGGGGAAGTCCACAAGCCGTCCTGAAGGCAAAAGCACTCTCCCCGCATGTGATTCCAGCAAACCAGTATCCACAGATGCACTGCCTCTGATGTGGAGGCAGAACATAGCCATTGATAGCTCCATGAACTGGTCTAATCAACAGACCCATCCCCTCGCTCCCCTACAGGTGCAACACTGTGATGAGAACAAAACATGGGTATTTTTTTCAAAACTGCAAAGGGCTTTCACTATAACAGCACCCACACAGTGATGACCAGGCATTGTCACTGACCTGCCTTGCCAACACTTGCATCAAGGTCAAATGTCGGGCAATGGGCAGCAAACACAGCAAATGCCAGGCTATCACATTAAGCTATTGATGAACGGGATGCTGACAGGCATCTACAACAGCCATTTTCAATAGGATCAGGCAACTAGTCACAGATTTAGCAAAAGTAATAATTGCAGATTAAGTCATCCCATTTTAGCTTTCAGTCATCATCTTTAAGAAAAGTGCTTGTGTTCCTTTCCTCTTAACCATGGAGAGAGTGGATAGAATTTATTGACTACTTTGATCAGTTGGTGATATTGACTAACAAAGATGGACATCCAGCTGTGTTGGAGATGCGTTTCTTTATTTCATAAAATAAATCCTTGAGATAAATCACCCTTGTTGCAATGACTGCCAGAGAATGCATTGCTTCTTTCTATGTGCCTGATGAATATTGAATTTAGTAAATGGGAGGCTGAGACTAAAATGAGGGATGTTTACAGTAATATCCTATGCGCACTGGGGCATTGGCCAACGTGGGGAACAGGATGCTGGACTAGGTATTTGATCTGATCCAGCAGAGCAGTTCTTACGATCTTAAGGACGGAGGTCTGAGAATAGCAGATACGAGACACTAAATGTAAGTAATAGCATGCGGTCTGAATATAATATGCACGATTCACTCAATAACTGACATTAGGCAACTGCCATCACTGTACCCTTTTAAGATGCTTACTGAAAACTTTTCCTTTTCAGCTGGCCTATTCAAACACATGATCTGTTTTTAAATGTGTTTTTAAAAGTTTTGTGGTGTTTAATTGTTTTTAGATATTTGAACAGTTTTAAAATGTTTTCAATTTTATTTTATTTTAATTGCATTTTTATTACAGATGTGTTTATTGGGTTCCTTTGGGAGGAAGGGTGGGATATAAATTAAATAAATAAATGACGAATGGGAAGTAGCCATTTCTGTACCACCACTCCTCCCCAAATCATATTAAATGCCTTTACACGTGCATTCCTGAGTAATACTCCAATTTTTACATGCAAGGCACTGGTGCATACAAACCCAAGACCAGGTCCTGTGCTCTACCTTATGTAAGAATTTTTCTTGGCCATCAACCTCTGAACCAGCCCTAAATTAGACTCTTACCTCAGTTATTTTTCAAAAATGAGCCCATAAAGAAACCAAACATTCAGATCAACACCTGTAGATGCACAGATTAGCTATTTTAGCTTTAACCTAATCCAGAGATCAACAAAGATTATAACATGTCTCATTCTGGTCTTAATAAGCCACACAGAGTACTTTTTGTTATGGGGGCGGGGGAATACAAATGTTTTTAATAAATAACACTGATGCTGGCTGAGCTTTGCAAGGTGTTGTCTCAGGAAAGGACCAGAGTCACCCCAAGGCTGCCAAGGCGTTATCTTCCAGTGGCTCTAGCCTATTGAGAGAGCTGTCTCAAACTGTTAAAGGGCCCATAGCTTACGCTCCAGTGCAGTAATCATCCTCAGACTATGAGGATGCAGGGAGAACCAGGTCTTCAGGCTGGGATGCTGCAGAAGGGTCTGCTGAGGGCTCCCACCCTCCCTCCAAGGTGGGATGACTTGTGCATCATCTGAATCTGAGCCCTCCGCAGGATGACACTGGGAACATGACAGATACTGGAGTTCAAGATTAGACATCTACAATCTAAGACAAGTGGAAAGTTTTCACTATTCTGCTTTAATCATTCTGAAGTGTAGGAACATGTTTATGCACAAGCTGTATTTAAAATTAATCAAGGAGGCTGGAATACATTGAAGCAAAAGAGAAGGAGAATTAGAGGTTAAAGACCTAATACTAGAAATCAGGAATTTCTTTTGAGGAAAGCATGCTGCTATGTAAACATGCTGGAATAGCAGAATTAGCATCTAGCTTCAAAATATTTAATTTTACATTATCATATGCTTGAAGATTTCACATTTATCTTTTAAACAATGCTAACAGTTGGCTTTTTGAATTGATTCTCTCTCTTTTTGTCCAACTTGCCATTCAATTGACAGCCGGGGGGAGGTGGAGGAGACGATTTCTCCACATAAAAAGAATTTTTGCTCTCCTCTAATAAAGTGGGTCAGTTCCTATAGCCTTTCTGCATATATTTGAAATAATTTCCTGCCTGGTTACTGCTGGTTATTTATTCCCCCAGTGCCTACACATTCGCCTTTCAATTTATTCCTTAAAAAAATATCTTTAAAGAATAAGTCTGCTGCTGTCTTTGTGTGTGTGTGTGTGTGTTTGGAGTTCCATTTTTATGGCTCTTCTTAAAAGGCTCTGTGCTTATCAGGCTCTGCACAAAAAAACCTGTCCTTGGTTTGTATCCATCACTCTGTCTTGTTTCTGTGCACTAAGTAGGGCCTATTTTCCACATTTACTTGCTAATTTGAATATGCAACTGAGAGTGTGGCACCCATGAATTTTAAATAGGTAGAGTAATTGTGCTTGTTCTATTGTGGCCTCTTTACCTCCTAATTTTACTGTTGCTCTTTCCATTCATTTATTGTGCACACTTGAAATACAATCTCATCATCCCCATTGTTTGCGATCCATCAAAGTCCCAGGGGCATGTAAGACTCAAGGGGTCGCATAACTGCAATAAGATATTAGAGACTATCACTTTGTTCTCCTTAGATGGCTTGCCTCTCACCTTTGTAGTATTTAAATAACTTCTGGCTTCTCGTGTTATTAAAACAAGCAACATCATCTTCGTTCCTTTTTTTTTTTCTTTACAGAGCATTATATACTTTACTGCAAGCTCCCCCAAAATCCTACACTGGCTAAGAGATGAGTCGTTCCAAAAAACGCTGCAGCCTTTCTCGAAGTGGCATTACATAGAGCGGGACCTTGCAATGTTCAATATTAACATTGACGATGACTATATCCCTTGCCTTCAAGGAATCACCAGGGCAAGTTTCTGCAGTGTTTACTTGGACTGGATTCAGTTCTGTGCTGCAAAAAGAATGGAGGTACATGTCGGTCTAACGCTACTGATTTAATGGGGGGTGGGACGGGTTCTCTCCTTTACTTGAATTCTTGTTAGGAACAGATGTTCCAAATCAAAACAAGGAAGTTTATTGGAGTGCAAGCCATCAGCAATACGTTGTGGTAAACATGGTACTCGTTTTCCAGTGAGATAGGAGGCTCATGGGCTGACTCCAAAGAGCTCCTTCACTGAATTGGTTGTAAGAACTGGGGAGCAAAATGGAGGAGAAACATGATGGTAACACTTGAGAAAGCAGAAAGTGTTGGGAATGGAGAGAGAGTATGTATCTTGTTAGCTACTGGGTATGACCTGTTGTGGAACTGATCTAGTGCACCTTACACTGATATGTTATGAAATTAAAGGACTTTAGTCACAAAGACAACAGTGATCCTTTTTCTGCATATTTGCATCAAAGCACAATGGGTTGTTGCACCGGCAATGTCCCCCCCCCTTAGGATTAACTGAAAACTTTTAACTATTTTTCAGCCACTAGAGTGTGATGAAGATTCTCCTCTGGTAACTCTTTCCTTTGCCCTGTGCATTTTGGGTAGGAGAGCACTAGGAACAGCATCGCACAATATGGCCATCAGGTAATTTTATACCAATGCCATGGAAATTATGGATGTAATAGTTTGCTGGTTTTTCATTTATCATTAAATTCTGTAGGTGTAGTGGAAGAAAGGAAAAACACAAGCGATAGGTGTAAAACCATTTGAAAAAGAAATAGTTACAGTTACAAATGGCAGCATTTGTTACTTATTTGTCCCTAATGAAATACAAAACTTAATGATTATCTTGAGAGTTAATTTCATCAATGAAACCAAAATAGATGAATTGGCAGAATTGGAAAAAGATTGTGTCCTTTTTGCTTTGGTGATTTACAGTGTAAATATTGCATGTTTACCTGAAAGGTACATCCCACAGTGCTCAGTGGAGCTTTCCCCCTAATAATAAGTGTGTATAAGAGTGTAGCACTAAAAGATTTTCCCCTGTTGTGCAGCTGAGACCATCCCTCACTTTTGTTGTTCCAAGAAGACATGGTTCGCAATATGGTGGTGGCGTTTTTAATGAAAAATAGATAACTGGTTAAGTTACTGTGTCCAGTTCTGGGCACCACAGTTCAAGAAGGACACTGACAAACTGGAATGTGTCCAGAGGAGGGCAACCAAAATGGTCAAAGGCCTGGAAACGATGCCTTATGAGGAACGGCTAAGGGAGCTGGGCATGTTTAGCCTGGAGAAGAGGAGGTTAAGGGGTGATATGATAGCCATGTTCAAATATATAAAAGGATGTCACATAGAGGAGGGAGAAAGGTTGTTTTCTGCTGCTCCAGAGAAGCGGACACGGAGCAATGGATCCAAACTACAAGAAAGAAGATTCCACCTAAACATTAGGAAGAACTTCCTGACAGTAAGAGCTGTTCGACAGTGGAATTTGCTGCCAAGGAGTGTGGTGGAGTCTCCTTCTTTGGAGGTCTTTAAGCAGAGGCTTGACAACCATATGTCAGGAGTGCTCTGATGGTGTTTCCTGCTTGGCAGGGGGTTGGACTCGATGGCCCTTGTGGTCTCTTCCAACTCTATGATTCTATGATTCTATACTTTGGACTCACCAACTGATCTAGTGTGCATTTGAAATACCCACATTCCCATCCACCATAAAAGAGAGAAAAGTGGCCGGCATTTTATACACCTCCCTTTTAATGTTTAATGTTTCTGCGCAGGGGGGACAGGATCCTTTAATTTAAACCTCTCTTCAACAAACATGTTGAAGTAGCAGAACCTTTTGGCTGCCATGGATTAGTTCACACATTGCCTTGACATGATCTGGGGTGCAATGGAACATGACATGCACAGTGCAATGATATTCAGAACCACCACACTTTCCCTGAAGCTGAATTCTTCAGGAGAACTCGTGTGCTTTAAATTTGGGGTAACTGTGGATGTGACATGACAGAAAATTCAGCTGAATTTTCCCTCTTGGCTGTTGGGGAAGAGGAGGGGGAGCACATGATGAGTCAAAGGTTGACTAGGGCTTATTTGTGCTCATGCACATTAATTAAAGCCCAATCTAAACTGCCAATTATTCCTTTGTAGCCCTGCCCTACATGCATGGCATTAGGTGGCCGTGGCTTCCCCACGTGGCCTTCTGAGGGAGGCTTGGCAGGCCAAATTTAGCCTATGGGCCAAAGGTTCCCCATCCCTGCAATAAGCCATAGTTTCTCAGGAGATGTGGATGCAGCCAATACAATAATGCCATTTTGATGCCTCTGCCATGCCTATGCTTCACATGTGTGTGGATGGGAGCTGGGAACTGCACGTAGTGGAGGGTCTCATCTGTACCTTGTCACATTGGCATCAAGGCTTTGTATAAACCCATGACTCACTGCTAGGCTGTATGCCAAGAAGAGATTGGTTTTATTATGTACAGTAAAGTTATGTAGTATTTAGCAGACAACAAGTAAGACCAGGCCTTTTATGTAGCTTGTTTCATGTTGATGCTACATTCATTTAAAAGCCATTCCCGTTTACAAGGCAAAATGCATATTTAGAGAGCAACACTGAACTGTATGCTACTACATACAAAGTGAAGTTTACATTATATATATACGCTGGCAATTTGCATTCATTTACACATAAATTACCTTTAATCAATTAATGGGAAGATTTTAATGGTAAACCATGAAGGTAAATATTCTCATGCAATGTATGTAAATAACATTTCTGTTACCTGTCACTGTGAACGTCAGCAGAAGCCAAACATTATCTTTCAAATTATGCAGTACAGTTGCTAATTAAGAAGCACAGCATAGCTATAGAAAGGATGCATAGCCTTCTAGCTAGACAGCCTCTTATATGACCCAGCTATGTTGTTGTTGTTATTATTATTATTATTATTATTATTATTATTATTTATTATTTATACCCTGCCCATCTGGCTGGGCTTCCCCAGCCACTCTAGGCGGCTTCCAACAAAAATTAAAATACAGTAATCCATCAAACATTAAAAGCTTCCCGAAACAGGGCTGCCTTCAGATGTGTAGATCCATTATTTTTATGGCTCAATTAATGGAGGCAGTTGTGATCAATGGTAATGGGGGGACGACCAATGAAAAAACACGTGTTTTCAAAAGGATCTGTTTTACTGGATCCAATTTCTGTGTCCTATTCTCTTCTTTTTTTGACTCATTTGTCACCCCGTTTTCTTCCCATTGACCGTTTCATTTCCTTCTCCCACTTTCCCGGATTGCCCCTCTTTCCATCTTACCTCTCTGTTGCTCCTCTTTCTGTTCAGTTGCTCAGATGCCAATCTGAGGAACCCCAAAAAGGAAGTGGGAAGGAGTTCTCCTCTTCCTACTTCAGCTCTATGCAGCTCTTAAAAGGGGGAAAGGTAGCCATCCTCACCACTTTATGATAAGGGGGCAGTCAGCGGGGAGTGGGCTAAGCTCAGAGTCTTTCTCAGCACCGTTGCCCCATGGGCATCACATTGGAGACCCCAACTTAAATTGGTGCAGAATGCAGTGTCTAGAACGCTTGTGGAGCTCGGTGGTTCGCTCATATTACATCTTCTCTTCATCAATTACATTGGCTGCCTGTTTTCCCCAGGCTCAATTTAAGGCATTAAACTTAAACGGTTTGGGACCAGGCTAGCTGAAGGACCACCTGAACTCTGGTCCAGAGGTGAGAGCTTTCAGGTTAGTTAGTATAAGGGACAGGCCCTTTCCTGTGGCTGCAGCTCCATATCTGTGAAATAGCCCTCTGCAGAGAAATGTATATGGCCTCTTTTTTGTTCACCTTTTATTTTATTCCAGTCTGTATTTAGTTAATTTTTAGTGCTGGGGTTTTATAATGGCTTTGTTTGCTACTGCTATTTTTAATGTTATTTTTATTTTATTGTACTTTAATCATTTGGATTTTTAGTGTATTGTGAAAGTTACATGATTATGTTGTAAATTACCTTGTGAGGATAAATATCCTGAAAAGAAGATTAAAAACCCATTAAAATAAATAAAATAAATTGGCCAACAGGCCAGAAGAAGAAGAAGGGCCCTGAGGGAGGTTTTGAGATTAAGAAAGCTAGGAAAATTTCAATATAACCTTATTAAAGTCTTCCCAAGAATGCATGTTAAACTGAGGAAATGCAATAGATTTGAACTAATAGATCTGCCATACATCGAAAAGAGAAATTTAGACAGTTTCGAGTAACAGCTTTGGTACAGTCATAAAATTTGCATATTTTATTTCATCTCTGCTTTCATAACCCGATCTCATCATATGGCACTGAAAGACATATAAAATATTTAAAATAATGGAGCTGTGTAATTGTCTCCTACTATTTTGCTCCTAATGTGAATCTACTTTGCTGTTAAGAAGTTCAAGTTGCTGAACTGGCTGTTTGCATTTAGGCAGGCTGAGCCCTCGAAGCATTTCTATAATAAGCTGAATTATTCCCGGTAATTGTGAATGTGGGTCCAATAAAAGCTCTCACCCAGAGCACTATTGTTGCAGCCGGTGTCTTGTGCCACTGTTACCATAGCTGTTAATGTTATTAGTGAGATGATATTAAAATGCACGTTCCTTAGTAATAAATCCAAATCCCACTTTATAAAAACCCAGCAAATAAGCTGTTGCCTTCTCTGCGATCAGTAGTACATTTTCTTCTGGTCCTAGTACATCTGCAGATGGGCATAATATTTTAAGGGACTTTGGATGCCCATGTTTCCACACCACTCAGAACAATTGTCAGCTCATCCTCCTCCCCAAGTTCAGTGGTGGCAGCACTGGCGGGGAAAATAGAAACATTCCATGTTCAAATCAGAAGCCCAGATGGCTTTCATAATTCTGGGACTGTTCCTGGAAAATTGGGGCGCTTACAGGGTATGCACAGTGCTGTCATGTGACTTCCATAGGAAAACAGGAAGCAGGCTTTTACTGAGTCAGACGATTGGTCCCTCTAGCTTAGTATTGTCTGCTCTGACTGGCTGGTTTCTGTCAGGAGCTTTTTCAGTCCTTCCTAGAGACACCTGGGACCTGCAGGCAAAGCAAATGTTTTGCCCCTGAACTATGGCCCTTCCTGACTTCCACAAACCTTAAAGTTGTGTGAACACTCTCTTTGTTACTATGTGCTTATGATGTCCGTTTGACACTCAAAAGCTTTGCCTGTGCCCAATATAGCTGAGCTTTTCCATTCATGGTCAGTGCTGAAATAGAGCAGGAAAAGAAAGCTTTCCTTCTGCTGCTGTTTGTCAGTTTTAATAGTATGCTAGCAGAAACAAAAAATAGCAGCATTCTTTTGAAGCTCTGTAAGAAGAACAGAGAGTTTAAGAAAGTGCCCAGTCAAACCTCGGTTTCAATACAGCACTGCTACTTTTGGACTATACACATTTTTTTTCTACTCCTGAATATAATTAAAAATGCTCCGCTATGTGGGCAGTTCACATTTTATTTAATTTTTTTTTAAAAAAAGAAAGAGGAATGGTAATATATATAAAAAAAGAACTTCTAACATCCTCTCCAAGGACGCAATCAAAAATACGCTCTTGTAAAAATGGTAAAACCATGTCAGGTAGACGAAGCAACATCCTGCGAGGTTGAAACCAATGCTCCAAGGTCTAGTTCTGGTTTCCTGAAAAGCATAACCTAGTTTCCTGGAAAACATGCTTCAAGGCAACTGCATAAGTAGTTTTTACTTTTTCTAAGAATAATAAACTCATGCAAACATCTGTTCTTTGAGTCTGAGGGGGATTGCAGCTCAGCGGAAGAGCTTGCACTTTGCATAGGGAAGGTCCCAGATTCAGTCTCTGGCATTTGCAATTATACAGATCGGGTAGTAGGGAGCAGGACAGAAACTTGGGAGAATGGCCAGCGAAAGCAGGCAATGTTGGGGGTAGATTGGCAAGGCGTCGGCACTAAGGCCAGAGATGTAGCTCAGCTGGTCGAGCGTGAGACTCTTAATCTCAGGGTTGGGGGGTTCGAGCCCAACATTGGGCAAACAATTTCAGGGGGTTGGACTCAGATGTAGCTCAGCTGGTCGAGCGTGAGACTCTTAATCTCAGGGTTGGGGGGTTCGAGCCCAACATTGGGCAAACAATTTCAGGGGGTTGGACTCAGATGTAGCTCAGCTGGTCGAGCGTGAGACTCTTAATCTCAGGGTTGGGGGGTTCGAGCCCAACATTGGGCAAACAATTTCAGGGGGTTGGACTCAGTGGCACCTGTGGCCCCTTCCGGCTCTACAATTCTATGGTTTGAATACAAGGCAGCCATTTGTGAAGGGAAGGGTCTCCTCTGCTGATATCAGGTCCTTAGAAGGTTGGCATTTTCTCACATATATAGGTCCCAGGCATTCAGGGCTTTATTTGTCAACATAAGAACTTTAGATTGAGCCTGGTATCACCATCGCAAATCCTGAAATATGGGTGCCAGTAGAAACTGGTCCGCTTGGACAAAAGGAGCACAGCACCGCCCCACCAGTCTCATTCTGCCCTCAGCCAGCCACCACTTGCCTTCCTGCCTTCTTAAATCCAGTACCGGAAGCGGTACTACCTGGGGGTGGTACTAGCTGTCAGCTTCTACTTCCTTAGTCTACATGCTGCTATTATAGAACTCAGCAGGGAAGAGGAAGAATGGGACAAGATGAGAATTAGCAGTGGTTCTGACTTCACTTAATATTGGTCTCCTTGCCCTACACTCTACCAGTTCCAATGGGCACCAGCCACCACCACCAGTCAGCAATCTAGTGACAGTATATGGCACTAGCTGCAGTTTTTTGGACCACCTTCAAGGGCAGCCCTGCAGAGAGGACATTGCAGTAGTAGAATTAGGAAGTTACCACAGCATGCAAAACTGTGGCCTGGCTGTCCTTGTGCAGGAAATGCCCTAGGTGGTGAACCAACTGGGCCAGGAAAAAGATAAGCCCTGGCCACAGAAGCTGGTCCTCTAATGACAGTGTTGCTGGGTGAAAGAAATTAACTAACGACATTCTTCCACAGTTTAGAGTCCTTCCTCCATGGACTCCATGCCTTGTTCAAAGGAGACTTTCGGATCACATCAAGAGATGAATGGGTGTTTGCAGATATGGATCTGTTACACAAGGTTGTTGCTCCTGCAATCAGAATGTCATTGAAACTTCATCAGGCAAGTTTTCCTCGCTTTATGCTTTTCTCTAGCACTATTACCAATAATACTGTTTATATTTCTAAATATTATTTTTATAATGATTACCATATATGGTAGCTGTAAAAAGGAGGCCCACAATTCTCTCAAATGGATCAATAAAACACAACAGTGCAGTTGTGGTTTTCTTAAACATTTTTTGTGTAGAACTAAAATGATTTCTCCTGTACTTCTTGAGCCTTCTGCCTACATGCAAACTCACCAGTTACTTATTCGGCCATCACTTTGCTTGTATAGTGAAATGATGAGAATGTGTTATTAAAGCCAGTTCATTTTAGAGTGTGAATTGAGTTCAAGGTAGACCCTATTTGTTTGCCACAGTTTGAGTCTCTGACTCAGAGTAGATGTTCAGCCCATAAACTAATCAGATTTCCTTCCAAAGCTTTCAAGCAAAACTTTTCAGATCCATTTAAATCCTCAGGAGACTTCAGTGGGTGTGGTTTCTGCTTTTTTCTGTGTGGTGGAGGTGATAGTAGCTGCTCTGAACTCCCTTTCCTCTAATCATGTTAATCTCCAATGAAGTCTTTTCTGAGCTGAAGTAAACAGTTTTCTGGCAAATCTCATGGGGAGCAAGATTGCATACGCCTCTGCCAACAACCTCCATCTTCTTCACAGAACTTTTTGATCATAGCAATGCCTTTTCATTTAATAAAAGGACCAGTTTACCTGTCCGGATGAATATGAGGATCCTGCCATCCTTTATGAGGCAATTCAGTCATTTGAAGAAAAAGTGGTAATCTGCCATGAAGGTGATCCTGCCTGGCGTAGTGCTGTTCTCTCAAACAAAGAGGAGCTTCTCACTTTGAGGCATGTGGTGGAAGAAGGGACAGACGAATACAAAATTATTATGCTCCACAAAAGCTACTTAAGCTTCAAAGTGATCAAGGTACCACAGCTGCATAATTTTCATTGTTTTGCTCTTATGCTCATAATATGTCTCACACACACACACAAATAAATGAATAATGATTGCCTAAAAAGATGTCCCCTGTCATGGACACACCAATTAGGAAGGTCGACAAGAATCATATTCTCTCTTTAAAAAAGAAAAAGAAAAGAAAATACATAGGAAATTCCTGACTGCTCAGATACAACTAAGTGCAGGGCAACCTAGAGACTTAACCATATAGTGATACAAACCCACATTATCTGCACCTCTGGAAATTACTCCCTGTGCTTCAATATAAAGCTAAGTATCTTGTGTTTCTTTCCTTCTTTATCTTATTATTATAGTAAGAAACAATGCAGAAAAAAAGATAAAATACAGCTTTAAAAAAGAAAATTAACAATGTATCATCACACAAATAACAATATATGATTAACATACTGTTGAAAGTCTACCTGTGATCATTTCATTTTTCCTGAATACAGGTGAAACTCAGAAAATTAGAATATCGTGGAAAAGTTCATTTATTTCAGTAATTCAACTTAAAAGGTGAAACTAATATATGAGATAGACTCATGACATGCAAAGCGAGATATGTCAAGCCTTTATTTGTTATAATTGTGATGATCATGGCGTACAGCTGATGAAAACCCCAAATTAACAATCTCAGTAAATTAGAATATTAAATGAAATCAGCAAAACAAGGACTGCAAATAGAGCAGTATTGGACCTCTGAGAAGTAGAAGCATGCACAAGTACTCAGAACTTGGTTTGGGCCCCCTTTGCATCAATTACTGCCTCAATTTGGGGTTTTCATCAGCTGTACACCATGATCATCACAATTATAACAAATAAAGGCTTGACATATCTCGCTTTGCATGTCATGAGTCTATCTCATATATTAGTTTCACCTTTTAAGTTGAATTACTGAAATAAATGAACTTTTCCACGATATTCTAATTTTCTGAGTTTCACCTGTATTTTATTTATCACATTCCTGATAGTGCATGTGGTTGAAGTTTTTCTTGCATTCTGTTGCACCAATGCTTTACAGACATCAAGAAACAATCTGTTGATTTGTCTGTCTTCCCCTGCCCTTCACTATCTGAGTAAATGTTACCATATACAAAGAGTTATTACTTTTCCCCAGTGAAGATGGATGAGTGTATGTACTGCAGTTAACAAATGGATTACCATATTATTACTGACACATATTATTTGTTCCTGTGTATATCCTGTTGAGCCTTGAAGTTGTTAAATACCATCGAAAAACAAATGCATAAAGCTTTCCTTTAAGATTTGCGCTTAAGGTGTTTTGGGGAGCATATTGGCATATCCATATGTTTGCTTTTTAGGTTAACAAGGAATGTGTCCGAGGGCTCTGGGCTGGACAGCAACAGGAACTGATATTTTTACGCAACCGCAACCCAGAGCGAGGCAGCATCCAGAACAACAAGCAGGTTTTGAGAAACCTGATTAACTCCTCGTGCGACCAGCCTCTGGGGTACCCTATGTATGTTTCCCCTTTAACCACATCCTATATAGGGACCCACAGACAACTGAAGAATGTTTGGGGTGGACCAATTAGCCTGGACAACATCAAAAGATGGTTCAGAAACAAGTGGCTTAGGTAAGCTGGTGGCACCGCAGCAGATGTTCAGTCACATCTGGAAATGAGTTTGTGTGTGTGTTCTTTTGTAGGGGGAGCAGGGCTCTCAAAATGTATAAATTGCTTGGGTGACATACAGCTTTTTCCCTTTAGCGTCCTTCACTCCAGCCCAAGGTTTGTGTACACCTGAGTTGGGTCAGAAGAGAAAGTGCCTGCCCTCCCTTTAAACAAGTGTGAAGGCTCTGTGTGCTGAACTTCTTGTTCTGTTAAAACAAAATAGAGCATCTCCTTGTTGTTGCATTTGCTGCTTTCCTGGAGCTCTTCATTTCAGGAATTAAAGCACGGTGCAATCCACAGGGCCTTGTGTTTACTCTCCTTATAGTATTTATTTGCCACCAAGTAAACAGGTGGCACTGTGGGGGACTTGGGTGGCGCTGTGGGTTAAACCACAGGGCCTAGGACTTGCCGATCAGAAGGTCAGCGGTTCGAATCCCCACGATGGGATGAGCTCCCATTGCTCGGTCCCTGTTCCTGCCAACCTAGCAGTTCAAAAGCATGTCAAAGCGCAAGTAGATAAATAGGTACCACTCCGGCGGGAAAGTAAACGGCGTTTCCGTGCGCTGCTCTGTTTCACCAGAGGCGGCTTAGTCATGCTGGCCACATGACCCAGAAGCTGTACGCCGGCTCCCTCAGCCAATAAAGCGAGATGAGCGCCGCAACCCCAGAGTCGGTCACAACTGGACCTAATGGTCAGGGGTACCTTTACCTTTAAAGTTAACAGAAAAAGTAAAAAACGGTTGTACACACATATAAATGTTTGAATGCTAATGAAACCATAAAATCTTACACAACATAAAACTCACAAACTGAAAGTAACAACCAGAAAACAGAAGTTGACAGCAGTACAGTGCCAAACTACAGAACTTACAAAAATACGTGGGTGGGGAAATAAAAAGTGCCTTCAGCTGGTGCCCGAAAGGCCAACATCATCTGTGGAAGGCATTCCATTGCTGGGCTGCCACCACAGAAAGGGCCCTGTTTTACATCTGTTCCTCTGCTTCAGTCATTCTGGTCTTGAGTCATCGTTGCCTGCTGAATTCCTTGCATTTCCTATATTCAGGTAGCTGCTAACTGACTGAGGGAGGCTCACTGTGACAAAGTGTCCTTCATGAACAATGGAAGACTTTTCCCTTCCTCACTGCTGTGAGTCCTTTTTTATAGCCAGCTGTGGGTGCACCTGACAATTTTGGGTTCCCCTTTTGTTCCCTTGTATGTTAAACAGGATGCGGAAAGACTGCCATCCAAGCCACAACAGTGGAGGAAACCTTGAGGAAGGAGCGAGTAGAAATGGATCTTCCAGCAGCAATCCAGTTAATAATTCAAGTCAGAGCAGCAGCACCCAGCATACGAGGAACAGCACACCCCAGCTGCAGCCATCTTTAAAAGTTGCTCAGTTTTCAGGTATTTACACTATTCATTTATTTTACTTTTTTGCTTTACAATATCTATCAGGGGGAGTGCAGCAAAGGTAAGATTCGGTTCAGGACCCTCTTGGGTGCTTCAGAAAGTGGGCCAGTTCAACTTGGACTGCTTTCAGGAATGATCTGCTTCTCCCTGGATCCGAATCGGAACCTCACTTTGGAAAATCCGCAGTCTTTTATATCTCCTTATTGACTTACACAGGTGTCAGGTGTGGAGGTGGTTGCTCGCGAGTAACCAGGCAGGACTCCGACCTGTCTTTTACAGGTTTTATTGGTGCAAACTACTTACAGTGCAGAACCCCAAAGTTCATGTCCGTCGCAGGCACTTCCAGATTCTGGGAGTGCCCCTTTCTGGTTTCTCCCCCAGCATAAGAACTTAGACACCCCAAATCTCCACCTCCCCTCCTTACGTTTCACCCCTCTGCGCAAGCAGGGTGACGGAAGCGGCATGGGTGCCTCCTGGCTGGCTGGGCTAGGTGAGGCGCTTGGGCTCTCCATCGCATTTTTGAGCCCTCCCTTCACCTGGCTACCCCCTTCCCCCTCGGCTCCACTGGAGGTGTGGCTTTCTCCACCGCCGGACGAGGAGCTGCTTCTCAAAATTGCCGGAGGCTCTCTGTATCCCCCTGCGTCCCTGCCCCGTCCCCTGACAACAGGCAAATGAACAAATGGCTATAACCTTTTGACCAAACTGGGTGGCATTGGCTGGGGTACTACTCATTTCTGAGCAGTTGAAGATGGCTAAAGATCAGACAAATAGGTGCAGAAGTTTCTATGATACTTTCTATGAATATCTCTTTATGTGGCATTGCAGGGATGAAATGGTCCAGTAGGAGATATTGGATTTGTTGAACCTTCAAGTTGGCTGCATTTGCCATATTTAGGTATAGATTCTACAGCTACTTGCTGAAACTTCAAGTCCTTGCCATTAATAGGCAAGGCTGGAAATGATCTTCCCCTAAATGAAAACTGCAAGATTAGAATTGCTGCTGCGTCTTCTAACTTGGCCTAACTGAACACGTATGACTGTTTATTCTTGTAAACTGGTGCTGGAATAATTGGGAAGGCAGGCTTAATTGCAATATAATAATCATGAGATGCCCAAGTGGGTTTAAATGTTTCTTAATTTAATATTTAATTATATTGGCATCTGCAAAATTTGGTTATAGTTGTTTTTTATGACCTGAGTGGAACCAGGCGCAATGGGAGTGGGTTAGATGCCTTGAAAAAGTGTCTTAAGTGTATAGGGGAGCCTTTGTTTCCTAAATGTTTGCAGATATTTGGTTATTTATGTGCAAATATGGGTGGTCTACTGTACAGCACTGCAACCATTTAATTAAAAGACAAATATGCAATATTTCTGGACAGTGGTCAGCTTAGCTGCTGAAATTGTGAACAGATGTTTGGCCACACTTGACTGTGAACATCAGAGTACCAGATTCCCTTGTTTCACTTCCTAGCTGTAATTTTTTTATATAAAGGTATTAACATTAAAATAATCAACAGACTCAGAAACAGAATTTAATCCAGACTCTGAGCTTGAAGAAGCGAATGTTCAAAAAAAGCGTATTGTTGCAGCAGAAGTTTGCTGTGAAGGCCTGCATCTAATTACAATTTAAAGTGGAAGATTCCCTCCAGTTCTCTTCCAAACTGCAGCGCTATCTGAGGATGCATGTTCAAAGGTGTGCCAGATGATTAATAGCGTTGCGCCTCTTTAATAGGAACCACAGGGCTTAGACTCGGGGGCCACCACAACCTGTCATGCCAGCTCTGAAAATAGGCTGTTTGTTATTTTAAGCAGAAAAGGTAGAAATGCTTACTGGTGCATTGCTAATAGGTGAGCAAGATGCACATCCAGTTATGTATTGCTGATTTTAATGATTTTTTAAAAATTTGTTTTAAATAGTTTGTCTTTACTGATAATTTTACTGTTTTATTATTTTTTGTAAGCTGCTTTGAGAGTTTTTTTTTTACAATCACTTAGTATATAAATTTTATGAGTAATGTATATAAATTTACACACACACCCCAAAAGTGGCTAGGCTACTCATTAAACAGGAACAGCGTTAACAGTATATGTGCATTGCATTCCGTCAGCATCCCACGAGGTTAAGTTCCCTGTTTCACTAGAGAATAGTGGATTGCTTTTTATTTACCAGAAGATGACCTCACATTTGCGATGACAGCATGTAGCTTGTTTTGCTACTAGTCATGTCAAAAGCCCTAAAGGGGTTTGATTCTTTCTCGGCTTAAGCATATAACCATGACCATTGGTTCAATTCCAGTTAGTGTGAATGATTTATAGATTTTGCTATTACTGGAATATTTTAATTTTAATAAATAGAATTATTCACAGAATCGCCGAGTGGCCTGCATTACTTGCATATTATTATATTGCAATGTGAGCCAGTCTCTCCTTTTGACTGCTACTACTTTTTACTATCCAAGAACTCCTTCTCGTGACAGCAGGGGAGATTTCCAATTGCAGCTGAGCCTCTGAAGTCATTTGCTCCAACCCAGACCTTTGAGCTGCTATACTAGTAATGTTAAATCGGGATGCTTCGGCAGGTGCCCTTGTGCTGGTATTGCAAGCTGATACAGGTACTCTGATGCAACTGTATATCTCAGTGTCCTGAATTAGAGCTGCATCACGAGAGCATCTCACACAAAGCCTGTGCATGGCCCACATTTAAGGACTGGCTGTGTCTGCGCAGCATCGTCAGAGCAACTCCAGGTGACTCAAAGAGTTAACAGTGCTCTTTTGTTATGAGTTTCATCATCACCATCATTTTATTTGTATACCGCCTTTCCATAGTTGAAACTATGCTCAAGGCGGCTTATAACATGACAAGATTTACATAATTACAAACATGACAGAAGTCATAAACAATAAATGAGACACATCAAAAAAGTACACAACCGAACGGAAACAATTTCCACGTAAATCATAAGATCTAAACTAAAGATGCAACAATAATATCAATAAACAATACTCCAGCCCAAGAATCTGTTCAGCAGCTTCAGCTTTTGTAGCTGGAGTCAGTCAGCACTCCACTCTCCCAGGCCAGGTGGGAGAGGGTCAGCAAGACAGGGTGCAGATCTTCCAGGGCTCACAGCCAAGATGAAAAACAATTTAAAAGCAGCTGCAGTCCTTGTGAAGCCTGTCAATCCCTGCTCCAAGCCAGGTGGAAAGAGGCAAGGGCAGGGTTCTTCAAGCCCTCAGCAGGCAGTCCTCCTGGGCAGCAACAGCAGCAGCAGTCCTTAAGAGCCTGAGTCTGCTGTGCACAAGGTACCTCTGGGGCTGTTGCTTTGTTGGGTTTGTTTGCTTCCCTTCCTCCAAAAAGCTCCAGGCAGCAGCTGTCAGGTTGGTCAACGTTTATTCCCACACAACAGCCCTGTGAAGTAGGTTAAGCGGATGGACACACCCACACCCACACCCCTACCTGAACTTAAAGGCTGAGTCAGTGTGAACCCAAGTCTCACCCATTAAAGCCCAACACTTGAACTCCTGCACTAGACTGGTTTTTGGTGTCCCTCCAAGCCCCTATGTACACATAACTAGATGGGGGCTTCAAGAGGTGCATAGGATTGAAAATAAATTTCTTGCAGGATTGCTGAGCAAAACTTGCTGTTCGTGTGCAGAGAAGCAAAAGATGACCCATAAGAGTTCCTAGGAAGCTAATGACTATTACATGCTACAGGGATAAGGAAATGTTGCACTCCGGCTGCTGTTAGACTCCAGTTCCCATCAGACCCAGTCAGCACAGCTGACAGTGGGGGCAGAGGCAATTCTAGGGTGGTGTGACTGGTGCGGCAGCACTGGGTGCTGCCCTGCAGAGGGTGCCACAGCAATGCTGTAGAGCAGAGCACAAGAGAATTTTAGCGTTACGCAGGGCACCACTGAAATTGGAGGGCCCAAAGTCTGCCACTGGTGGGGGATAATCAGAATTGTGGTTCAGCAACATGTTGGTTCCCTGTCCGTGTCTTGCAAATCTGCTAGTCCACAGTAATGGCTGTGACATCAAAAGATCTGGGCGGTGAACATTTTAATTTATTTGAATAACAGAGCCAATGTTCAGTGTTGCTTTCAAAACACAGGTATAAAAGCAGCATGGGGAAGCCACAAATGGCACATGTAAGATCCCTGCTGTTAATGTTACAGAGACATTTGCTCAAGCAGATGTTCTGGGCATTCAGGACTTGTTTGTTTATTGTCTAAACAACTCATATGGAAGAGGCGAAAAGAAACCTAGATATTACTTCCACAGTTAAATTACTCCTGCTGCTCAGTTAACCTCTTCCCAGTTCAGCGAGTACAGCCAAGGCACTCCAAGGGGAAATCTTCGCTTCTCCACAGTCGTAAGGACAATTAATGTGAAGAGCAAGGCACGGGGGTGTGTGTTTCAAATAGGTCAACTCAGTACTCCTTTCTGGTACCAACAATAAAGATTCACTACATTCTCAAGCCTCTCTGTTCAGAGGTCCAGTGTCATTCTGCTCAACCTTCTCTTGTTTCGTGGTCTTAAGCGTATAGTCATTGTATTGGTAATGTTTACACTGGTGCTTTCTGTCCTCTTTTGGTGACCCTTCCCTGCTCCCAATACTTTCCCCTCGCTCTCATCTCATTCCATGTTTGAGACTGAGCAAGCCAGCAGATGGGCAATCACATCTAAAATCTGTAAGGTAGAGTTATGCTTGCACAAGCCCACCTCCGAGGTAAGTCCCAACCCATTCAGATCAGTGAGAAATAAATTAGGGCTTAAGAGTGAGTCAACTTTCTCTGAATCCGAGCCAAGGGATGGTGACCATTGCTTATAAGACTGTGTTCCTGTGCCAAAGCTGGAATCCTAAAGATACTTGGAGACTTGGAAGCGAGTCTCATTGCAATCCGTGGGAATTACTTTCAATAAAGCACAGTTAAGAACTGCTGTAAAAGTCTTCGATGTTTTGCCATGGAATTGCATTGGAATGGATGCATAGTTTGGATGATGTCACCTACTAACTAGTTGGCCAGATTGCCAGTAGCACTATAATTTTCTGTATCCCGAAAGCTCTTTGGGATTTTCAGGATAAAAAACGTTTAATTGTTATCCTTGGTACTTCCTACTGTGCACTAATTGGATCGAGGCGGTACATTTTGAAGGCTATTGCTGGAGCTGTCATTTCCCAAAATAATCCTTTCTTCTCTCCCTCTCTCTCACAGGCAGAAGAAAGTTCAGGAGCCAGTCTGTTCAGACACACGCTGCTTTAAACCAAAGGCCCCCTCGTTCGAGTCATTCTGGTCCTATCGTAGACAGCCACCAGCCATTCATCCAGACCTCCACTTCTGCTCATGAAATTGCCCACGGGCTTTCTGGCAGCCAGCTGTCCTTCCACAATTCAGCAACCTCCGTCTTCTCCCAGACTCCTGCCATCCCTACCCTGGGCCAGCTCACTGTGCAGGAGAGAGCTGGCGCAATGCTCCGCTCAAGCCTGGCTTCTTCCACCAGTTCAACGCTCAGCCTTTTATTTGGCAAGAGAAGCTTTTCGAGCGCTTTGGTTATTTCCGGGCTCTCGGCTGCCGATGGAGGAAACACCACAGACACCCAGTCGTCCAGCAGCGTTAACATCGCAATGGGACCGTCTGCTAGAGCAGCAAGCCGTACTATGCAAGAGACCACGCGGGTAAGAAAAGGCTACCAGAAATGCCGCTGGCGGGTATTTTTCTATTGACTCGTTCACCCCAGTGCCCCACTTAGTCCACGCAAGCCTCCTCCTCGCTATGTGGAGTGTGGAAGCAATAAAGATTTTGATAAAGAGCAGTTGAGCAACTCCCTCTCTGTTGGGAACAGAACACTACTTGTATTAATATCACATCATCTGAGATTACCAGATGGAGACAAAGTAGTGGAGTATTATAAAAGGATAATGGAGGTCTCAGAGCTGTCATGTCAAATAAGGCACGGGATGCTTTCCTCAGGAATAGATTGGCATCCTAATACTACAAGTCTGCTGTAAATTTGGCAAGCTGGCTGGCGCTGTGACATTCTTGCTCCGCTTTTCCAGTCAGAAGCAACCCAAAACCCGTTTGCTAAATATGGTATTAGGGCTTAATAAGCTAGTGATTTAAGGGATCCTTGCCAACACTGCATCTTTCCCTGCTTTGTCTCGGCAAAAGCCATATCAAATACTGTAATGCAACAGGCCTTCCATCAATGATTGCTCTGTTGTGGCTGGGGTAAAATTCCAGCCCAGAATTTACATCTTGGCCAGGATCTAAACATGAGCTTATCTAAGATGCTTCCAGGGGTGCAAACGGATGCAACCGATTTACCATTCTTCCTCCCACCCTCTATGTGCTCCTGTGGATGGACTCTGACATCTCCAGGAACAGCTTTTTTTTATTCAATTATTTATTTATTCCAATTATTTATATCCCACTCTTTGGCTGGAAAAGCTCCCAGAGTGGCTTACAAAGCAATGCAACACAGAGGCGTTTGGGGGGACGGGACCAAGGTGAAAACATAGACCTAGACATCCTTGGTGCCTATTATTTATTTATATCCTGCCCTATACCCAGAGGTCTCAGGGCAGTTCACAAAACAGATCACAATATATAAAATTAAAATAAAACAATAACCCAATAATATAAAATAAAACATATAATTTAAAATAAAACAATAACCCCCCCCCCCCCAAAAGAGCCAAATTTTAAAAGGGTATAGGATGTTGATCAGGTCAACCAAAGGCCTGGTTAAAAAGGAACATTTTTGTCTGACACCTAAAGCTGTATAATGAAGACACCAGGCAAACTTCCCCGGGGGGAGCATTCCACAGACGGGGAGCCACTGCAGAGAAGGCCCCGTTCTCGTGTTGCCACCCTCCAGACCTCTCAAGGAGAAGGCACATGAAGGAGGGCCTCAGGAGTTGATCTCAGGGTCCAGGTAGGTTCATATGGAAAGAGGCAGTCCTTGAGGTATTGTGGTCCTGAGCTGTTTAAGGCTTTATAGGTCAAAACCAGCACTTTGAATTGGGCCTGGAAACTAATTGGTAGCCAGTGCAGTTGGACCAAGATTGGTGTAATATGCTCAAACTGCCCATGCAGAAGAGTACATGCCAATTGTTCTAAAACACCATTTCAAAGGTTACTTAAGACACTGCTGACTCAATCTCCTTTTCTCTTTTAAAAGCAATCGTCTGAGGATTATGAAGCAACTGACACGAGTGAATCCAGACAGCGAAGAGATCTGGGTGCTGCGCATGCTCTTCTGATGAGCCACATGCTGGAATGTAGGAGAGCCAGCCAAGAGGACATGGCGTTGGAAGACACAGGTTCCCAACACAGTCTTTCAGAAGAGCAGTAAAGAATCCACTTTCAGCAAGGGCTAAAGCTCTGTTCACATGACATCAAAACACATCTAGCTTCACGTCCCAGACAAAATGTTAAGGTTATTCCAAGTATAACAAAAAGCAAACAAACACAACACAAAATGTAAAGTATCTATTTTTTTAATTCTTCAGTGAAAAATATTACAATATAGAAGCAGGATGTTCTACGATTGGCATTTAGTGCTATCCAAAAGCGCTGCGCAACGTCATCTCAAGTTCATGAAAATTCAAATGCGATCTGGAAAAAAACGTCAACAACCTGTCTTGACTTTCCTTCCCCCGAAGTGCTAATATTTTTCAGATGGAACTTGGAAAAGATTTGAGGAGGGAGCGAGAACACACATACGTGGAACTAAGACTGAAAGCAACAGAAACTCTGAATGCATCTCCGTGAAAAAGCACATCAACATCTGTCTCTTGTTGTAACCAAACAGATGATTGCATGCTAAATAACTGGCATTTTATACATAATGCATCAGAAACGATTTTTTTTAAATTGAAGCAATGAATATGTAATAGGAGAGAAAACTGCATACCCCAACATTAGTATGCAGAATCTTTTTTTTTAAAAAAGGAAAGTCAAAAGGAAGGCCTCATTCTTCTGTTTGTTTGAAGTGTTATGCAGCTGACAATTATGTGCCGCAACATATTAATCCAGAAGGTGGCCCACTGCATGCAGTCATAATGAAATAGTATATGAAAGTGCCAGGCTGCACATTGCCGTAAACCAAATATAGCCAATGCATGAAAAGCCTTCACAAAGCCAACGGTGCTCCTTATTTGCAAACAAAGCTGCTTTTTCTAAAAGGACTGCATAGCCTTGCAGTCCTGATTTGGTTGGCAGAAATTCATGCCTATTTCTGAAACCAAGAGACTCAAAAGCACTACGATGCTCTTTCACATACACAAACACAGACAAACATGTCAAATTATTATTATTTTTTTTGTAATTAAAGACTTTACAACTACCAGTGTCTGGTTCTGCTGTTGTTGTTTGACTATCTCCGGAAGGACGCACAACATTTCTGTTCTTCATGGTTATGGTCTATTAGTGAAATTATCAGGAACTAAGACAAGTAGTTGATTCACAGCCAGGCAGGGGCAAAACTAGGTTTTATTTCACCCGGGCCAAACACCCAGTTTGACACACCATGCATACACAGGCTGGGTGCCTCAATGGCGCCCCTGTGGAGGCTTCAACAAGGACAAAAACCAAAACACCTCAGCTAGCGCCCCCGCAGCTACAGCTCTGCAGCCAGAGATGATTGGAAATGTTTTGTGAGTAGGGGAAAAGTAAAAGCAAAAATGTATGTTGAAAGCAAAAATGTATGTTGTGGGATACACGAACAAAGCCTGGGTGTGCAAGTAAGGCAGTCATATAAGCATGTTTATTGGGCTTCTGCTGCATCACAGTGGCTTGCAACATTTGGTCCACCAGGAGTCCTACAATACTCACCTAAAATTAATCCCCTTACAATTTTTGTGGAATTGTGAGGGCCATGTTTATCACCTCTTTTACTATCCTATAACTCTGTGCCCCAAACAATACAAACTATGCATCAAATCCGACAGGAAACTGTGCGTGGAGGTCGAGGTTAGGCCTCTTTAAGTATTCAAGGCACAGACCCAATTGGAGCCTGCAAGCCCAGTTGGTTCTGCCCCTTGAGCAGTGCCTGCTCCTGAGGTTGCCTGACATTGGCTGAATATGCAGGCGGACAGGATTCTCTTCCCTAGTAGGCAAGGAGGCCTGTTTGGGTGCCCTGCTGTGAGAAGCCTCCAAGCACCTTCCCCTATCAGGTAAGTGCTTGGGGGAAAGGCAGGCGGCCCACAACGCCATCATTACCCAAGAAAGGTAAGCAAACTTATGCATCAAATTCCAAGCAGGTATTTGGTACACAGGAACCTGGTCTCTTGCATGCTGTGAACTGCCCTGAAATCTTCAGATGAAGGGTGGTATATAAATTTAATAAATAATATTTTCCAATAATATTATTCCAATATGAAGACTAAGGTGGAAATGTGCTGTTTCTCAGAGGGGGAGGGGGAGGAAGAAGAAGAAAAAGAAGAAGGAAGAAGAAGAAGAAGAAACTCTAAAATCTCAAAGATTTGTATTGAATTTACTTGGGGTGGAGGAGAAAATGCTGCCAAGGATTGTATGGATGCACAGAAATGGCCAAAGATGGCTGCTGCTCTTCTTTTTTGGCAGAAAGACAACAGAAGTTTTCATGGTTTTGAGCCCCTGCAGCAGAATTAGCTTCCTCTTACCTCCCTTCTCGGTGAAGTCAGTGAAGCACACAGCCAGTGCCGGCTTTACGTATAAGCTAAACAAGCTATAGCTTAGGGCCCCGCTCTCTTGGGGACCCCAAAAAAATCAAAGAAAAAAACAACTGGATGTACATTTCCAAAATATAAGATATAAAACAAACAGAATAAAACCTACATACAGCAGCAGTGTTTTGTGTTGTGTAGGCTCCTATTTGTTATGTGCAAATGGCTTTAGATACCTATTAGGTCCATAAATTACCATATAGCACATATTCAACACAAAAAACAGCAACAATTTGTTGTTGACAAAGGACAGGGGGACATATAAAGGGCCCCATTACCTTCAGTAGCTTAGGGCCTCATCAACCCCAAATCTGGCCCTGCACACAGCTATAAGAAATAAACTGCAACAGCTCCCAATACCCATTCAGCTGCAAGCTCCTCTTCCCTTGCAGCTTCCCCTGTGTTTTGCAGAAGACTACTGGAAAGGAGCACAAGGCACCTCTGCATGGTGCTTTCTGGCAGTTCCAGCTGCTTTTTTCCTCCACATCAGAAGAGCCCCACTGGATCACACTAAGGCCAAGCTAACGCAGCATCCCATTTGCCACAGTGACAAACTAGATGCCTCTGGGAAGCCCCCAAGCAGGACATGAGCCACTGTTTGTTCCCCAGCAAAGACTTTTTGTGGCTCAGCTTTTGTTCTTTTAATCAGGCCATGCCTAGCACAAAACTTTTGGCAGATCTTTAGTTCATTTCTGCAGAATTCCTGCAAATGGGTGATTGGAGCCTGGCCTCTGCCAATCCTCACATGCCTACAGAGCAATCTCCAGCCCTGTTTGTTGTACTAATTCCTCAAGAATTGCTTTTACCACACCTGTGTATATGTTTTAGTTCTTATTTCACTAGAAGCGAAAGAGCTTGGTGAGTTAGAAAATGTTGCATAATCTCATTTAAGCCTTTCTTTGAAATCTATTCATCACATCCCTGCATCGCAGAAATTTCCGTGTGAATACAAAAATCTTACTCTGCATTGGATCAAATGCAGTCCGGGCTAATGTACAGCTTCTGTAAACAAATGCTCCATGATTAATCACAGGGTAGCTGCATTATGAGATGAGCACAAATATTCATGGGCAAAAGCTTTGATGCCTTTCATATGATAATTGCAGCCAACACATGAGCCGTGTTACAAGGATCACTTTCTTCTGCCAGGCAATTCTGTAATAGTTGGGAGGCAAACCGGAAAATGATACACCTGTCACATATTCTCTCCGATTTTAAACTATTTGTGCAAACTCGCATTGTGTTTGCTTCTCATTTTCCTGGAATGAATTCAAGTCGTCTTTCATTCCCAGATGCACAGCTGTCCCATGTTGATTTTGAGGGCATTGTTTACAGAAGTCACGAGCTGAAAAGCACACGGGGGGGGGGGGGGGTTGGAGTTGGTGCTGGAAAGGATTTTAAGGTGAAGGCTGCACCAAACCCATTTTGTCAAAATCTGCATTGTTTAGCTCTGCACTGCTCCAGTACTAATCTTTACGCATTTCCTATGCCTATGTGTTTTGCATCCCCATACAGTGGTACCTCGGGTTAAGAACTTAATTTATTCTGGAGATCCATTCTTAACCTGAAACTGTTCTTAACCTGAGGTACCACTTTAGCTAATGGGGCCTCCCATTGCCACCACGCGATTTCCTGTTCTCATCCTGAGGTAAAGTTCTTACCCCGAGGTACTATTTCTGGGTTAGAGGAGTCTGTAACCTGAAGCGTCTGTAACCTGTAACCTGAGGTACCACTGTAATTGCAAACATGGGTTTCCTCCTTATATATATCAATCACCTCTCAGCCAATTCACTTAAGGCAGTTATTGGTAGAATGGCTTCCAATTTAATAGACATGATAATAGCTGCCCATATGCTAGGTTCTTATATTCATTTACAAGGCTATTGACAACTTGGGTCCAGGATACCTCAAGCACCCCCTGATACCTTATATCTGTGCTAAATCACTAAGGTCTTGGGGGGGTCACTGTTAGTGGTCTTCCCCTGACTCAGGTGCATAGCTCATCCACCAGAAGCCATGCATTCAGTAACATGGGCCTGATTTAACAGAACTCCCAAGTGAGGTCAAACAGTTAAAGAGCAGAAATCACAGTGGGGAGCCCATGGCACAGGCATTTTGGTTTCATTTCTTTAAAATTGTTTTCTACTGCTTGGTGTTAATCTTTATTTTTTTCCCTTTCTGTGGTTGCTCTGCTTAGGAGGCAAGTCTTTTTAAAAGAAACCCTCTCATTACTGGATCTCCTTTAAAACCTCTGCTTTTTAAACTTGTTACTGACAGTTCTCCAGACTGTATTCCATCTGATATTCTTTTAAATGTGTTGTGGGAGGGGGCATTATTGGTTTGCTTTTGTTCTTATTTGTATTCTGTACTCTATCTTTTTTATATAGAACTTTTTTGTTGTGAATCAGCCTGAGATCTACAGATGAAGGAATGTAATAAATTACTATTATTATTATTATTCCACAGCCAGAACTAGCTTGAGGGAGGGTAGTATTCACAGCAGAAACCACTCAGAAGTCAGTCTCACGATACTGAACACCAAGCCATAGCACAGCGAGTCACTACTAATGCTGGCCAGATCAATTTATTGTGTTAGTGCAAGATGTTTTCACTCTGCTTGTACTGGTGAAATAACTTGAGACTCCATTGCACCCAGCAGGTGTTCCTTCACTTGGTGAACAGCTGCTTTAATGGCTCTCGTCACCCCTCATTCCACACACAGATGTGCTGCTTCTATGGGAACAGAAGCCGGTGTAGAAAAAAGCCAGAGATAACTTCATCCATTCTTGGTTCTTTATAGAGGCTCCGAGAACACTATAAGTGAACTGTGAAGGTTAGTCTTCCCATGGAGAACTGAGGCAGACAGAAAACACTTTCTGTAAAATCACTGAGTGGTCATTGTTGACGTGTAGTCATTCCTGGCCAATTTCTGCTTCTCTTTTCTTTCTGAAGCAGGTAAAATGCAACATCCAGGCACAAAAGTAGAGGAGCTGAGGAAAGCTGTGTTCAGTGGGCTTCTGCTTCAACAGTCAGAATTCTTAAAAAATGGAATTGTTCTTTTCCCTCCTCCTAGGTCCTTAATGAAATAGCGCTGTTTGCATTTCCACCACTGAATCTCCCTAAAAATCTCGTGTTACTGCCTTTGAACTTCTGCAAACATTACAAAATTCTTTCTTCGGAAATCCTGAGTGCAAAATAAATACATAATAGACCCAACACAAGTTGAACAAAACAGCCTTTGTTACTCCATCTGGATACTTTTTCTTGGCTCGAATTTCTACAAACATACGTGCTGAATGGCCTTGATGCATAGGCCCGTGGAGAAGATCAAGCACAAATTATGCTCTTCCTGTTATACCAATTAAAATCCACAGGTGCAACGCAACTTTAATCAGAGCTCTGCAGATACACCAGTGCCGTGGAGACCAGACTCATGAGTTATTTGCTGTAGGGCTGCTTCTTGTATCATAGTGCTCTTGGACCTTCCAAAAGCAGATAATGTACTATTGTCAACATAAGGTCTCATGAAACAAAAACAGAGTGGGAAACTTGCTCATTAAGGCTACCCGCAAACCACTGGGTTCATTCTCCTAATCCAGTTTCTTCCTTTATTGATACACGTTTGAAATAGTCACGCTGCATTCGTGGGATACTGATGTCTTAAAATGATATCAGTATGACGCACAGAACACCTGCAATAGCAAGAAGTGACTCTCAGGGGAATTGGGACACACATTGCAAGGAAAGGAGAAAAAACCTTGTCAGTACTACTTGGGGAAAGTTCTTTCGTGATGCCAAATATAATGAACAGAGATATCGTCTATGAAACAGGGCTGCCAGTTTCCCACTTCCAGCTCACTCTCAATATTAAGTGGTGAGAAAATTGAGTGAGGTCATAATATTGCAGGAGTCTAGTAGCAGACTGCAGTTATAATTAGCCTTTACCACAAGTATGTGGGGCAGGGGAGACTCGTTCATTACTGTCAAGTCCATGAGCAGACTTCTAAGCACCTTCAATAAGGTAGAGCTGGTAGCAGGATAGTCCTATGGGGAAAACGTGCACCCACTGTCTTTTTGCTATTGTAGACAGATTCTAACCTGGTATCCATATAAATGGCTTTGAAGACACTGCAGGTTTCCATATTGTGTTAACCAAGGGATGTATTGATTCAGTATTTGTTACACTTCATATATGCAGGGCAGAGGAAGAAAAGGGCTAAATTCCTTTACAAATTTTGCTATAGCCAAGGAACACCACACAATGCATGAAAACAAATGTGCACCTGGCTGGGAATTTAGCTTTCATGACATGCAAAACTGATTAAGTGGTAAACACTTTTCCTGAACACCATTCATAGGTCTTGTGGGACACAAGCTGTGCCACAGTAATTTATACAGGTAGTTCCTTTATTAACAAAACGGTGCTAAACAAAACAAAAATGGTTAAGCATTAGTGGACACTAATTGTTTAACTAGCACCACCAGAAGTCAAGCTGAGTTATAGAAAAAGGTTGGCTTACATGAGAAATATTATAGTTTAATGAATGAAATACCTACCAGAGATTTGGAAACTGAAGAGCTAGCAAGCAAACGACTGAAAAACTTGGCAGAATCCTGATCAAATATCACATCAGCGGAATAAAGTTAGGCTTGTTTTTTTAACCCCAAAAGAACACTAGAAAGATGAATAGGAGTATCCCTTGGATCCCATATCATATTTTTCTTCTTCACTTACACTGAGAGATAAGTCGAGCTGATATATCTGTGTTTCTTAACTGATTTGCCTAAAGAGCATTCCATGTGCAATTCAGGTATGTGCCTACTGTACATTTGTGTACAGGGCATGGGTAGAAACAGGATACAAACTGTTTGCAAGGATTTATATCAAGAGAAATTTCTCCAATTCCATCAGGATACTACAGCTGAAAACATCTGAACCTATTTATACTAATTTTGATGTGGGACTGTGTCAAATTGGTTCACTACTCATGTAGACCAAAGTTAGGTACAACTCAATTCAGAGTCTGGCCTCCCATCCGTATTGCAAAGCTAATAATCCAACAGCTTTACTTTCAGGTCTTAAGATCAATTTGCTGGCTCTTATTTTAACTGCAAATGAACCGTCTGATTTGAAAATCAATGGCAGGCCACAAATGTGAAACATCACAATTCACACCTGCATATTCAAAGACAATAGAGTTTCAAAGATGGAGGTTGCCCCACCTACTCTCAGCAGCCAGAAACATCATAGCCAGACACTGGAGGGACCTGTCAGGAATAAACATGGAACACTAGTATCAAGTAATATGGGAAACAGCCTTACTAGAAAAACTAACCAATAGACTGAAACCGACATGGGGACAAATAGACGAGGACGCCTTCATTCTGGTATGGCTCCCCTTTATCACATAAACAGCCCAACAAGACAACAACATGAACCCACTGACAGCATACGATTCAAAATGGCTAACTTAACCAAACAACTCTCCCCCACACACAAACAAATCCCACTGCAGTCAACCAAGGACAATCAACCACAACCTAGGCCACGCCAACCTCTCTCACCAAGGAAACATAACATAAATAGAAAGAGAACCTACCCAAGTGACGCTGACACAAAAACCCCACACATACACTAAGTAAATGAACATAAGCTTTACCACCCCACCCCCTTCTCCCGTTACCCCCTCTTTTCTTCCCAGCCCTAAACTGCATATAACACCTATGTCTCACGACAAATGCAACTGATGTGCAGAAAACGCAACCTGAAGAAAGAGACAATGCACGTGCTTTTGTAAACGAGGAAAATCTTTAATAAACATTATTTTGAAAAAGAAAAAGGATGGAGGTTGCACTGGGATGGAAAGAACACATAAAATGGTGTGCATCATTTTAGGCAGCTCTGCACAGCTGCCACAATATCTTGCAAAATGCTGTCTCTATTCTCCTTTGTAATCTAGAATCAGAAAAAAAAAAAATGGATTAGTTAACATTGCTGGCCATTTATTGTGACCAGTGTTAGAAACTGAGATATGAAAGCTAGGAGCTAAATGGCACCTTAAACCTAGGTTATGGGCACATCAGGGGAATGTCTAGGTGTGCTTTTTTATAGCAAGAATACAAAGCTGAAAATGAATGAACTGCAGCTAAAATATTATGTTCATTTTTCACATTGTCTAGTCCTTTCCCTGCCCACCCCCCTAATATTCTTAAGAGGGTCTCTTCTCCAGTCTGCAGAGAGTAGCTGGAAGTAGAGAGGCAGAAAAAGGTTCTCCTTTCCTTCCACTCTGCAGTTTTAATCTGACATCTTAGGTGCAGTACAGCGCCCAGAGTTCAGAAACTGCTCACGCTAATGAAATTCCCTGTTGCAAAAGGCGCATAGAACAGGCATAGGCAAACTCAGCCCTCCAGATCTTTTGGGACTACAACTCCCATCATCCCTAGCTAACAGGGCCAGTGGTCAGGGATTATGGGAATTGTAGTCCCAAAACATCTGGAGGGCCGAGTTTTCCTATGCCTGGCATAGAACAATGGGAGTTTCGAACACTGATTGTGACAGTTGTCAATATGGAAGGCTGAGGAAGTGGATAATAATTTCTTCACTGTAATTCCCCCATGGGAGAAATTTTCTTTCTGGCCCCAAGGTATCCACCTCCAAATTACCCGATTTGTATGTTAACTGCTTTACAGCAATCAGGTTCAATAGACTGCATGTGCTGCTGCAGATGTGAAAATATGCAACCAGGTGCAGTGGGTGTCGATGGCATATTACCAAACTAGCAAAGAGAGGCAAGACATGTAAATTATGAATGAGTGAACTATATATGCCATGTTTGCAGAGAAAAAGAGGGCCCTGGAAAGGATAGGAGGCACAACAATCCTCCTTCCAGAGGGCTGAAAGCTTTTATAGGCAAAACACTACGAGCATCCCAAGCATGCATGACCTAAATTAGCAAGAGCTATATTGGACAATTTAAAGTGGGGGGAAACCAAAGACGTTTGGGCAAAGATCAACTTGCAGAATCAATCTGGGGATGGAGCTGCTGATGAGATAGGGGGGGAAAGTGGAACTATAAATCCATATTCTTAGAAGATTCTATCAAACTAAATTGACACAAATGAATCAAGAACATCTTGGGCATTTGCCTGCATTGATTTTGTGTCTGGTACTTCTGGTTTCGTGAGGTGCAATCTAAAGAGGCCTTGACATGTTGTTACCAGGTGCCAGAAACAAACATGAGGAAGAGCTATTATGCAGGGAGACGAATTAAAAGGTCTTCCGGCACAAACAAGCAACAAGAGAGCAATGTGGTGGAAAGCGGTAGGTTTTGTGGACACTTCTGATGCTATTGCTGGTCCCAAGGAATCTGAAATGTTTTCCTACCTCTAGTGGCAAGCAAAAAAGAAAAAGTGTGTTGCATTTGTTTTAAGGTCTTCCCTTAAAATATCTAATGGACTGAGGGGCTTTCAAAAGGGCAAGAACTCAAGTTAATTGACCAGGCTAGGCCCCTGGTGCACCCATGAACAGAGGTCTCTGTAGCCAGCCACTTTCATTAGCTGAACGCCATAGCTAAGGTTTACATATGACTATAACCGAGTGCATGAGGACACACCATCCTGTTGGCAGAGGACATGCTTAGCCCACAGAAGATCCCAAGATCAATCCCCATCATCTCTAGTGACAAAGATAGAACTATGAGCCCCTCACAAGCAGGAAACCTATTCCTCCAAAGGACATGCAATCCTGTCCAGAACACAAACCAAATGGTGGTAAGAGCTGATTGCTAAAACTGGGCTAGACTTCACAATGGGCAAAAGATGAAAACTTGCTCAGTGGACCTTCAGCCTACTTACATTGAAGACCTTCACCTCCTTTCTACTTCTGATCTCCTCCACAAGCCCCAAGGGCTTTCCTTTAGGCACTGGGATCGTTCCAAGAATCACAGTTCCTGATCCAGTCAGAATTTGATGGACAGCTTGAATAAAGGACTGGCTGAAGAGCTCCATTTTACCGATCTCGTCAATTATGCAGACCTTTTTCGCTGTGCTACTGGCAAGATCAGGCTATAAGGAAAATATAGGTATCTGATTGAAGCCACCAGTAAGAAAATTTAGTAGATTAAGTCAATATGTCAATCATTCATTCAATTGATTACTGTCAATAGGCCAGAAATAAAATTAAAACATACACAGTACATCAGAATCTTAGAGCAAAACATATTCAGAAGTGCGACATAATAACCTCTGCTTGGCCCCTGGAAATAGTCCTTCCAGATTCAGATGGCGAGTTATTCTCTTGTTTTCACTGCTACTGATAGAAATTTAGTCACTATCAGGGATATCCTCAGGATTTTATCTTGCATTAAATATTAAACATTAAACTGATCTGACCTCCCTGGTAATTTGGTCAGTAAAGCGCCAACTGTATGCTTCCAAATTCCAGCATAAAAATTACAGAACAAAAGGATGTGTTCTATAGATTCTACCTCATGTGTGTTACAGGGGCAGACCCTTGGGGCTTTTACTTCTGAGAAAAAAAGTTGTGTAACTGCAATGCATCGTTATAACAGGGCAATTCTATGAGTGCTTCCTTGGAAGTAAGTAATACTGAGTTCAAAGGGCCTTACTCCCAGGTTAAATGTGTACTGGACTGCAGCTTAAGATTCAAGTCATACAACAAAAAGAACCCAGCAGGTTGCTCAGATCACCTATTTCTTTAACAAACTATAGTTTTACATTACTTCGCCATGCCTTTTTGTTCCTGTGTGTCCTTCTTTATTTGCCTGCCCACCTGGTGCTCCCCATCCTCCCCCCCCCAAAAAAAATCATTTTTAAAATTATTGTTATGTTGGTCTGACTACATATATGGTCCTGTACCTACTGAAATAACAGTTGACAGAAACTAGCTAAAGGGGTGTTATTTCACCCTCTGGGGTTCATTGTACTGTCCAAGCCACTTATTACCCTGCTGCTAAATACTCTATGATGCTTTTTAAAAGAAAAGGAAAATGACAAGAAATGCCTTTGTACTTTCCTAAAATGAGGCATATCTGTATTAAACGCTTTGTGTTTGGATAAGCTCCGCAGGATAAACGAGTTATGGTAGAGCATATAGTTTGTCAGCATCGTTCCTGGAGAATTTTCAGGACACTAAGTGTTTTCTAATTTCTAATTTGTTTTCTAATCGCTGATTTATCTTGGAATTGCATTTACCAATCCTAAATGGTGCTGAATAAGAGCAGTTATACAGTCACCCACACAGCTGCAAATTTCTCCAGTGGCATTTTAGCTTCCCACTAGTCCTGTAAGCCATGTGTTGAGAATCACTTGTTCCTTTTTGCAACTGAACAGAAATCTGAACCTGTAAACCAAATGTGAGAACTGGGAGGAAGGGGACTCCAAACACTGTGTGTCCACTCTTACACTGCACACCAGAACTCTGGGTAACACACCATCTTCCATGGAGTGCAAGAGGATGGGGTGGGGAGAGACAGACAGACAGACATGTAGGAAGCTGTGGGTGCAGAGGGACAGGAGGATGGTGGGAGCTGGGAAAACTCATAAATGGAGCTGACAATGGAAAGGGGTGCTGGATCTAAGCTCTACCAAGATAGAAGAGTACAAGACATTTCACTATAAACTCCTCATCATGTTTTATTCATTTATTCATATTGTTCTCCAGAAATTCCAAAATATTACTCACATTTCTCAACAAAGGAAGAGCCAACTGTTCAAATGACATTAGATCCACTACATACTGGCCAACACGGTATTCACGCCTTGCTGTGGAAGGACCAGAGCTGAAGGAAGGAAGAAAATACCCAACACAGTGAACAATAAAGCATTCTAGAACCCTGTTCCTTAGCAGATAACCCTCAGACTATGTGAAGCATGTCAAAATTTTCACATGCCCTTGCAGTGCCCCTCTTTAGTCACATTAGAATGTCCTCCCACCTTTCTTAGATGCCCCAGATGGTTGCTAATATTGCAATCCTGGTGGGATATATGCACAATATCACAATGAAACACATCAACTGGAACCAGAAAGTGGCAGCTACTAAGAACAGAATTCTACAAAAACTGGTAACTGCCCTGGGGTGATATAAAAAAGGCGTAGGACTGGCTCAACACCCATATAATTGTTCCAGAAACTTGCTGTAAATTTTAACTGGGAGTACAGTTGCTCGTCATTTGCACTGCACATCATTCTGGTGGACCCTGGCTATCCCTGTGCCTGTTGCCTCTCATTTATTGCATGCCCTGATACTTTGCTTGGTTTCTGTAACAAGAGTTTTTTGCTGTTTAGCAGCAACAAGTCAACACTAAAGATCAGCACAGCGACTTCACAATCTTATTCACCACTTCAACGGTTCATCTGATTCCAGCTACCCTTGAATGAGCAGCACAGGAGCTTCAAAGGGCAGTTGTGCATTCTACAAAGGCATTCCCAGATTAGGTGTCAGAATGTGAATTTCAAACGTCATACCCAACTCTAGACAAAATTCCTCTTCTTCCACTCAGAGTGACAACATCAAATCCTATTCTCCTGCCACCTTCTCTCACTTCTTCTGTATAAAATCCATCAATAGGGATACCGGATGATTTTAAAACTTCAGTGACTTTTTGGATCAGCGTTGTTTTCCCAATTCCTATAACAAGAAGAGTGTTTTTTAAGCCTTGTTTTCAGTATAATGGTTGTGCAACAAAACAAATACACATATGTATTTCTGGACGCTTTTGGCTCCTTCCTCCTAACTGAAGCACACATTGCCCTTGCAATGGATGCTTCATCCAAATTGGCCTCCAGTTGTGGCAGCCTGCACTGCAAGTTATGCTGAGAAGAATTCACCATGCACATCAGTCATCATTATTGTAAGTCTTTGTGCCCCTTATCATGGCAAAAATATGAGATGGAAACATGAAGACATGACACAATGGGCCTGGTCTACCGGGCACATGATCCTACACACTGTGATCAGATTGTTCCCCATTTGTTTCAGGGGGAGAATGGTCAAGGCTGTGCCATTTGCATTTTGGAGCTCCCAGGCAACTAACACATTAGGTCATTGCATATATATCCATTGTCTTTTTTTGGATACATTCCCAAGTGTCAGTTTTTAAGAGAGAGGGACAGTCTAAAAAAATGGAAGAGCATCTGCTTAGGTATTTTGTAGCCCTCTCTATTACAAATATCTCCAGTGACAAATATCCCCAGAAGTGATAAATGAGGGCCATCATCTCAATTTCTGCATCTTCTAGAATGCTACACGATAAAAGAGTTTTGCTTATTAATGTAACATCCACCCACCCCAAGCTCTATTGCCGTCATCTTGGATAATCATATTAACATCCACTGATAAATGACTGTTTCCTTGGCTCATAATTTAAATTTTCAGGAATCCAATTTACTCCAGTAAAAGAGGAGGACAGTGATAATTGTATATTATTTAGAGCTGATGTACTAAATCATTTTTTAATAATTAAGTCACACAAACTAAATGTTAATGGGAAGAACGGGTGCTTGCACTGTAACTGATGGGCAGATAGGGTTTCAAAAACCTGCAAGGATCAAAAATGTGGCATGAGTTATAAGGAAAGAAAAAGAAATTAACCTTAATAATGATAGCAATATGCGAGATCTGTAAAATATTTAAATGTGTTTTGTCAGATAAATCCAATTCCATATTTCTTCTGTAAATTACAAACAACTGTGTGTTTTCATGGAGTAACAGAATAGATACTGTAGCACAATACTATGCATACTTATTCAGAAGTAGACCACACTCTGTGTGCACAGTGCTGCAGTCTTGAGTGGAAAACGTTTAAATGCTAAGGTTTGATATTATCATTATTGTACAGTGGTACCTCAGTTAACGAATCCGTTCTGGAAGTCCATCTTAAACCAAAGCCATTCTTAAACCGAGCTGCGCTTTCCCTAATGAGGCCTCCCACCGCCAGTGCCCTTCCACCATTCATAGACCGAGGTAAAGTTCGCTAACCGAAACACTACTTCTGGTTTTGCTGAGTTTGTATACTGAATAGTTCATAAACAGGGCTTAAACCGAGGTACCACTATATTATTTACAGAGAAAAGGACATACCTATTTGCAACCTACAATACTAAGACAACAGAAACCTGGTTTAATTCAAACACTATGCTGGAATACTTTTCAGTAGACATATTTGGATCTGGAACAAAAGAGATAATGGGGCTCAGAAGCAATGTGGAAAGCGGAGGCGGAATTCCAAATATCTTAAGTAATCAGGCCATTTTCTTAGCCGCAGGTGTCTAGTAAAGATGATAAAATGAGTTATGTGCTGTTACATAGATAAATATTACCAGAGAGAAGCGTCTCTCACAAACAGTGCAAATGACTTCCTTTATTTAGTACTGGCATTTAAAGCAGAACAGGCTTACAACCAATCCTAACTATGCCTTCTACACTGGGGCTAAATTATGTCAGGCTGCAATCCTGCGCCTGCTTCCCTGGGATTAAACTTCGCTGAATGCAGTAGCACTCACTTCTGAATAAGCATGCATAGTATTGCACTGTTGTTGTTTAGTCGTTTAGTCGTGTCTGACTCTTCATGACCCCATGGACCAGAGCACGCCAGGCACTCCTGTCTTCCACTGCCTCCCGCAGTTTGGTCAGATTCATGTTTGTAGCTTCGAGGACACCGTCCAACCATCTTGTCCTCTGTCGTCCCCTTCTTGTGCCCTCAATCTTTCCCAACATCAGGGTCTTTTCCAGGGAGTCTTGTCTTCTCATGAGGTGGCCAAAGTATTGGAGCCTCAGCTTCAGGACCTGTCCTTCCAGTGAGCACTCAGGGCTGATTTCCTTAAGAATGGATGCGTTTGATCTTCTTGCAGTCCATGGGACTCTCAAGAGTCTCTTCCAGCACCATAATTCAAAAGCATCAATTCTTCAGCGATCAGCCTTCTTTATGGTCCAGCTCTCACTTCCATACATCACTACTGGGAAAACCATGGCTTTAACTATACGGACCTTTGTTGGTAAGGTGATGTCTCTGCTTTTTAAGATGCTGTCTAGGTTTGCCATCGCCTTTCTCCCAAGGAGCAGGCGTCTTTTAATTTTGTGGCTGCTGTCACCATCTGCAGTGATCATGGAGCCCAAGAAAGTAAAATCTCTCACTTCCTCCATTTCTTCCCCTTCTGTTTGCCAGGAGGTGATGGGCCCAGTGGCCATGATCTTCGTTTTTTTGATGTTGAGCTTCAGACCATATTTTGCGCTCTCCTCTTTCACCCTCGTTAAAAGGTTCTTTAATTCCTCCTCACTTTCTGCCATCAAGGTTGTGTCATCTGCATATCTGAGGTTATTGATATTTCTTCCGGCGATCTTAATTCCGGCTTGGGATTAATCCAGCCCGGCCTTTCACATGATGAATTCTGCATATAAGTTAAATAAGCAGGGAGACAATATACAACCTTGCCATACTCCTTTCCCAATTTTGAACCAATCAGTTGTTCCATATCCAGTTCTAACTGTAGCTTCTTGTCCCACATAGAGATTTCTCAGGAGACAGATGAGGTGATCAGGCACTCCCATTTCTTTAAGAACTTGCCATAGTTTGCTGTGGTTGACACAGTCAAAGTATTGCACTACAAGGCTGTAATTCTATATGTAGTTACTTCACAATAACCCCACTGAACTCAACAAGGTTTATTTCAGAGTGTAAATAATTGCAGGTAAATAATAGTCCAAGCAGGGCAGACAACCTGAAGCCTGGGGACCAAGCATCTTGGAACTTCCTCCTTGCGTGTGCAGCATTGATCTCTCATAATGCCTCTGGCTTCCAGGACAGAGACGGATGTACAAGCGCCAGTGTAGACTTTAGCCTGGTGTGCAAAACTGAAATCTGCATTCGTTGCTCTGTCCACTTTTGCCACTGGCCTGTACCCCCCTCCCAAAGAAAGGTCGTCCAGATGGGAGTGAAGCCTTCTGGCTGAAAAGGGTTCCCCGCCCCAGCTACACTCTATTACCACTCAGATTTTATTTTCTTGTAAATTTCACCGGGTTCAATGGAGCTTCTTGTCAAGTTAAGTGGGTGCACCTAGGATTGCAGCCTGAGCGCTTAAACGCAAACCTTTCCAATTTAAAAAGGTTTCGGGATAGAAACCACCCCGTGCAGGCGACTCAAAACACGCCAGGGAAGGACGATCGTGGGAATGGGCGGGGGAGCGTGAGGCCCTAAGCACGTTTACTCGGAAGTAAGTTCGCCCCTGGCAGGCAGGAAGGAGCCGAGGCACGGCTCCGCTTTCTGCCCGGGAGGAGGCAGCGGAAGAGGAGGCCTGGCTTCAGCCGAGCTCTGCCTCGCCTTCCCTTCCTGAAGTCTCGCAGCACCGGGCCGCTGCCCAGGCAGGGCCTCCCGCCCTCCTTCCTCCCTCTCCGCTTCCGCCGGGTTGGGTTACCTGGCGGTCCCGTCAGGAAAACGTGCTTGGCCATGGCGGGGGCCTCCGTCCGGGTAGCGGCGGGGAAGCGGCCTGCCGTAGCGGGAGCCCTCGCGCTCCCTTCCTCCCTCCCTCCAGCCGCGCGCTCTCGGCAGCGGGGAAAAGAGCCCGCGGTGCTTCGGCTGCCAGCCTCTCTCTCCCCTTTCTTCGTCTCTGCTGCTTCCAAGTGCGGCAGCTCCGTTGCCCGCTTTGCGATGGACAGCCGCTCGCTCTTTTTCGCAGGCTTGGGCTGCGACGACCCCACGTTCACATACTCGGGAGTAAGTTCCACCGAGCACAGTGGGACCTGCTTCTGAGGAAGCATGCATCGCTTAAAGCGAGTCCCCTCCCGGCCTCTTAAAGTCTACCAACATTATTATGGCTTAATTTTATTCACTTATTTATGGCACTTATTTCTCGCTCAAATCATGAACCCCTCTGTCGAAGGTGTCATGGGCGTTGTAACTCCACTGACTTTACACGGAAGGTGCACGCTTCCATTGTCCCCTGAGACAGGTGGATGCCGACCCGTATTATGTTTTTCTCCAAGAAGCTCAAGGCGGCCTACACGGCTCTTCCCCTCCTCGGTTAATCCGCACAACAAACCTGTGAGGTAGGTTAGGCTGAGAGGCAGTGACCCAGTGTCCAAGTTGTGTCCAAGTTGGGATCTGAGCCCAGGTTTCCTATTCAGACACTAACCACTATATAACACTGGATCTTTCATGGACTACAATCCACTTCATAAAGTGTTAGCCTGAGAAATGGGCATGTACATATATGCATCTGATTAAGTGGACTAACGCACCAAAGCTTGTAACATAATAAATTTAAGGGACAACTGGGCTCTGATGTTTGCTCTGCAAGAGAGATAACATGCATGAGAACAACTTGTTTAAGGCAGGAATCACCACTTCTGCGTACACACACATCCCCACTTTCCTCTCTGGTGAACAGGTTTTTGCATTGTTTCAAAAGCCTATGTACCCAGAGTTGAGAGAGAGAGACAAACGGGATGGGTGTACATCATGGAGAGGAAAGCCTCATCACTTTCAGTTTTGTTTGGACACTTGCCTGCCTCTCCCACAAGTAAGCAGCTGCTAGGCTGTGGAGAAGTACTAAGCTGTGAGAATTACCATTTTTTAGGTGATCGCTCCTAAATGGCCCTAGAAATCTGTCATGCTCTGTCCAAACTATTAACTTATTATTTCCTAATGTTCATATCCTGTCTTTCCTCCATCATGGACCCCATGGTGGGGTACACATTCCCAGGTAGTCACTCATCCACACACTGACCAGTTTAAGACCTGATCATCTTCAACAAGATGGTAGCCTCGTGCCTTCAGACCATACCCGGCGAGAGTGGTATTAACCACATTATTTGCATTCAGCTTGTCAGTCCCATACACTGGTACTGTGTGGAACATAACAGGAGCCCCAGTTCAAATCCTCCCCCTCCTGTTCTGTTGGTATGGCTACTGGGATGCATTCAGCATTTCAAATTAAAAGAAAATCAATTTATGATTCTGAGTCAAAATGGCAGTAAAACAATGGAAACCACATGGGAAATCAGTGGTACAATTGAAGACTGAGCAAGATATAAGGGAAAGATGAAGGACAGGAAGACTGACCTGGGAGCAAAGTCAGTTGTTAACAGATTACCAAACAGAGCAATAACCCCTTCCCATACAATGAATAGCCTTGTACCCTGAGCCAGGGACACAGGGACATGCAGTTATCTATGGCCAGAAGAGTGGGTCTTTATTGCCTTTGCAAAGTTTTAAAATAAAAATTGCATTTTAAAAATAAAAATTGCAGCAGCAAATTGGGGTTTGAATCCTGGAAGCATGTGATTTCCACACAACAGAAGCAATTTCTTCAGTAAAAGATCATGTGGATCCTGCACTACAAAGTGCCTACTAATATGTGATTCATTGGTTTGATTAATTGAATTAAAACTTGTAATCAAATAAAAAGGTGCCACCAATTAATCAGGCAACAGATTTATATTATAATTATTGATAATATATAACAACTGCAGATGGGAAACATAATCTCAAAAGAAGCATTTTGCTTTCTGTGTTGCAAACTGGAAGAGGTTATTCTTCTAAGATTATGACTGATTGACACACGTCCATAATCTAGAAACAAAGACAGTATGCATGCTGCTTGTTCTGTTTTTACTCATGTGTATGGGTTTAATCGACTTAAATCCATACAGTTAATTGACTAACATTGTAGGTGGCAGTCTTAATCATTGCACAAAAGCCTTACCCGTAAAGCCTCTTGATGGTTCCTCATACCTTCTGCCCACACCAGGAAATGTTTGCTTTTAAAACAAACTTCTAAAATACAACTTTCCCTGGGCTCAATTCTACTTGCTTGAATTTTTCTTTAAAATAAATTTTTTAAAAAAAATCACCTAATAATCTCACATGGGGGATTTGCTGTGGTGAACCCTGTGGCAGGCATACTTTGCATATGCTCAGAGACATCTCTTTTCCAGCCATCTCAAAGGGGGGGAAAGGGTCTAATAATAAGGTATTAGAAGCAAAATTAGCTACCAAAAAGGCTTTATGTTCCCAACATTGGAAAGCTCCCATTCAAATTAATCAGAGGAAGAACACAACTTCACTCCCCTCCAGACACACTTATCAGATAGTGTAAATCAAATAGCTCTGGACTAGCAAACCTGGGGCTCATGTTGATAGAACAGATTACAAAGTTTGAGAACAAGACCATCAATCAGCAGATAGACATTTCAGCTCCATGTTTTGCTGAAATTTCAGCTTCTAATTTGCCAAAGGGGAATGATGAAAGCTCTGTACATCAGGGCAGCACAACACATTCTAATTGGAGTGGGGGCCTTGGTGGAAATCTACTGTAATTTAGGTAAGGGTATAGATTTGAAATGCAGCGTAGGCTTTTTTCTTCTGCAGGGTAGAATTTGGATTCCAGAGTTCATCCCAGCAAATTATCAAGCAAGGGGAAGTGTATCTCCTACAAGCACACTGTAAAGCCTGAATGAATTTCTAGAGCTTCTGGTTGAATGGGGAAAATCAATTAGCAGCAAGTTTCCAAATCAATGGCTGAGAAAAGAGGTCATTTAACCAACTGCTATTCGCTAGGGGAGGAACTGGAAGGAGAGAATGAGAACAATATTAGGCTGTGACCTGTGCCCTTGCTTGGATTCAGTAGTTTACACTGAAAGAATTGTGATCTTATAAAGCAAAGCCCAGCTTGGGGCTCTAATTCTGTGCTTGAGGGCACCATTTCAGCTTCCAGGAGTGGGAAAACAAGATTTCATTAGGGCAGGGCAGATTTGCAGAAAGGTCACGGTTTGGGTATTTTCAAAATTAAATTGCAAAAAAAATGTATATTTGAAGGGGATTTGTTCTGGCTCTTTATTATTATGAAGTATAATATTATGTTATTATTAAGTATACTATTATGAACTATAGCAATCCTAGCAACAGTGGTCAAGTCTTTTTTATTTTTTAAGGAGCTTGTGCTTTTGATATGCAAACCTTCGTGTATGTAACATTTTTCTAGCAGTGTTGAACCAATGAATGCATATAAGTTGCTTCAAAGGAATAATGTCTGAAATATGGAAGGGGTGGTGGTGAATTACACACCCTACTGTCTTCTTTTTTTGTTCTCCAGTTAATTTCCTTTGATTTATCTGAAGAATGTTCCATTGCAATATATTCCCCTATCTCTTAACTTGGCACGCCTACAGACTGCTAGCATTTGACCAAAAGGATTCAAGTGCATACATCTGAAGGCAGCCCTGTTTAGAGAAATTTTTAATGTTTGATGTTTTATCGTGTTTTTAATACTCTGTTGGGAGCCACCCAGAGTGGCTGGGGAAACCCAGCCAGATGGGCGGGGTCTAAATAATAAATTGTTGTTGTTGCTGTTGTTGTTAGAAAATGTAGGCTTGCACAATTAACGTGGATTAAAGCACTCTGTCACTCTAGCACAAGAAATGTACTTTTAAAAAGAAACAGACCTTTTGTGGTTAGGGAAGAAATGGGGAATGATGAACAGGAAGATATAAAAATACCCCACAAGCAAATGTGGGTGAGTGCTCAATAAAAACTAGAGATAATCTAATTTAAGGTTACCAGATTTTCCCCCCCAATGAATCTGGGGACACTTTTCAACTTCCTACTAAATAGATGGATTTTGTCAAGGAACTGATTTGTAAATCCGGGGACTGTCCCTGGGAAACAGGGACGTCTGGTAACCTTAATCTAACTTCTGCATAAGCTTTGTGCGAGCAAATCAAGACGAATATTCAATAAATTGATCATTTAAAGGAGCCCTAGGCTTGAAATATTTGTGACATGCTGGATTTCAAGCTGAAAGGCAGCATTGTTTTGTAAAGCATAATACTGAATAAAGTTGCATGCTCAGGAAATACTTCTGAGTGAATGTGGTTAGGATTGGGCTGCACGTGAGCTGGCTCCATTGGTTAGAGCATGGTGCTGATAATGCCAAGGTCACAGGTTTTATCTCCATATGAAACAGCTCCATTGCAGGGGGTGGAACTAAATCAGGGTTTCCCAAACTTGGGTCTCTAGTTGTTTTTTGGACTACAGTTCCCATCATCCCTGACCACTGGTCCTGCCAGCTAGGGATAATGGGAGTTGTAGTCCAAAAACAGCTGGAAACCCAAGTTTGGGAGACTGTGGACGAAATGATCCTCAGTGTCCCTTCCAACTTTACAGTTCTGTGATTCTGTGACTGTAAACCTATGCTCACTTACTTTGTATAAGCCCAATTGAACACAGGCTTACTTCTAAGTTATGCAGAGTGTTGCACTGTAAAGTTGCATTTCTATACACACACTTACTTGGGAGTAAATCCCACTGAACTCAACGGAGCTTATTTCTGAATTTGTTTGTTTGTTTATGAAATTTCTATACTGCTCTTCAACCGAGGACCATAGGGTGGTTTACAATATAAACACACAAAAAGTACATAACATATTAATAAACAAAAACAATACCCCCCCCCCCCCAGTTTAAAAGGCCATAGATTATTTAATTAGCCAAAAACCTGGGAGAAGAGGAATGCATACTCACTTCTTCAGAGGGAGTGTAACCCTATCAAGAGCAGCTGACCTCCCATCCATC